CTAAGAGAGAACTGAAATTAATGTTTTATAAACGGTGGGATTCAAAGGTCAAGGCACCTATTATAAGAAACAAGGTAGTGCACATCAACCTTATACACTTTCCTTGAAAAAAAAACGTTAAAAGATGGAAAAGTACTAAAAGTGTGTATGGCCATTTGCTTTAGGAAGAACACATTTGGTTGCCAAACTATTGTCTTGATTCCAAACCAGCCCACCCTATCAATTAGGGTAGAACCCTAAAATTTATAATTTTGTGATTCAAACGAAAACATTACACTATACTATACTATTGATCCCAACAACCTTAACCTGTTTGTGAGTTATGGCACATAGATCTTCTGATTTTTCAAAAGAATCATGATGTTGAGTACTTGTAAGTACTCTCCTAAGTGGGCATCATCTTAATCTCTAGTTTGTCTACTGTACAGTTGACTACTTTGAAGAACCATGTTCATTCTAGTAGTTTTCCATGTGATAACCCATCCAACTTAATGATGTAATCTTACTATCGTTGTGTTCGTTGCTTAAGTCAAAAAGTGAGGAAGATAGTATGTAGTGAATAGGTTAGGATTGAGTGTCCTTAATTAGTATTCGAAGATCTTTATTTACAGTGGTATATGAGTCTTGTGTAACTACAATCTTTTTAAGACAAATTGTTTTTTTTCGGTGTTCAAAGTTAATAAGTAATTGTCTCTCTAGATAGAATGAATTTTGTTTTTAAAGAAGTAGCGCTTCAACCTTCAAGACTCTAACGAACATAACTTTGTGTTTATATTTGAACCGAACAAGAAGAATAATACAGCAATATGCAGAGAGAGAGAGAAGAAGCTCTGAAATAAGAATTCATAATTGGGAAATGTGCAGTATATTTATATATCTTTTATACCTGTTCAGATCGCCTGAAGAGGCACAAGATACCCTTATTTGTTAAACCTGTTCGAATCAAAGAGACATACCTTTAATCCTGAAAAACAATGAAAAGGAAAAGACAACTTTGGAGAACAGACACAAGCTTTGGAATGAACCAGACCCAATTTCGGTGCCAAAATTCAAAGTAACGAATAGAAAATTAAATTACGATTTGTATTTGGATCTGATTAGACTATCCAAAAATATTATATCTTTTTGACCCAAGTTTGGTCGAGTTAGGGCACGACAGGCGGCGAACATTTGTGTGGTAACCAAGATAGTGTAGACGCTCATTTCGCTCACAAAAGTGTGATATCCTTTGGAGCCCAACTTATTAGCCAACTAGGAGAATATTAATTTATCAAAGTGTTGATTTTCTTCCAATGTAGGACAAATCTTATTCTATTACACCTATCTTAATTTATTTCATCACTTCAAATTAGTCACTTTAAGATATAATTTTTTATTCAATACTTAATAATTTTAAATAAATAAATATATGATGTTCATCTTATCGTGGAGAAAAACGTGTTTAAACTTGATACCACTAATTTCGTAGTGTGAATCCCATTTTATTTAAATCTTAATTTGCTTAAATAACCTTGTTTAAAATCATTTTTTCCAACACAACCTAGGCCGAGGTGGGACACTTGGCTTTTGCCACACAATAGTGAATCATATTTAATATTTCTCTTGATCGATAATTGCAGTATAGCATTAGATCAAATTAATAGATCTTTTTCCAACTATTTTTGGAATTGACGATTAAGTCTACAAATTATGCCATAAATTCAAATTACGTTTATCCTTGGCAGTACTATAGGAAACTTGTGTGTGTGTGTGAGAGAGAGAGAGAGAGAGAGAGAGAGAGATTAATGATTACTGATTGGATTGGAGAGTTTGGTCAGACTCTTCAGCCACCCACTAACGATTAAGGAAGTCATCAACATTAATATAATCGTACTTTACTTTCAAAGCACGTGTAATTAATTTCTGAGAGCAAAAGTGTCAAGTATTTTCGTTGGGTCCAAATCAGGAGATAATGGTTTACATTCAAGATAAGATATAGGAGAGTATTATTAATAACCTAATTAATTAAAGATGCCAATGACATAGGCGTTGCCTATAGGTGTACAACTCATAATCAAAATTTCTTTCTTTGGGATATTTACACTTTGTTAATTGATTTTTACAATTATTAAACATTCCCCCCAAATTATTTTAACTTTTACTATAATCCCCCTCTAAAATTATATTTAAATCAATTCAATAATCATATTGCATCTATTCTTTGAATGTTAGATTAGTCACTCACCGTCTTTAAGAAGAATTTTTCACTAATAGATGGATGCTAGATCTAAAAATATTTAGACAATCAAATGCTAATTACTAATTATTCGAACCCATTTCGAATGCCGAATTCTAATTGCAAGTCAGTAGAACCCATTCCAAATAAAACCTAAGAATTGTATACAGTAGTTAAATAAAGTTCTCCCTAGGCCCTTTGTTCTCTTTTGGTATGATCATATAAGGGATAGCATCACTTTTATCTTTTACAGATATGAAGTTAGGAATACATCAATCAGGAATAAGTCAAACTTGAGCTAAAAGAAAAAAAAACAGAGGGAATCAAATCATGGTTGTAGCTGGACATGATTAGAAACAGTATGTGAGTGGCACAAAGACCGATTATAAATTAGCTCTTATTACTCCTATTGATTTTCATTTCAATGTCAAGGATTCATCTCTTATTTTATAATATTAATAACATTTTTGAATTTATAATTGTTACATAAATTCAATGAAAATTTGAGTCCGATCTTATCGAACTCATTTTTTTAAACAAGCCTAAAACATTATTTACGTATGATTTATTTAAAAAATGAGTCGAATCCGAATAATTTAACTTTTTTATATATAAACGAACCGAGTTTTATAAGTTTGAACTTAACCTTTTAAATTTGTTTTCTTAAATAAGATTACAAAATTGTTTAAATTTAAGAGTAATGTTAGATATACTTAAAAATTAGACTTGATAATCTCAACCATCGAAGAGGTAGTGAGTCCCAATAAATACTGAAATCCACAGTGAAATCAATGATTGAGATTTTTAAGTCTATGTAACATTGTTCTAAATTTAATTCATTTAAAACACGAATCAAACTCTAATTGAGTCTTGTCCGAACCATGTACAAATAACTTGTCTCCATTAACGGCCTCGGTTGGAAATTATTGGTTTGAAAAAGGTGAAATGGTGCGTTTGGCCATTGGTTCCTGAAGAAAAAATGATAATTTTCATGTGTTGTTAACCCCAAGAATCCATCTTCCAACAGCATGTTGAAATTAGCAGGTGGGTGGGTTGGCATTGCTAAGAAAATCTATAGCAAAGTCCAACTATCCAACTCGAGGGGGAGAGAGATTCCCGGAGAACCATGCGTGGGCTTAATAATCAATTCCCATTATTCTAATTTCCTTTCAATTGGTATCCTAATCTTTGTCACTATTTCTTATTCATTAAAAACTAACTCCACGTGCAAAACAGCTCAGCATACAATTACTAATATATTTCAATTCAAAATTAATGGCTATATACTACATTAAGTGTTACAATAATGCATCTAATAACAAAAATATTTATAACATAACAAAAATAAGATCCAAAAAAATTCATAATAAAACTTCCAATAGAAGAACATAAGAAATTACTACTTGTTGAAGGACTTTTTTGAATTTGAGAGAACCCTTAATCTCGCAAGTAAGAGAATTATAATTGTTTGAGAAAAATATTAGAATTCTGTTTACTGTATTTTAAAAAAAAATTAAAATAAAAAAATTATTTGTACGTACAATTTACTTTTTTTTTTTGTTTGTTACTTTTACATACAATTTATTTTCTTTTGTCAAATATTATTACAATTAAGGGAGACAATAGGTTAAGTTCTAAGAGTTGGACACGATCGATAATCCTTAAATCGACCAATAATTTTTTTATTAGAGGCTCTTCATAATTAGACTACTATACTGCTTCGTCAAACTGCCAAATTACGCTTCAACAAATGCAGACAAGCTCTCTGGTTGCTATCGATAAGGACGCCTACCACAGGTAAAAGGTAAGAGGGACAACCAACGGTCAATATCTTGTTTTGTGGAACTTTAGATCGGGGCCGTTCAATTTTAACTGTCAGCTTTCGACGTAGAAAGGGACAAGGGCGCTGGGCCTCCATATTCTGGACTGTGCCACCCTTAATACGATTGTCCTTTTTCGCGGACTGACAATAGTACCCCTCGTGTCATGCCGATGGTGGACGTAAATATATGCCATAGACCATCTGATTAAGGGTGATTGCGTCCAGCTGCTGCTATTGTGAGACACATTTACAGTCTTAATAAGCATTTAAAGGGGCCAATCATGGACATAAAACCCAATTTGATAATGAATTAAATAGTAAGATTAGTTTTAATCGATTCAATTAAAAAATAATTACCAAATAAATAAATTATTACGAATTCTACCTAATAAGATATAAATCTATTAAATCCAAATTTGGTATGATATGAATTTGGCTATAAAAAATTATAAATAAAATTTTAATACAACAAAACCCAACACAATTTTAATCTTTATTCCATTTTGTAAGATGGGGGGGGGGGGGGACCCAATTACATATGATTGGCATGATTAATTAACATTTAATCACATCACACCATTTCTCGTTATATGAATCTCTTCCTCACAATTTGTGGTCCCACATACTCCGATCCATCCGATCCAGCCGTGCATTTAGAATCATGAGATTCCCTTACACCACATTAGCCCCACTCAAAAACTCCTGCAACTTCCCCGATAATATGCCACCACGATATTTTCAATTTCTCACCACGGCGGCTTAGTCTTTAGGGTACACCCGTTTTCTGCGGTTCCGCTTCGTCGCGAACGGATAAGAACTGCCCCAACACCCCCTATTGTCCTCCATCAATCCAACGGTTAGATCTCGGCATGGACCTCGTGTCCCTTTATCAACCGTCCATCCTTGTCCCTACTAAAACAAATTGACTTAGATAACCCTAGTTCTGAATATAACCTTATCACTGCTCCAGTACTGAGTACTCTCTCATACCCCTCCGTCCAGTTCTCTCTCTCTCTCTCTCTCTCCTGTGCAATCTAAGCTTGATAATGGTGTTTCAGATCTGAGGGTATACGCACACGAGGATATCAGCTGTGAAAGTACGATTTGAACCTCCTCCGTTTTTGAGTTGAAGTAGCTGTTGTGATCTGTAATGGCGTACTCGTTTCCGGAGGAGGTGTTGGAGCATGTGTTCTCGTTCATAAACTCCGACAAGGACCGAAACGCGGTGTCATTAGTTTGCAAATCGTGGTACGAGATCGAGCGGTGGTGCCGAAGACGGATCTTTGTCGGAAATTGCTATGCTGTGAGCCCTAGGATCATGATCCGACGGTTCCCGGAGGTCAGATCTGTGGAGCTGAAAGGGAAGCCTCACTTTGCGGACTTTAATTTGGTCCCCGAGGATTGGGGAGGGTATGTTTACCCATGGATCGCTGCTATGTCGAGGGCGTACCCGTGGTTGGAGGAGATTAGGCTCAAGAGAATGGTTGTGACTGATGAGGCCTTGGAGTTGATTTCCAAGTCATTTAGGAACTTCAAGGTCTTGGTGTTGTCGACATGTGAGGGGTTCAGTACTGATGGCCTCGCCGCCATTGCCTCCAATTGCAAGTGAGCTCTCTTTCACACTCATCGTCTCATTCTGTTCTTCCGTACATGTGTTTAGGTTTAAGACAATATTTGGGAACAAAAATGCCGAGTGAAGTTTGAACCTTGAGCCTCAGGTGGTATGTGTTTTCGATATACTCTGAATCCCGAGTGTAATGTTGAGGTGAGAGAATGAACTTTGCATCTTGAATGTCTTGTTGATTCTTGACTTATGGTCAATCCCGTGAGTGAGAGTTTTCCTTTTTTTGTTTCCTTTTTTAACTTTCTCTCGCGCACTTTAGTATTGTAGCTATTTTGGTTGCTGAGAGAACTCGAGGATGGTAAAAAGGTAAAACGATAAAAGAAGAAAAGAGAAAAGTTCGGTTTTTGTTTAATAGTGTTGCTTCGAGGATATTATTTTTTCTCATACATTAGGTTGGTTCTTGTCGAGTTTGATTTGCAAGTTTTTTGAATGTGTCGTGTGTAAGAAGATCTGCTCTTGCTCTTACTTTTGGTTCGAGTTATTTTTAGAGAATCTACTGAGGTATCACATTCTTTTGGTTCAGATCAACAAATACTGTAAATGCTTTTATTCTATTTTTTGTTGTCAGGATGAACTATTGTTACTTTCGGATTTGGAACCTTTTTTATGGATAAACTTTTTAACGTTGAGATTTTAACTTCTTTTTTTTCCATGGACAATGTGGGATTCTTTTCAATTCCTCAGTTAGATTTCCCTTTTATCTTCTCCCGTTTGGTCATCCCCCTCTGATCCCAGCTGAGCTCCCCAAGTTTTTCCTCTCCTGCCAGCAGTCAGGAATATAGAATTGAACTCCTTCTCTTTCCTCTTTGGGGATTCTTTTGGTTGTTATTGGAAGGAACTTTGAAGTGAGTTCTGGTGTTTTGTTTCTTGTCCTAGAATGGAATTGTTTTACCATCGGAATTTTGGATTGTCAAATTAGACATGGTCTAAATGGGTTGACTAGAAGATTAACAAGTGGATAGTAAAGAACTTACTTTTCTTGTAATCGGACCTTTTAAGAAAGTCTATCTTGATAAGAATTGCTTTGTCATCTTCAGTAGTCATGACAGCAATGAATTGCAGTTTTTTTTTTTATTTTCATTTTGGACAATGGCTTTATTTAAGTTTTTATCTTTCCCTGATGTTCTGATTTTGCTTCACTGCTAGCTTTGAAGAACCACTGCTTGGAATGTAGTTTTATTGTTGCAATTGTATTATCTATAACTTTGTTGTCTCCATTTTGCAACATATTGGCACAATGTGTGCTGCTGCAGGCATCTGAGGGAACTGGACCTACGGGAGAGTGAAGTGGATGACATTAGTGGGCATTGGCTAAGCCATTTCCCTGACACCTGCACGTCACTCGTCTCTCTAAACATTGCTTGCCTAGTTTCTGAGTTAAGTTGCTCAGTCTTGGAGCGCTTGGTGGCTCGCAGTCCAAACCTGAGGACTCTGAGGCTCAACCGTGCTGTACCCCTCGAGAAGCTTCCCAATATACTTCGCCGAGCTCCTCAATTGGTTGAGTTAGGCACAGGTGCCTACTCGACTGAGCTTCGATCTGATATTTTCTCAAACCTAGCCGAAGCTTTTTCAGGCTGCAAGGAGCTCAAGGGCCTGTCTGGGTTTTGGGACGTGGTTCCTGCTTACCTTCCAGCAATTTATTCAGTCTGTGCTGGGTTGACGTCCTTGAACTTAAGCTATGCCACTATCCAGTGCCCTGATCTCATCAAACTTGTTAGCCAGTGTCATAATTTGCAGCGCTTATGGGTATGTCATCTTGTAATTGTTATGTTATTTATGTGTTTCATTGTAGTATATCTTGTCACTCACTATTTCTAGTGTTTTGGGTTTGGAATTTGATCTTCTACCTGCCTCTTAGCAAGAAATGAAGCTACCAAAAAATTAGCTGCTGTTTGGATTAGAGGTCATCTCATTTGAACTGTTTTCTTAGGCTGACAGTAAATAAAAGGAGATTGGAGGCAATAGTCTGTATTTCCAGGTTTAACGTCAGTCTGCTGCATGGTGTTGGCATGCAAAACTCCTTTTGGCAAAAGAAAAATGGAAAAAGAAAGAATAAAGAGAGCCATGATCTATGTTTGGTCTTGGCTAATCACAGATGATGGGCCCTGGAAGGGACTCCAATTTTTTTACCATTTCTTAACTTATATAAGACATGACTGCAGGTACTGGATTACATAGAAGACAGTGGCCTTGATGCCCTTGCTGCATCTTGCAAGGACCTGCAAGAACTGAGGGTGTTTCCTTCTGACCCATTTGGTGCAGGCCCAAATGTCTCCTTGACAGAACAAGGCCTTGTCTCAGTTTCAGAGGGCTGCCCTAAGCTCCAGTCAGTTCTATTTTTCTGCCGCCAGATGACAAATGCTGCATTAGTTACCATTGCCAGAAACCGTCCTAACCTGATTCGCTTCCGCCTTTGCATTATTGATGCCCAGGCCCCAGATTACCTAACCCTACAGCCACTTGACACTGGTTTTGGAGCCATTGTACAGAACTGCAAGGAATTGCGGCGCCTTTCCCTATCTGGTCTCCTCACCGATCGTGTGTTTGAGTACATCGGGAGCCATGGTAAGAAGTTAGAGATGCTTTCTATAGCTTTTGCTGGAGATAGTGATTTGGGCCTCCATCACGTTCTGTCCGGGTGTGAAAGCCTCCGGAAGCTCGAGATTCGGGACTCTCCCTTTGGGGACAAGGCTCTCTTGGCTAATGCTGCAAAGCTGGAGACAATGCGATCCCTTTGGATGTCTTCTTGCTCAGTAAGTTTTGGAGCATGTAAGCTGTTAGGTCGGAAGTTGCCTGGGCTTAATGTCGAAGTTATAGATGAGAGGGGACCACCTGATTTGAGACCAGAAAGCTCTCCTGTTGAGAAGCTTTACATATATAGGACAGTTGCAGGGCCTAGGTTTGACATGCCTGGTTTCGTCTGGAGAATGAATGAAGACCAAGCGTGGAGGCTTTCTTGAGAAATCTTCCGTCTTGGCTCTCTGTGGATGTGTTTAACAGGTACATGCATACCGACTGCATTACATTCATTTTTGCGGTGCTTTATATAGCTGCAGCACCGGTTGAAGTGGGAGCAGGTTAATGGAGGGTGTAGGGAGGCTCAAGAGCGTGGATGCCATTTATTTTACACTTGGCTAACCGATTTAGTCGCAAATATTGAATAATGAGTAGTTGAACACTTGTTTTCTTTTGGTGTGTCTCTGGAGTTGCATGTTTCGGGATAGTCACACTGTATACTATTTGCAGAGTTATGCATCTGTATGACTTTATGCGATTGGATTCCATTGGTTGAAGCAGATACTTTTTATCTCCTGGACTCACTGTCCAGCTATTAAATAACAATTTTTTACCCTATTACTTATAATCTTCTTGCAGTTTTGTAAACATCATCTGATTTTCTTCTTCCCAACCTCAGTGTGAAGCTAACATAACAAACAAATCTTATAGGACTCGGTCATTACTCCTGCTGAATGGTTAAAGATATCAGATATTGTCAGTTGTGTTTCATTGTCAAAGTTTTTATCTGGAAGTAGGGCATACATTTCAATTCCATTTAGTCTTATGTGGTATTTTCATTTGATTATTTGCACCTCCTGTTTTTGAAGGTGTTTAGTCTTCTTCAGACTTCACAAGAAGGGGAAGAAAGAATTGTGCCAAGTTTAGTCTCCTTTGAATGCGTAATCCATGAACAGTAGAGTGTACCGAGTTGGATACGACTCGGTGGAATCAAATGGGCATCAGCTGATACTTTGAATTATGCTTAATTCTTTCATTGAAGGAGTAGTTGGTTGTGGTTGTGGAAGTCTGCCTGAATTATTTCTATGGCTGGCATAATTTGGCTTTAGGGCAAAATTAGCCTGCACTAGGCATGTTGTGGCAAAGTTGTCTTCTGTGGAAAAGTTGATGAATACTAGTTGGCAAGTTGTGTAATTGGAAAAAGAACAAGTTATTCATTCATGCCCGGAAAAGCAAAAGCTGAAACTAGGGTGGTGCCAGTTGCTTATTGACTTGAGTGAGCTATAAGTTCTAAAAACCTCTTAAGTTCATTTTTTTCAGTGGTCGGAAACTACGTGTATGTCATTTGCGGCTAAGGCTCAGCACTTTGTCACACACAGGCTTGCCTGGAAAGCCCGTTAGCCCAGAGGGCCTGAAAACACAAAAAAGCCCAGTTTTTTCTGTACTTTGTTGGTTAAACTGCTGATTCTCATTTTCTTTTGTGTTTTTTTTTGTCCAACACTATTAAAGGGAAGGGAGCCACAAGGTTGTTTCTCAAAGTAATATAGAGGGATGTTTTCTAGTTAGACTTCCTACGGGTGCCATGGCATATCAGAGATGAATAGATATTGAATTGCATGTTGTAGCAGTGTCTGAAGTCTGACTATGACATGGAAAAATTACCTGTTGGTATCCTATAGTTTTTTGGTAAAATTATATCACTGTAGTTTAGAGTTCTACCACCAATGTCATGATTAACAAACAAATTGATCACTTACCTAAAACCTGATACACGTAATCGAATAATAGTCACATATTTTAAATCAATAGTTCACGATCACCACCAAAAGGGCTGAGCACACGTACCTGTCATGTTTTTTTTTTTTTGGTTCAAGAGTCATGATTTTTTGGGACAGTTTACACGAATTTCAACTAATCTCTTCTCTGATTCAGTTGAAGACGTCCATATCAGAATTAAAATATACATGAGGAACAAATTTTTTATTACTTAACTAAAAAAATTGTTAAAATTTAAACTCAACGTTTTAATTTACAGTTTATTTACCATTTTAGTTATCCGTGTGATTACCTAACACGCTTTTGAGAATGGTTCCACTGACTTTTGTGCACATTCCAACATAACCGTGTTTGATATGCCAAGTCGGGCCCTTCTTTATTGCGAGGTCAAATCAAACTCCCACCTATACTGAAATATCCTTAATGTTAGGTAGAACTAATAATCAAACGTAGTTGTTTTTACCTGCCTGATCATTGTTACATATGATTTGTAAATGAAATACGCAGTAAATATGAATTATCATATGAAAATATACAATCTTATAGGTTTTGAGTCACAAATGAGGTAACTCACTAACTTCTCCTATGAAATGGATCGACAGAGACAATTATACATGTATGCACTTGATTATGCATTACTATATGCAATCACTATATTCTTATTCATAATACGAGTCTAGTGAGAAGTAAATCTGCTAATGTAAAATTATGTATAAATAGTAAAATTTTGTAAGGTTTTTTTACCTTTTGCATACACCATACAGCTATTGAGGGTCCGGTATGAATGCAACACAATAAGTTTTAAGAATTTTTTGCCAGTCAACTATCTACGACGACCATTTTTGACAAAGAATGGAAACAAAACAATTGGCCAGAAAAATCAAAATTCCAAGTCAAGATTGACTAGAAGAGATGTAAATCTTCCCTCTATATCATTTCTTGCTCATGCATTTCTCTCTTCCGCAGCTTGAAAGAGGAACACCCAAGAGACAAACTTGAATTATCAGCTATGGGGAAGATGATCTGTTCAGAAGTTGATGGCGGCCATGGCATCGATCTGATGGGACTCTTCTTAGCAATTATCATTGCTCTTACACTCCTGGTCATATGCTCCCCGCCACCACGGCGGACTATGGTGGCTGTGCGCGTCCGTTGATTGGAATCGTGTTTCTTAGGATTTTCATTTTCCTTCATAGGTGCGCTCTTGTAATTGTTACTCTTCTTCTTCTTCTTCTTTTTTTTTTTTTTTTTTTGTTTTTCTTCGAAATTTGGTTTCCTGTTCTTGTATTACACAAGAAAACGAGATTTATCTGCGGTCTGTTTTTTTTTTTTTTCTAATAATATAATTAAGCTAAATTTTGAATATAATTTCTCAAAATTCTAGTCTACTAGACTTATTTGGAGTAGATCAGCTTAGATTCTCATAACACATCTCTTATGTTAGCATATTTGGATATGAGCTTGAAAAATTAAATTCCTTAGATATTTGTATCAAATTCTAACTTATCTGTTGCAAATCTTCATTGAGGTGATATCTTAGGTCATCTCCAATGGAAACTCAAATCTTTATATAAATTTGAGTAAAAAACTTGATTTAGTATAAACTTCTTCAATAGAAAAACTTACATTTAAAAGAAAAGAAACTCAAATTTAAATCAGGATAAATTCAAATTAAAAAAATATGTAGCATTTGAGAAATTTTTAAGAATTTTTTACCAAAAACTAAATTTAAGTTTGAAAAAAGATCAGAATTAAAGATGCTCTTACACATATATCCTGTTTCAGGTAAAACTATCAAGATAACACTTGGCCAAGAAACCAATTATATGAACCATACGCTTTACAGTTTATGATCAAATTTTTCTTGATATTCTACAGATAATTTGTCTTATAAAATGGTAATTTAAGTATCGGTTATTTTTTTATGTCATCAAGTACAATTTGGATGACAAAGCCCAATCGTCAAGTCTTGATAGCATACTCGGCTCCAAGTGATCGTTGGCTGCTCCCTCATTAGAGGGGAACCTAAAAATTCTTTGGATTCAATAATGCATATCTTTATTTTTGTACAACCATACAAAATACCTAATTTAGCTTACGTGCACCTCAACTAATCCTCTCCCCGATCCGGTCAAAGGCCGGTCATCGACGCTAGGGCTTAAATATTCATGGATAAGTTCCTGGTGACCTGGCCCAACTAAGACAGATCTCAACTAAAAGCAAAAATTAAAATGGAGCAGTACGAGTGCAATCTAGTTTTAAAATCCTAATTTCTCTTTATCAGCAGAAAAATGTGAAGGTTATATCAGCTTGGACTTAGTTGTCCAGTATCTAAACAGTCAGAAAATACTCTGCTACAGATCTTCTGTTAGATTAGGTCTGAGAATGATTTAACAAAAAAATAAAAGTGCAGATAAACATACCTCCTAAGTTGTTGAACCTTGAAGCATCTCCAAAATATGCTCAATTCTGCGCATCATAACAGGTTGACCTGACTTTGTCTTCTTGAGGATCTTCTCTTTTAAAGCGTTTTCTTGAATATAATATTGTTTCTCTTTCTTTCCTCCTTTGCTCGAATAATTGCCTCCATTTCAATCCTTGCACTCTCTTTGTGCTAGCGTTTCTTCTCATATTACACTTTCAGACTGCGAGAACTGTTCTTTTTGTACTTCTTATGCATCAGATATACCATACCAGGTTCTGCAGTTTCATTTTTGTCCTGAAATAGCAATTGAACCATTGACGAGCTTAGATTGAGAGTGCCATGCGCAAATGCACATCCAAAATTGTCTATGATTTTGATGCTAAATATATGAATGACACATGACCTTGGTGGCATTCGATCAAATGGATAAACTAATTTGCAGGGGGCCAGAGGCTAATGCAGAATCATTAAGTTTACACTTCAACCCAAGTGAACCTACATTTTGTCCTTATAAGAATCAAGAACAAGACCAACTTTTGAAGTAACAATCAGACAGGATGGAGTGACTATGGAGTCAAACCTCTATCAGTCTTGTAGGCAGGGGATGATAATTCTGGCCACTTTGATGGAGCTGTTAAACTTGCATACACATATTTAGCATTTCTCTGACAATAATTAAAAAAAAGAAGAAGAAATTCATCAGAAACTAAATATCACAAGCCATTGAAAACAAATGATACATATAGCTTGCGCCGATAAATTCAAAAACAATGGACAATCATCCCCTTGATCCATGGTGATGGTCAACATGCACCACTTCCTAATGAGCTGGCCCAGTCAGGAGTCAGGACCCGTTCAGTTATTTCAAAGCGAAAGTGATGATCAATCTTGGTAAATCTCTGGTCATCTCAAATAAGCTTACAAGCCAGCATAAATTCTCAATCCATGTTTTCTGTTCAATATAATTTGTTCGCATTATGTTTGGGTGGGGTGGAGAGAAGGGTTTCGAATTCTTAATCTAACTGGTAAACAATGAGTAGGATGATTCAAAAGCTACTACGCAGTTCACTACTAGCTTCATACAATGCACCCTCACAATTCAAAGAAAAGAAAACAAAACGAACTGAAAGCTCCTTGTAAATCAAGGAAGAGTGGTTTAATTATAGCATGTCTCATCCCAAATTGAGGTCCGTCAATTTAAATGAGAAATTAGACAGAAAAATTCAAGAACATCTAGTGAAAGAATACGAAAAAAAGACCATTTCAAATCAAACTAGACACATAAAGTTCCCAAAAAGAAATCAAAAACTAAAATTAACACAACCCTAGATTCTAAAGAAGGCAGATATATACACATAATATGCAAGATAGTCAATCTAGGGTTAGAGAAAGAGGATAAGAAATATACTGATCAAGGCCGGGTTGTAATGGTTGTTCTTTATTAGTGACGGCTTCGAGCGAGAGACGTCCACCACCCAATCCCTTCATGTTCTTATTCTTCTACTTCGTCCTCATCATCTTCTTTTTCCTTTATCGATTCTGAGACATTGATTTCGTAAGAACTGTCATTGGACATTCATGGCTTAAAAGCACACAGATCTAATGATTAAGTGCTTAGATCAAAATTAGGAAGATAAAGGGGAAGAAATAATTTTTGGGAACTGCAAAATCAGAAACCCTAATTTGCTTGTGTTTGCAAAATGCAAAATGCAAAAAAATAGAATAAATATTACTTAGTTAAGTATGTTAATCCAAGCCCACCATGAATTGTATCAACAATGGTAATGTAGGTGGGTTTAACACTGTAATCTATACCCCATTGGGAGGTGTGACATAATTTGTGTGGCTACATCGAACTCGACACAAGTTGTGACACTTCACCCCAACATTTAAGTGAGTGCTATCTATGTTTAAATTTTTAAACCCGACTTGAGCTCTAATTTTTCTAGATCGAAATTGGGGTCCTTTGTGACCTATTACTTAAATCATACATCTTGTATTAAAATTCGGGTTGAATCCCAATTTAGTTTCGAAGTAATGAAACTTGGGCTAGAATTTAAGAACATAAATTCACTAATTCATCTTGAGTTCGGGTTATGCCCCAAGAACTTGAATCTATTCAAAGAATGAAAATTTTCTGCCTAAGCCAAATTTAACTATTAGAAATGTTTGTCCAACTATTGAATTTTTCGAGTTGGGTTCGGATTGGCCCATCTCCTTTCATTTTATGTTCTTTGACTATGTTAATTTGTTTTTCTCTGACTCTCCTTCTATTTGTTTGTTTCATGTGATGATACCATATCATTGTCTAAACATATATAACCATCAAAGTTCCGGATATACGTAATAAATACCGCTTAATCTAATAATCATCATATTTAATATAAATTGAGGACGTTTGAGTTTATCATCGCAGCCCTCATTTATTTTTTTCTGGTTTCTCAAGATCCCGGGGGTTACAAATATGACTTGCCACATTTGTTAATTTTTTTCTCAACTGCTTATAAACAATAAGTATACAAATGAATGTATGATGGCTTAGTACTTTGAAGTTCATCTTGCGAAGAACTCCCATCATTAAAGCTCAGTTAGCTGTTGGTTCTTCGTTTCTCTCCCCAGCTTTTCTCATGTCTGTCACACATTGGAGTCAATGGGTTGATTGCCAGCTTCTTGGTTCACTGCAATCTCTTCTGGCTTCTTCGGTTCTGTGGTTGAATTATCCTGTTTTTCCAGTGTGTTCAAATCTACGACGGTTGTTAAATCTTGCAGCTCGACTTCTAGAAGAATTTGCTTCTTTCTGTCTTTGTAGATGACGTACAGTATCATTTGTGCAACTCCAAACATAAATCCTATGATGTTTGGCATCTAATTAACCATGCAATTAACAATCCAAAAAACCAAAACATTGTCAATAAACATGGAAGCAGACGTATAAAGACCATCATTAGGTGCTTGTTTGTGTTTTATTAGGTAACGACCTAAGGGTAACTATCCAAACTATAGGTACTTTGGATTTATGACTACTATGCAAATTTAGATGCATAAATTACCAATAAAACATGTGCAACAGTTAAATTTGAGTTTCATGTGGTCAGGAAGACTTGAACTCAGAAAGTGAGAATTTATGGTGATCTCTTACGGGATCATAAGTCAGTCACGGAGATCAGCTTGTTTGTATTATAGCTAAAACATAATTAAGTGGCAAGAGTTTGAGGACTTCACTTACTGCAATGTAGTAATCCTTTATCAAAAGGCCGTAGAAGAACCACATAACAGCACAGAGTGTGAGGAAGAACGCCAGTGAAATCGGCATGTATTCGACGCTCTTCGTTCTAATAACTAGTCTCTGCAAGTTTGGAAATTTTAATGGGTCAAGTATAATTTCAAGTCCATAATCTTTGAACCATAAATCATGTCCTATATAAATATATATATAATTTTACAAGTACCATAATGCTGAGAGGAGCAGCAAAGACGCTGACAGAAAAGGCAGAACAAATCCAACCAACAATGGTGTCTCTCTGATGGCCATCTGACAGTATGGAAGTGGAAAATACTATTAACCCATATGCTCCCACATTAAATAGGATGACCAACTTTGTAGTATAGATCTGCAAAATTGCCAAACCATCGAATTTTATGAACAAAAGGTCAAAAGCCATAATGTACTGTACTTATGCAGAGCAAATGAAGTAAGGTGTGTGTGAGAGAGAGAGAGGGACCTTGGCCTCTTTCGTTGCATAAATCAGGAAGATGATGAGGTATGTGGTTTCGATGACACATCCTATGGAGTTGATGGTAATGAGAATTATCTCGTTCGTCTTCAGAACAGCATAATACAAGTATAACATGGCACTGAACAGTGCAACCGCATAAGGAATCGACTGAAAACCTTCTGTGGATTTTTTCTTATAAATCCTGTAAAAGGTTGGCCTGAAATAAAACAATGAAAAAAAGAAATAAACAAGAAAAATCAGTTGTTGAATCAATGAATGATATTATCCCATAGATAGAGAGCTCTTACAATGGGGCCAAGTACACCAAGAATGACACGATGTTGCCTGTAATGGGAATAAATACAAAATATTAAAGTTAAGTGAAGTGAAAAGCATGGCAACTTAAATCTAATGAAGAGTTAAGGAGGGAGAAATGAAGTAGATACCCAGAATGCCAAAGGCACAAGCCATGTGAGAAGTAGTGAAGATTGTCATGCTTGGTGTGAAGCTCTCTGTTCCAAGTTAAGGAGCTTATGAAAACTCTATGTACTGCCCACATATATTTATGCAAACATTCCTCTCAACGACTTGTTTTTGCCTCAAGTGGCTTTCTTAATGTCTGAACCAAAGGGCATTTTGGTCACAAAAAATTGTCTTAAGAATTCTGAGAGTTATAATGCAGTGTAACATGGAATAATGGGTGTGTGTACTTCCAAGCTTATCAAAATTTTCCATATTTAGTAAAAATTAATAAGACTTACTAAACCAACAATTCATACTAATTTGGAATATATTATTTAATAAAATATAGCATTAATACTTGTAATGAGAGATCGGTTCAGTCATACCTAAAGTTGCGTAAATTATTGATCACGTCTGATTAATTAAAATATAAATTACATAGAGAGAATTATACTCACATCTTCTATAATTTGTCACTTAATTATTCAGACCTCCAAATATTTGAAATATTATATAAAGACCCTCTAAAGTTTATACGCGCATAACACTTAGATTCCTACCGTCAATATCCACTACTATATCTGTTAATAAATTACACTCAGACGTCTTGAAAATTGTAAGCGTGTAATAGTTAAACCTCTCAAGTTTAAAATATTATACTTAGACCAAAAATATTTTAATCAAAAATAGAATATTAAATATTTTAAGTTTTACAACCAAAATTCATGTTCGATTACAACATTTATTGAAATAAAATTAAAATTAAAAATTTAATTTTTCTTAAAAAATCATAATTAGTATACAATTATACTATCTATTGAAATTTAATTTGGTCATTTAAACTATAAAATTAAACTACCAAATTATCCCAATTAAAGTTAGAATATATTATGTCTATTACAGTTTGACATCTTGTTTGATTTTTTAGTTTTATTTCAATAGATAACTTAATTGTATACTAATTATGATTTTTTAAGAAAAATTAGAATTTTATTTTTGATTTTATTTCAATAAATAACATAATATAACATAAATTTTTGTTGTAAAATTCATGTTCTATTATGAATGACTTAGACCCTTTATTTGATTTTTTAGTTTTATTCCAATAGATAGTAATTAGTATACTTGAGGAGGATTGGAGGATTTTTATCTTTAATTGGAGGATTTTTAGTCTAAGTATAACATTTTAAACTTGAGGAGTCAAACTATTATGCGCCTACAAATTTTAGGAGTTTGAGTGTAATTTATTAACGGATTTTGAAGGCAATTGTGTAAGTGTTACGTGCGTATAAAATTTAAGAGGTCTGTGTGTAATATTTTAAATGTCAAAGCATCTAAGTGATTAAATGATAAACTTTAAAGGATCTGAGTGTAATTCTTCCAATTACATATTGTGATTGCATAACTTATCCATTTAAGAGATTAAATTAAAATTACGACAAACAAGGTTTTGTGTGTCTTGGAGGTTTGTTTGACTACCTAAATTATCCTTCAATTAATTAGTTGTACGATTTTGTTGCATTAATCATGACAAATAATTTGATTTGCTAGATAGCCAGACATGAGCCTCTCAACCTTGACACATCATGTGATGAGTCTTTGAACAAATATATGTGGTTCGTGTGCCCTAAAAACGCATTTGCAATGCACTAGTAAATACCACAAATCATTTGGCATGTTGAAAGATAGTTTTGGTTCCTATTTGTCCATATTAACCTAATCTTATCCATATAATTACTAGGGTTTACATTTACAACCATCATTCTAAATTATGCATAGAGTCAATCTATTGTGAATATAAGTGTTGCTCAGGATCAAGATTTGAAATTCAGTTTCTTCAAAATAGAGATAATATCGACAACCTTGTATATATCAGAATTTGTTATAGAAATAAATCTTCTATATTGGATACGAGATTAATGCTAAATCATGCATTTCCGTCAATGCAATCTTGAATATATTTGCATGTGCATGGAAGGAATATGAGCATACATTAAGAAAATATCGTGTACTTGTGAGATCCCATATTTCATATAAAAAAAATGAATTTTATAGTATTTTTTTTAAATAATTAAAATGATGAAAGAAATTTCGAATCATTGTTAAAGGAATAATCGCATAACTTTGAAGTACGGGCATAATAACTTTTTAGTCAAATTTAATTTTTGAAGGTGTTTATGATTGATAAGGTTAACTAAATAAATATATTAATTTTTTAGGTCAAAATAGCATTAAGATTGAATCCGGGAGGTCCAAAAACCTTGGAATAGATATTTAACGCATATAGCGGTTCAGAGAGGTAAAATGGTAATTTTAGTGTTTCGAGTGTAAATTTATTTTGTTTTTAAGATAAATCATAAAACTAAATTTTTTTAAGTTAAAATAACATTAAAAATGAATATGAAACGTCTAAAAAATTTAGGGTAGTCATAGAGATCAAATTAGAGATATTTAATGACAAAATCGTAATTTCGGAGAAATATGCAATTTTTGGCCCTATAAACAGTAAAAGGATTTGCTACTTTCAAAACATCATTTTCAGCCCCATTTGTCCCATTATTTCTTTCCATTCTCTCACAATTCTTTTTAGAACCCTAGGACAAGATAAAAGGAAAGAGAAGATGGAAGAACAAAGTCTTTAGAGTTTAGGTTTTTGTTTGAAAATCTAAGAATATTACTTGGGATTCTTGGATCCACTTGGACATTTGAAAGTGGAGCTTGGGTTCTTGAGTTTTGAGGTAGGATTTTTCTTTCTCTTGAATATACATTGATGCATCTCCTATATGTTCTATATCTATTTGGTTAGTATAAGCTAAATACATGCTATGAGTCTTAATTAAATGATGAGTATATTATGAATTTGTAAATCTACATGCATTAAATGAATTTGTGTATTGTGGGTTTGAAATCATAACTTTAGAATATATGTGATTTTGTATATAATGTATTTGATTTGTCTCTTAAGAATGAGTATGTTCCTTTGTAAATGAGTATTTGGAGATTTTATGTCTATCATGTGATTGATAAAATGTCAAAGTGAATATAAGTATTGAAATGAAAAATTGTGGAAAGAGGTATTGATTTTCATGATGTAATTGAGTATATTTTACCATGATTTAGGGTATTGTTGAATTATTTTAAAGTATGAAAAATGGTGGTGTTGATCTATACAACTTTTCAATCATTTAATTTGTGAAATTTGCTATAAAATGGTATAAACTGTATTTTTGGTGTGTATATAAGTTATTTTAAAAATGTGTTATGTTTGAAACAGAAATGTGAGATTTTGTAAAATTATGTATTTTTTTTAAAGTGTCAAAGTTGTGGTTGGTGTTGGGAATGGAAGGTGATCATGAAATTATGATTTCAAATTTGTATGCTCGGTACCGACAGACAGAGGATTAGAAAACAGTTTGGGACCCTTGAAGGAGGTTACCAAAGTGACTACTAGTTCTGGGGGGGATTGGTGATGGTAGTGATTTTCGGTGACAACCTGTGTGGTATCACAAGTTGTACCCTATACATCTCCCCTGAAAAGTAAAAAGAGCGATGAGACCCTAGGATGCAAGACCCTAAAGGTTCCCCAGGAATTGTTCATTCGTGAACCAGTGTTTGTTTGATGATATATGTCCATATGAGTAGCATAAATGGATTTTGGGTGCCAATAAATCAGTAGACTAATATTCCAACAAACTTATTGAGTGGGGTGAGGTAAGATGAGGTTGAGACGAAAGTACATGGAGTTAATATTTTTGAAGAATCCTCTAAAAAAACAAGTTTATGAAACTGTGTTCAAAATAAAAAATGATTACTTTACCAGATTTTTTATACATTTAATTGTATAAAGATTTTTCAATTTGTACTTTATAAAATCAATGGTTTTGCATTTTGTTTTAAGAAGAGAAGTTTTATAGTGTTATTTTGAGATTTTATTTCGATGTGGTTAATTCCTTGATGTTTCACTTATGTATTTCAAATGATAGTATGTAGTGTACTTTCAAAAATACTTACTACTTATCGTGTACTTAGACTTATTGATAAATAATTTCTTTGCCTATCAATATGATTGTGAATTGTTGGTATTTAAAATCTTGTATATGCTTTGAGAAAATGATTATTTTACTGATCATGTGGTTGGTCACCCCTATCATTTAACATTTTTAGTTATGAGCATATGTTGGTGGACTGCATAGTAGGAGTATCGAGATAGAAGATAGTTGTTATGATTTAGTTAGAGCATGTAAAGAATAATATAGGATGATGTATATTAATGAGGAGTTGTAAATGATTTATATCTTGGTTAATTTGAGGGAATATGTATAGATTGAGACTTTTTAAACGGTTTACTTATAAAAAATTTCGATATTCTGTATATTATGTTTATGATGAAGAATTTTGGATAATTAGATTGTAACCCGAATTTAGGAGAATTTGGTGGACCCCCACTTGTTATCTCAGTTTTAAACAGTAATGATTTATTTACGGATGTCATGAGAAGGGATGTATATGGTTGATATGATGTGAATGACTAGTTAGGTATAATTATTATATTTAATACTCTCACAGGTAACTCTCACCAATTATTTGAATACCCGATTTTTAAAGGAAACTCAATCGAAATTTTCTAAAAAATTAATTTATTTAAACTAAAGAAATACTTTCCTTGAAGTTTTTACAACAAATCGGCATATTTTTTTTTTTGGAATAAATAAGGTATTTGTTTTAATCACACTTTTATGTAATTTGGTGTGAGCGTACTGGTTCATGAACAACTGAAAATGTTAAATGCAGTCATGGGGGAGAAAGTTCTAACTAACAGCACTTTATGACTATGTTATGTTGGGTTGGTTTTTCTTGAAGTTCTCAGGTGGCATTCATGGCAGCTTTGTCTTATTGAGGGTCCCTTTATTTAATCAGTTATGGTACTGCTGGTCTCTTCAGCTTTATATCTTCAACTTGCCTTCTGTTACTGGTTTGTTATATAAACATTCTACAGGTAATGCAAACTATGGGCTCAAATCCCGCTTCGATTATATGTCAGATTGTCTACATGAATCATATTTTGTCATACTACAACCTTTTACGAGCAGCCACGTCCAAATCAAATGCAACTTGATCAGCCAAATATACTGATGCCTTAACCCTTTATCGATGAATTATTAGGGAATCCCAGGAAATGCTGGTCACTGCTGGTGTAGTGTAGCTTTCTATCTCCAGTTCTCTCCTTTGGATTTTATCTGATAAATACATGTTAGAAGCTAAAATAGGAGACATGCAAATTTACACATTTTTCTAGATTGAAGTAATAATGATATTTGGATTGGTTGATGCTGATGGGACATTTCTGAAATACTCCAAGATGAAGACACGTGTCATCGGTGTCACTGATCCTTGTTTATCGAGATCACGTACCCATCGGGGTCACAAGTCCCCTCTACCCCGAGGTACTTATCATGGATCGAGTGGCATCCAGTACGTTTTTTATGTACCGACACGTACCCTCGATCTGATATGGTACATCGGTCGCTAGGCCTCCCCCCTTCTCGGATTCAAGATGTACCTCTTCCTCGGTTCCGAGATGTACCCCCTCTCATCCATGATGAAGTTCTCTGCTCCAGCAGAGGTTATTGATGCACTGATCACTAGCCTAGGCTAGACTAGGTTAACTATCATGACCTCGTTTTACACAATTGGTGTCAGAAGGCACAGGAAGGCAGGGGCCACAACCAATGAGGAATGGACACGTGGCATATTGTGTCACATCAGAGACAGAAAAACCGCATGACCTTGCTGACACGCGACTTGAAAAAACAAGCATTTAATTACATCAATCCCTTGATGAGACTGCATTCAATGCGGTAAGGCTCAGAAGTGAAAGGCAATAAATGTCTCTAAGGCTGGACATTTATTGCATCCTCCCCGAGAGGAGCTCATTGAACCGTCGGCAGGCCGATGACACAGACTTGATTGTTCGGGGTCCCGAGCAGTTAAGAGAGAAGACATTCCTCATAGGAATCAGTGCGCACGTTGCCTGTATCTAATAATCACCTATTGACCACACCGACAACAATCATGAGTATTTTAGGTATAAATACTCCTCACTAAAGGCAAGAACGGAAGGTGAAACTTTTGCTACAAATTATACTCAGTGTTTTCTTCTTCCTCTCTCTCAAAAACTGACTTGATCGTCGGAGGGGATACGCCGGAAAACACTCCAGCGCCCTTCTAACTTGTTCTTCTTTGTTCCAGGAACCTTTCTTCAGCCTTACTGGATTGTTCCTTTGATCCGCGAGGGTTTCCCATTACCGTTCCAGGTCACCACCAGATCTCACAGGCTGTTCCAAGCAGCGTGGTTGACCACTCAACTGACTCACTCGAATTCACCAAGAGAGAGATCTGTTCTCGTTTTTATATTGTGCAAGATCTAGCACGCACACAGATGCTTATAGGAATTGGGTTTTGCAGATTCGACAGCACCCTTAAAATGAACACAAATAATTGATGTGATTATAGACTTTAGACTTAGAAATTGAAACCAACGATAAATTTGCAAGTTATCTTTTCTGGAATTACTTTTGATAACAAAAATTTGATTTTAGAATTACATGAGAAATACAGATACACCTATTTCTAAAAGGTAGCACTAAAGTTTTTATTGATAATAGGTTGAATGTAATGCAATATCTGTTCATTTTCAATCTGTTATGGTCAATAAATGGAACTTGGCCAAAAAATGTTCTTGTTTCTATCATTAGCTTGTAACGGATTGAGTTATAACGGATTAAGTCATATAACGAATTACGTCATATTGAGTTTAGTCTAAAGAGATTGTCGTCTTTGGATCGCTCTCTCCATTCCGATTTGTCTGCATTGAGTGTTGCAGGACAAAGAGGATCTCTCTCTCTCACAGATTTCTCTTCATTGAGGTTGTGACCTCTCGGCCCTACAACACGAAACTCTTCGCAATAAGGACAGGAGCATATATAACACTTTCTGCAAAAGTTTCCAATTAGTTCTGTCGCACTTTTATGTATCAAAGTCTTATTGAATCAAGAAGAATTTTAGTTGCAACACCTAAATCATTTTTAGTGGCATTCATCTCATTAAATTGACCGTATTGAACATCGAAACCTCAGAAAGGATGAAGGATAAACCTATATACATACTTACTCAAACACCATATTAAATGATCAATGATGATCTGAATCTGTATCTATATCTATATTTTTATATGAAAAATAGAAGAATTGTTATGGATCAATTCTACATTAAAGAAAGAATCGAATATTCATTGATCAAATCATTCACTCCATAGTTTGATCGATCTTTTAAAGAATTGATTAATCAGATAAGAATAAAGATAGAGTCTCATTCTTCATTTAATACCGACAATAATGAAATTTATATTAAGAGGAAAATCCTTCGATGAGAATAAAGATAGAGTCTCAAGTCCCTTTATTCCCAAAAAGTCCATTTGACCCCATCTTATCCCTGTCTTGTCCCTTTTCATTAGCAGTTCAAAATTAGAGAATAAATAAAGCTAAATGCACTTAGGAAAGCAACTAGGCTACAATTGTTTCACTTGGCAAACAGGCCACATTTTTTTCACTAGGCAAATAGCTAAGCTACACATGCTTGCTTAGGCTAATCGAAGGCTACTAAGTATTCAGTACTCAAACACAGCTACATATCCTATTCAACGAAGACCTCACTAAGGTCGAGCCAAGCTTATTCGATTAGTATTAATTGCATATCTCTGCAATAGAGTATTAAGTTGATTGAGCCAGATATGGCTTGAGCATTGGAATCAAGGAGCCACCTAGGTGGAGAGACATAACTTCGTTGGTGGATCCGACAAGGTTTCCGCTTATGAAAACCGTAGGCACAGGTGCATTGCAACCCATCTTCACGAGAGCCTTCTCCATTTCCCTTCCCTCGGGGTCTTGATCCATTTCATGAACCAAAGGATGAACCCCGAGGTCTTGAAATAGAATAGTGACAGCATAGCACAAGCAACATGTACTCTTGCTGAAAATCACTACCCCATTCTCTGAGACCAATCTCAATACCTTATCCATCTCGACGTTCCCAAGTTGAAACAACAACAAAAACTCCTTTTGATACAGAGATTAGAGATTATGTCCTCTTAAAACTTATAAACACTCTCACAAACCATCGGACCCCCTCCAATTCAAGTGGCGATCCGAAGGCTGGAGGTTTTGATTTGGAGGGAAATACCAAAAGGAGAAGTTGGCAAAGGGAGAAAAATGCTTTGCAAGTTGAAGGTTGGTTGGACTTGAGTTCCCCAGCTACTCTATTTATAAAAACACAGCTAGAAGATGGACTCCTTTCACAAAACAGGAACATTCAAAAGCTGATTTGCTTTGCTTAGATGCCCAACCTTACAGAGTTACTTTCTAAGATTGATACTGTTTTGTTCTAGACACACTGAACAAGTTGGAAGATATAAATATTCTTGTCACGTTTGCGTAAATCTACATGATGGAGAGATTATGACCATCTGATATGCTGACTATTCATCTGTATTTTCCGTTGATTTAAAATACCATGATAAAAAATCTAATGAGTAATTCAAGTGATAATAAAAACGAGTTATAAATCTAAACGTCGTGAGTTCAAATCTTTTTAATTTCTTAGGGTCAGATCACAAAGAATTTATCTCTCATGAATTCCTTAGTCTCAATATAGATAACCAGCGTTTGATCAGACTGAAAAAAAAATTAATCGAAGTGCGTATAAACTGACCCGAACACCTTGACCGTTAAAAAAAAAAAAAACACCATGATCAAAAGATCATCTAATTGATTTGTAACACACACTTGTGCAAGGTCTTGACCATGTGTTCAGCGTCAACCGATTGCATGGACATGAATGCTCTCTCCATGAAAATGCAACAAAATCTGAGAATTCCTAAAGGGTTCGGTCAATTTCCTCCTGATTCTCACAATCACCTTGTTAATATATTCCATGTGGTGTAAAGATTACAAAAGAAACACCTTTCGGTGGGTGTGATTCTTTGTGTTGCGCCCACCAACTTGCACCAATTCCTTCTCACGAGTGAGCACGTGAGTCTTTCTTCATATATATTACTCATGACAAGCTCCATACAGTGATTACAAATGATCTGGGAAACACCTACACTTTAGAGTCTTAGACACAACGAGAGACCTGATCGTATGAGCAAAGTAGAAAAGATCATCTCCTCTTTGAATGAGTTAATTGTTAACCACAAATTGTACCAAGTGTCGTATGTAGAACCATTGACGTACAGTACTATAAAGCCTGTGTGGCTACTGTGTTGTGTATGCTTGTATATATGCATTTCCTACACATGGCAAGGGTCTACTTTTCCCAGATATACATGAAGGCTCTTGCAGAAACAGTGCAGGCTTTGAAAAAGTTTTTGTGCTTTTGGATGCGGAGGAATTCCCTTTTTACATCCGGAGCGTCCAAAAAAATTTAACCCACTATATTAAATAATAATTTATTTTTTTTTTCAATTCTTTGATTACATTATTAAAATCTATGTTTATCCATTATTTACTTAAAATTATTGACAATTATTTTTTTAAAATACATAATTCAACAAAATTTTCTCAACATATCTATACTATCGTGTATGGATATTGTTTGAAAATAAAAAAAAATATATTAAACTATAAATTAATCAAATATTAAAATAATTGAACATGTGATAGAAATGAGCGATGTGATATTTTTTAGGAGGAAAAATATGAGGAATAAGATTCAACTTATGACTTATAATAAATATATATATAATGATTACTTAGGACGATGCTAATGTGGTATCATTAACCTATAATATCAAAACAAATAAACAAATGTGTCCCACTAAAATTAATAACCAATCTTCCATGTATGTAAATAACTATACATTCTTCATCTATGTAAGTAACTCAAGTGAGGTTTACCTTACCCACTTGGTGTTTGATTCGTGATACCACGTCAGCATTACTAAAATGGTATCACCGTTGCATTCAATGATACAGAGAGTTGGCCAATCAAGAACAAAACAATCAAATCTATAACTCATGTTGAGAGTGATCAGTCCTGTTGAGAGTTGCACTTTGTTTTGTTCACTTCATGATCATGCCTCACAACCGTGTCCACATACATTTAGTTTCATTTTGGTGCAGCTGGTATTTTACTTTATCCTATTGTCACTTGTGATTAAATAAATGGGGTCATTTCTGACAAAGGTATAATTCTCCGTTGAAATATGTCTTGATCATTGAATCGAAGCGATGCATTGAGGAAATTAACTTTATTCTTTGGTAGTTTAGCTTGTGTGTAGGATCAATTTTTCTGAATATTTTCGAAGAATAGATCGTTGGGAAAGCTGTCGAATTCTGTCGGATCATGAAAGTTGATTTGAGAATTTCAGGAAAATGCCATCTTATCCAAAACAAAAACAAAAAAATAATAACCTAAAAAAATCTGATAGACAAAAAACCCACCCACGACCATAAAAGTTGATTTGTGTTTCCGGTATCTCTAAGGAAGAAATTAAAGTAGTCAGTTACCGTCCAGAGTTCGAATCATGATAATTCTTTAGGATCAAATAATGAGAAATAAACGAATTATTTCCCATAAATATCATAGTCTTGGCGTAGATGATATATTTTTTGACCAAATCAAAAAAAAATTAATTGTAGTACACGTAAACTGATTCAGTCATCTATGACTGTTGTACCCTAAAAAAAAAAAACAGCCAGTTAAAAACTTACAGTATCTATTATCCATTTTTACAGGGTGACCTTTTCAATAAAATAGTCACCATTCACCAAAGTTGGGGGAAGAAACAGAAAATCACTAGGTAAAACTTTTTTTTTTTTTTCGTTTTAGGATCAAGCTCATTTTGGTGGTATAACTTGAACCCTGACACGGTAGGGGGTTATTTTGAGTCTGCTAGAACCAGATAGCTCCTGCATCAATGAGCATTTGCTTCAAAGACCCGTCGAGATGGTGGGATATGATCTCTGGGGCTGAACCAACAAACTTTCCTCCTATGAACACAGCTGGGACTGTAGGGTTACAGCCCAGGCTTCTAAGGGCGACCTCCATTTGTTTTCCTTTTGCATCTTGATCAAGTTCATGAACTGCAGGACTTGCACCAAGTTCATAGAACAGTGCCTTGATACTGTGACACATGCAACATGAACTCTTGGTGAAGATCACTGCAGCCTTCTTCGACGCCAAGTCTCTCACCCTATCCATTTCAACAACTTCTAAATTGTTTCTCTCTCTCTGTACACAAACAAAGAACTTGCTTGCAATGCAGCCAAGAGCAGATCAAAGCTTGAGGAGAGATAAAATAGCAGGAAAGTAGCTTTGAAAGTTAGAAGAATGAGTGTTATATGCTTGTTTTACACTTCTCGAGGCTTATCGATCTGCGATGGATTTTGAGCTTGCATCACCTCTTATTTATAGTGAATGGTGAAGGTGATGGAGTGCAATCTCTTATCCGGAAAAGCAAAATAAATATATTAGATAATGATAGAAAATATGAAAAGAGAAAGTTCCTTTAGATATTTGTCTGGATAAGAAAAATGGCCCTGTTCATTTTCTTGACACAGACCCTTTGCTCTTCAAACAAGTTGACGACACATAGCATTTTACTCATAGTGATGGTTCAAATTTTCAAATCCACCAGAATGTCCGTACAGGCTAACAATGTCAAACTTATAACAGCGTTAAGGTACTTTGGGGCTCGGTTAGTTGCGTATTAACAATCACGTTGTGTTGAGTTCGTATCGAACGCCAATTAATTCTAATTTAATATATTTAATTAATCGTATCGTGTCAATTTATTTGTTCATTTTTGTGTCGAATTTGTGTTAGTATTCGTTTTGATTCATATAAACTTTTGAATAAAGAATTTAACGTTAAGATTTAAGTTTAAGATTCTATTATTAATTAATTAAATCTATGCGTATAATTTTTTTATAAATTAAAAATTAACTTAGTAAATATAATAATAATAATGAGTAAAAATATCTTTTGTACAATAATTATATTAATGCTTAATAAACAATAACAAATAATTAACGTTTTATATGTATAATATTAATTAAACGTGTTAATCGTATCAATTTTGTATTGTTCATGTTTGACACTAGCCCAACCTATTTATTATTCGTATTAACAAGTCATGTTATTTATGGGTCCGTATTAAAAAATTATTAACCTTAACCCAATAATTTCGTACCGAGTTTGAATTGTATTTTTGTATTGTGTCAAAAATTATCTCTCCTAATAAAATCACAGGGGGTGGGAAGGTGGGGGATATATTCTGTTACTTTATATGAAAGTATTTTGATGAAAGGCAGAATTTCGGAGAAAAACTAATATATAATTATGTAGAGGAACCTGTAAAGAACTTCTCTAGATCCTTCATGTGTTTCTTGGAAGAGTTGAGTTCTTATAGTGTTATTCTCCAAAACAAAGGAATAATACTTTTTTCCACTGTAAGCATATTAGCCACGTATACCAACTTCTGAAAATACTATGGTTGTCTCATTTAGACTGTTTTTTTGAGACCCTGGGCACTATTCCCTTCATCTCCTGGACTCCAAGCAGAGCTTAAACTCATTTGATAGTGTAAGAGAAGAGGAGCTAAGGATTAAAGACCAGAATGGGCAGCAATGGGCAAGTGTCTTTCACTTAAACAATACATCGTAGGTTCAAATCTAAAAATCAGTCTCCACAAAAAGCAAAAAAAGGGATAAGGTTACTTATCATTTACCTCTTTCGAACCACGTTATAAACCGGGCTCTTCTTCTGAACTAAGTGGGAGGATGTTTACAGTTGCAGGTTGACAAATGACTAAGTTGGTAGATTTCATTACTTTACATGAGCCTTTTTCTTCTTTCTTGCATGTTCTACATGGTATGGTAGTCATCCTGTTGGGATCCTTATTTTGCTGGTGTGGGAAAAGATAAGGGTTTATCCAGATTCATTTCCACTTTCAAGCGTTGGTCCCCTGTCAAACTTGTGTGGAAAAGAATAAAGAAGCAAGAAATCAGTAGGCAATCTGAACAGCCATTGATTATTACTAACTTACATAACCCAAAGTTCGAAAAATTAAATGCCCATAAATAGTTTTATCTTCAAGAAAATTATCCTAAAATTTAACCTTAATTAAATTCTGTTCACTTTGTTTCATATGCACTTTCTTCAATCTTGCAGTGGCAAGAGTTCTTCCTACTGACATAACTGGAATAACTCTAGCAAAGATAGAGAAGGATCTTTGTACAAACATTAAATTACAAAAAACCCTCAACATAAAGAGTGATATTTATATATTAGAGATTGATTAGGATAAAAATATATTATGTCCAAATACATCTCAATATGATTATTTAAACCCACAAAATAAGTGAGTTTATTTAAGATGCTATAGGTGGGTTTGAATGCACTATTCATCCGGCATTAATAATATTTTTAGGTGATAATATCGGATCCAAAATGTGTATCCAAACATGGGAGTAAAATTTTGTCAATTTCTTATAATGGATCTATGGGGTATTAAAATTTTGTCAATCCGATTAAATACAGTCATGAAAAAAAAAATTGTTGTCTCATAAAATCAAATTCAAATCATTTACAGTCAGGTTCGTGCTGATCCATTTATTTAAATGAATTAGGTCAACTCTATTACAACTTTAAATTATCTGGAACCTCAATCTTATCTAAATGATACTCTTAAAATTTGACTCAATAAAACATCCTATTCAAAATGCATGTGAGATTTTCTATCATTTATACTCTAGAATGACCAAATAATATATAGGATTAAAAACAAAAACTAAATGAGATGACATTGACAAAGTGAATATAATTTGAATTGTAAATTTGGCTGGAAAGGGGTCCCAATGAGAAAATGAGGTGAGTTGAATTTGTCACAGCTATCCACAAATTTCAATTTTGAATCAAGAGTTAATACTATAAGACTTATCTGATCTTATTAATTGTTATTTTTTTTCTTGAATTTATCATCACTTTTCTATTATAGTATTAAAGATTTCGGTAGGACATGTATTTCTATTACTATAAAATTTATGAATGAAGTGACTGATCTTGTATGTGGTTTTTAAAAAAATGAATTTATCCTAAGATCTCAACAAAGAGGCATGGAAACACATAAAAACTCATACCAAAATACCACATCATCAGGCAACAGCCCAGCAACAGCAAATTCCTGTTCTGGGTCCAATTTTGCAATCAGTGTAGGGTTTTCTTTTATGTTTTTCAAACTATGATGTCAATGGAATTAGCAAAACCTCAGCAATTTAACAATCTTACTTGTGTCCAAGGAAGATATTTCTTAATAGCAAAAAATAAATAAATAATACCACGTGTCGTCTGCCTAATGAAAAGAATTAATTAGCAAAGTAGCCTCATAATTAAACGATATAAAGAATCAAATAAACCATAAAATTAGCAAGTAGTTCTAAGTGACTCAACCTTTCCACAGAATAGCCGACCATTTGATGCATAAGTAAGGCAACTTTCACAAAGAATCACCAGAAAGATAAGATGATAATGATAAAATAACAGCAATGTGCACATTGAGTAATAATAGTTTAGTCATGTTTGTGTGGAGAATATGTTAGCGCCATTTCTTTCCGACCATTGCTACGTGTAAAAGAGAATAATATACAAGAACATCAAGCTATCCTCTTTTCAAGCAATAAAAAAAAAAAAAAAAAAAAGCAATCCTCCTCTTCTTCTTCTTCTTCTTCTTCTAGTACGACGTCATGTGGGTTTCTATTTTTCATACCATGCTCTTAAAAGGAAAATTACCTTTAATCAGCATCGTTTTCCTCCATCTAGCGGTGTTCAATTTCCTCGATTTCAACTGGATGCAAATCACATAATTGGAAGAAAAGGTTATACAATTGGATAAACCCAACATCTGTCTCCACCTCAGAAGATGCTACAACATGGATATACAGGAAATCCCATTGATGAAAATGGGTATGACAACATTACCATACTGGCCTCTTGTAACATAATGCAGCTAAACCGACTGTCAAAAGATTCAAAAGAATTCTTGATTAATGTTAAGTGTAGCATATTAACACAATATTAGAGAGAAACAGAGATAGGTCAAAACTCAACCTAGCTCTCATACATCATTTGTATTTATAGGTAACTCATAACAAGAATTACACATACACACCCTCTTGTATTTACACATAATACCCTAACACTATTAGCAAATTACATATACTACCCTAATACTCTTAACACTCCCCTTCAAGTTGGACCGAATAAAGTGACAATCAACCTCAATATGTTTGGTTCTCTCGTGAAACACCGGATTGGCAGCGATATGGATAGTTGTCTGGTTGTCACAGAACAACTGTAAAAGAGGTGGAACTGAAAACCCAATTTCCTAGAGAAAATGCAGTAGTCAAGTCAACTCACTCGTCTCAGCCTCAGCACTAGATCTTACTACCACAGATTGTTCCTTATTTTTTCATGAGACAACGTTACCTTCTAAGAAAGTACAATAACCAGTAGTTGATATCCGATCAGAAGGAGAGTCAGTTCAATCAGCATCTGAGAAACCTTCCACTCTAAGATGTCAATTCGCTCGATATAACAGTCCAAGTTTAGGAACTCGTTTAAGATATTGTAGAATACGAGTAACTGCCTCCCAATGTGGTACTCTAGGACACCCCATGAACTGACTTACTATACTGACTGTACAAGAAATATTCAGACGAGTAATAGTGAGATAATTAAGCTTCCCAACCAATCTGCGATACCGACCCGGATTCTCAAACAGTACACCATCATCCATTAATAGTTTCTGATTCGGATCCATAGGAACATCAATCGGTCTGTCATCCAACAAACAATCTATGTCAAGTACATATTTCCTCTATGATAAAGAAATGCCCTATTTAGATCGAGTCACTTCAATTCCTAAGAAATACCTGAGTTTTCCCAAATCCTTAGTATGAAAGCGATATTGCAAGAAGATTTTTAACTTGGCAATCCCCTCAGAATCATTTCCAGTAATCACAATATCATCTACATAGACCACCAATAGAATATATTCAACATCCGTTTGTTTATGGAACACAGAATAGTCTGTCTGACATTGAAGAAGACCAAACTCTAATACTACATCTGAAAACTTACTAAACCATGCCTTCGGTGACTGCTTCAAACCATACAAAGATTTCTTTAATCGACATAAACTCTTACCATACTCCCCCTGAGCAGTAAACTAAAGTGGCTGCTCTATGTATACCTCTTCAACCAAGTCATCATAGAGGATGACATTCTTGACGTCTAACTAAAACAATGGTCAATCAAGATTAGCAACCAAAAAAAATTAAGATACAAACAGCAAAACTTTTAACAACAGGAGAGAAAGTCTCCTCATAATCAACACTATAGGTCTGAGTAAAGCTTTTTGCAACAAGTCGGGCTTTGAGACACTCCACAGAACCATCCGGATGAAATTTAACAGTATACACCCAATGACAACCAACAGTTCGTTTACCAAGGGGTAAAGGAACAAGATCTCAAGTCTCATTATGATGTAAGACATCCATCTCATCCTTCATAGCTTTCCTCTAACCCGGATCAGATAATGCATCCTGTAAATGCTTAAGGATAGATATAGTAGATAATTGAGAGGTAAAACAAGAGAAAATATGAGATAAGGCATCATATGAAACAAAGTGAGTAATGAGATGATTAGTAACACACGAACGAGTACCTTTTCGAAGAGCAATAAGTAAAGAGTCTAAATTACCTGATGGACCAAGATCAAAAGACGGCAAGAAAGACGGTACGGACACCTCAGTCGATGATCGAGAACGACGAGAGTATACACGAAGAGGTAAAGTAGACAGTAACACAGTAGGCAGCGGAATATCTAAAAATGAGGGAACGAATGGTGGTACAAGAGGTGACTTAAAGTCCAGATCCAAAGGCTGAGAAGGTGCTAGAAAATATGGAACAGATTCCTCAAATGTGACATCGGCACTAGTAAAGTATCGCCGCAGAGAAGGACTGTAGCAACGATATCCCTTCTGTGTGCAGGAATAACCAAGAAATACATATTTGGTAGCTCGAGGATCAAGTTTATCAAATCCAGAACCCAAATTATGAACATAACAGACACATCCAAATACCTTAAGAGTTAGAAAAAATAAGGGTTTACCAGGAAAAAGAACAAAATATGAACTTTGTCCATTTAACACAGAGGATGACATACGATTAATAAGGTGACAAGCAATGAGTACAGCATTACTCCAAAAATATCGGAGAATATTCATCTGAAATAACAGGGTACGGGTGACTTCCAACAAACGACGGTTCTTGCGTTCAGCAACATCATTTTGTGGAGATGTGTAAGCACATGACGTCTGATGAATAATGCTAGTTTTACTAAGATAAGCTGAAAAATGATCAGATTCATATTCTCAAGCATTATTAGAACATAACATACGTATACGACAATCATACTGAGTTTTTATTTCTTTACGAAAGTTCTCAAATATAGAGAATAATTCAGACCGAGCTTTCATCAAAAATAACCAAGTTACACGAGAATAATCATCCACAAAAGACACAAAATAAGGATATTTATTAGATGAAATATTCTTTATTGGACCCCATACATCAGAATGTACCAACTCAAATGGACTAGACACACAATTATTGACTCTGGACTAAAATGACACACGGTGATGCTTACTAAGTTGACAAGTTTCACAAGACAAAGACGACACACAACTAAGATTAAGAACTTGGCGCTTCAGATTCTGGAGAGAGGGATGTCCAAGGCGACAATGTCATTGAAAAGGAGACAACGAGGTCTGTAGAGCCCGAGTAGGTGAATCAAAATCAAAGTAATATAGGTCACCGACTTCATGTCCCATACCAATCTTCCTCTTCATCTTGAGAACCTGAAAGACACAATAAGAGGAATAAAAGGTTATAGAACAATTAAGAGAACGAGTAATCTTACTAATGGAAAGTAAACTAAAAGGAAACTGAGGAACAAATAACACGGATGATAATGACACATCAGGACTCAAGTGAGTAGTCCCCAGACCTGAAACTTTAGAACAGATACCATTAGCAAGAGTAACACTACATGTGGAAGTAGCAGACTGATAAGTAGAAAAAAACATCAGATGCACCAGTCATGTGGTCAAAAGCGCCAGAGTCTATGATCCAGGGACTGCGAGTGGAGGACAATAAACAAGTGGAAGCAGTACCTGACTGGACAAAAGTAGTAATGGAGGGAGATGGAACAACCTGTTGCTGGGACAGGAACTGGGCATACTCCTCTCGACCCAGTGTAATAGTAACTGACCTAGTGTTTGGTGGAACTGACTGAGGTATGGAAGCAACAACTGAGGTATCATCCTGATAAGAAGCCTGACTAGCAGCATTAGAAGATTTTCCATGTAAATCCCAACAGAAGTCAACAGTGAGTCCTCTACGACCACAGTGAGTACAAGAACGGGATCCACTACGGCCCCCACGACCACCCGTACGACCTCCTCAACCACCACATCCACCTCGATGACCATCACTGTGGCTACTAGAAATCACAAGAGCTGAGCGATCAGTAGAGACACCATGATCGATGCCTGAAAGATAAGACAATGTGGCACACTGTAAACGAGAGAAAACCTCAAGCAGTGATGGAAGACTAGAACCACCCAAAATCTGAGAACGAATAGCCTCATATTCAGGTTTCAATCTTACCAAAAACCTAACAACATTCAGGTCCTCATGTTGTTTTTGTCAAACTGTTGCATCAATAGTAAAAGGATGATAGGTCTTCATTTCCTCACAGACTCCCCGAACATGAAAGTAATAATCTGCAAGACTCAGAGTACCCTGCTCCAACCAGAAGTAGTCCTTACAAACCTCATATGCACGAGTAAAATTACTTGAACCAGAATACATAGTAACCAAGTGATTTCATATCTCTTTGGTAGTATTAAGATAGAGCAGAGAAGAGTTAATACTAGACTCAATGTTATTCAACAATAAAGAGATAATCTAAGCATCCTCTTGTTCCCACTGATCATACCCAGGAGTGTCTTCCTTAGGTTTAAGATTCACCAAATATTTCTTAAATCCTTTACCTCGAAAAAAGACTTGAACAGATCGGGACCATAAAGTGTAATTAACCCCATTGAATTTGACAGAGGTCATGAGACCATTGATGAGAGTAGGAGGAGGCAAAGATGGAGTAAGGGACGTGGTATTTTGCTTGGGTTCCATAATAGTGCAGCAAATAGCAAATAAAAAGTGTTGCAATGCTGATCGGGGTTGGAAATAGGGGCTAGACCACTGAACCGGATCAGCTGGACCTGCTAGAGGACTGAACCAGGCTAGAAATAGGGGCTAGATCACTGAACTGGATTAGTTGGACCTGCTGGAGGGCTGAACTAGGCTGGAAATATGGGCTGAACCACTGAACCGGGTTGGAAATATAGGCTAGACCACTGAACCGAGTTGGAAATAGGGGCTGGACCACTGAACCAGTTCGGTTGGGCTCTCTTGATCACTAAACCGGACCACTGGAGCTCCTGGACTGCTAAACCGACCTGAACCGTGGGTTGAGACTTAAAAACAATTTCAGTCCCTGGATTGACCCGATCTGGCTGGGCTCTTCTTCCTTGCTGGCTGATTAGGGTTCCAAGAGAACCCTGGTTCGACACTACCACAGCCACCACACACCGCGACGACGACAACAAGACACAAAGCACCACCACCACCAACGATCAACACAGGCGACTGTCACCACCACTACAGCGACACACACGTAGATCACACCAACAATCAACACAGTAATCACCAATGATCAACACAGACCACCACTAACGATCAACACAAAATTAATTTATTCGAAATATATATTTATAATCATAAAGCTCTGATATCATGTTAAGTGTAGAATATTAACACAATATTAAAAAGAAACAGAGATAGGTCAAAATTCAACTTAACCCTCATACGTCACTTGTATTTATAGGTAGCTGATAACAAGAATTATACATACACACCCTCTTATATTTACACATAATACCCTAACACTATTAACAAATTACATATACTACCCTAATACTATTAACAATTAACATTTCTGCAGTTATATATATGGATCAGGTGATCGAATGCTTTGCAAGATTGCCAATATCATTTGGTTATTCTTCCAATCGAACTCTTACTGGGAAGCCGATCAATATATCCAGCAACAATATGGTCTGTACATAGGATAATCATGTCATTTAAGAATGTAGGGATGCATGTAGCATATCACCATACTTATCTGCAACTCGTCATTCTGGGAGATTCATAATGACATCATCAAGCAACAATCAAGGGTAACCTGGGAATGCAATTAAATATATATCGGAACAATATTTTCCTTCCTTTTCGCTTGTTTTCCATCTGCTGAAGTAGTGCAACCCACCACCCCTAGGCATGTATAAATAACCTACAAAAGACAGCAAGTTCCTCACAGCAAAGCATTAGCTCTCATCAAAAGCTTTATATTTCACATTGTTTTCAGAGTGTCGAACCCCCAATAAGCTCCTCGGTCAAGGTTTTCCATATTTTTTATTATTTGTGGGTTGTGACTTGTGATAATGGACATAGTGAGAGATTGGTAGCTGACAAACCTGTGGTGATCTTCAGCAAAAGCTCTTGCTGCATGTGCCACACAATTAAGTCACTGATATGCAGTTTTGGTGCCAACCCAACAATTTATGAGCTCGATGAACTTCCAAATGGTCAACAAATAGAAAGGGCACTCAAGGCTTCCGGACGTGAGCCAGTTGTACCAATTGTGTTCATTGGAGAGAAATTGATTGGTGGTTCTAATGAGGTCATGAGCCTCCATGTCCAGGGCAAGCTAGTTCCATTGCTCATTGAGGCCAGAGCCATATGGGTATGGCAAAATAATTAACACCACAAAGCTATATCATAGCTTTTACCGTTGAACCCCTCCAACCCTCTCGCTTTTACCAAGTTCTATGGAAACTGATATATCCACTCTAAATATTATATGTATCTTATGCTTACTAAATAATGTGACACTTGAAGTAATTCCCCGTGTTTTGAGCTTTAATTTTCCCCCGTCCTCTATATATCAATGCAATAAGATTACATGATGAAAAGAAAATCAGTAAGAAGCACCAATCTGCAGGCACAGCTACTAGTACAGTGAACTCCAAATTTGACCTACCAAGTTGTGTTGTATGATAATTTCCGATTGGAACATATAAATACAGCATTCTTCAGTTTTACAATGGACTCAAGAACAACATTTGGATGCATTTATGACTCTGGCAGCAGGCAAGCCACTAATTTGTTGATTAACAGCTATGGCATGTAAAACATATCTAGCCAATATGATACAGTTGTAACAGAATCATTGGAAAACTCAACATAGAAAGAAAAACTCAAAGCAGGGAAGTATAATGCACCTGACTGGAAGACTTATTGTAGGCTTTACACTTGCTGAATGTTTTGGTTACTATTAAAAAAAGAAAAAAAGAATAATTGTAGGTTTAGAAGCATATATTTGTCATCCATCTCCAACCGTGTGAATAATTAAATGATAGAATTGGAGCCAATTTTTTGTAGGAAATTACCTCTACAGATTTCAAAAGTCCTATAATAATAAAAGAATACGAAGGCCGGGGGTTGCAAACTTGAGCATGCAGATCTACCACACGCAAGTACACATGTGACAGAGAGAGAGGGATAGACAGGACTAGAACAGCCACATTCTATAGTTTACCAAAACACATTTATCCGTCATAATGCATTACAAGAGAGAGAGGAGTAGAAGTGTAGAACAGCTACATTCTTCAGTTTGCCAAAACACATCCATCCATCATCCATCATTATGTAATATACGAAAAAAAAAAGTTTTGCAAAAGAAAATTAACTTTACCATAATTGCGTTACATGATTTCCTACAAATGGATTACCTCACATCACGATGAAGAATTGGAAAGTTCAACATATTGTAAGGGAATATCTTTGATTAGAATATTTATGTAAAACGTACCAACAAGAATCCTCAATTCTGTCATTTACTAATATAATCTTTCAAGATAGGGTTATTCTGCTCTATGTTTGCATTCTTTTGCCAATTCTCTACCGCTCTCTTCACAGTGGCTTTGGCCTTACATATCTCATCAGCAGAAAACTTGTGTTCTACGATTCCCAGAGGTCCAGGTTGTAATACCTGAACCACAGTTTCTATCTCCTGCTCCAGTTGCCTGTCAAAAAGAAAGAAGGGGCAACTCATGTCCTAAATGAGACATACAAGTCTGGTGAAATTAGACTTGGACCAACTACAGGAATAAAGATAATATGTATGCATTCACATATTGAGATCACAACTGTCATTCTCAACAACACAAGATATCAGTTAGTCCCATTCAGTACCGCAAAATATGGTATAAAATTATGCTGGAAGAAGATATGATGGGACTGAGTCCAGTGAGACCACCGACTCAGAGTTTTCCAGTTTGGAATGCAACAAATAGTCCAATGTGTGGCAGCATATACTTGTCAATGTAAGGAGCATGAACAATTTTCAGCATCTGAAACGTAATTGAGAGAAACCAATAAACAAAGATCCTGCGAGTAATTTTCCTTCACATAACTGTGCAATCATAAACATTAAACAGAGTGAAGGGAAATTCTGATGATTCTTCTATCTTTCATTTTCTAAAACATTGTCTAGTAACCACATTTGCAAAAGTTCCAAACTGGTATGACTAATCAACTGAAGAACCTCAATTGCATTACCCAAAACAACACATTACAATTGAAAGCTCTCCTCCTTCTCCAGTGGAGGATTCCTTTGTTGCAATTCAAAGGCAATTTGTGCCCCTCGTGCACTAGTCGATTAAGGTCCCTATACCTCTAGCTCTCTTAAGGCTCCTTACATCCTTCATTATAATGTAATACGAAACCAACCTTTCTCATGTGACTAACCCTAGCAGTTATACTCCAAGCATCTTATTATTTACGAACAATTTGTTCTTAAAAATCCACACTTCTCCAAAACCAAAAACATTAAATCTAATTTGGGGTTAGATAGAAGGGAGGAGATGGACTTGATGATTGGGGCTAAAATATTTTTTATTAGATCTTGGAATCACCCAACAGGGTAAGGAATACTCTATACCAAGATTGGATCTTGGTGGGTGGGTTGTGGCTGCGTTTGGGAGTATGGACTGAAGTTCGAATGAGGAAAGATTTGATGTGTATGTGTTATTGCGTGCGTCGGAAAAACAAAAAACAAATATAATACTGAATTCTCAGTAGATGAACTTCAAAAGAGTAGCAATTTCAATGCATACACTTTGGTGCTAATTTCGTCGAAAAATCCAAATAATCATAAACCCTAACGAACGGGATTCAAATAAACATTGAAGACAAATCATGCAAACATTATACGTATACGTAGAGACAAAGACATAAAAAGAGTACCTGAAAAGTCTCGAAAACGGCAAAGAATTGCCGAGCTTTGGAAAAGATAGTGGCATCTCTACGAAATTGATACTCCTCAAAATTCCGAGACACCCACAACCACAAAAACTCACAAGAAGAAGAGACAAAGTCTCTGTCCTCTGGTACTGGTGGATAGATCTAAATGGGGCGGGCTGCTCATTGGGTCGCTCCGGCCCTTAAATATCTGTGTCTTCCTAAAAACTGGATTGGACTGGATTGGCCAGCCCACCCAAGGAGCTAAGGGCTACCTATTTGTAAGGAAGCCTTTTTAAAGTTCATGATCAGTATAATAATGGCTATGCCTCCCCGACCTGTTCAGAAAAAAAAAACAAAAAAGAATTATATATAATTAATTAAGCAGTTTTAGGATTTTTAAATAATGGAATTCGAACGCTTTCGATTATCTATGTATGTAGTAATTACATATAAAACACTTGCTATCTTGAAAGGAAGCTTGGTCCAAGTGGAGACCAGCCCATTCTCTGGCTTGAAATTATACCCAAAAAAAAAGGGGAAACTACATACAATACAATCAGGAAGTATTTTAGGTTGATTCAACCTCAAGGCTTGGCATAATTGAGGTTGAATTAAAATTGTCTATTCAAGTAAGTGACAGTTTCTTTGATTCGTCGACTTATTTGATGTTGCAATTGTATTTTTGATTCATCGACTTATTTAAACACATTATAATCCTTGTCTCTTTTTCATTTTTTTATCGAATTTTTGTAAATCCTTTATGATCTAATGGTATAGATTCCACTTGAATTCTAAGAGACTAATGGGCTGGTCTAAAGGGGAAAAATTCACAATACATTTAATCAAGGACGGAGTTAGAAAATTTTTGTAGTGGGGCAAACTAAAACTCAGTAATAAATTAAAATATAACACTACATTATTTTCAAAAAATAATTTTTTTACAAAGATAATTTTATTAAGAGAACGTCATTAGGAGACACAACGCATTTGAGAGGTAGATTGGCGATTTGGAAGATATACACTTAGAATTTCATCCTAATTAATAGAATGACAAACTGAATTTTTAATTTTTAACATGGGACTCACTCGAAAAACTTCTAAATTAAGTTCATTACGAGTTTTATTAGAACAATAATGTCGCATACCACCACCACCACCATGAACATCACTTTCTTGAACAGGAGGAGACGATTGTTCCATGTTAATTTTGTTATAAAAAATTATTTTTAGTTCAACTCTTTAACAAACAATTTATCAACACCATAAATAACCAAAACACTCAAATGAATACAAATAATCAATGCAAGTCACAATGTTGTAGAGATAACATTTCAAAGATTTCAGTTTAAATTTCATATAGAATAAGGAAAAAACTTAATGGGTGGTAGTAAGAATAATTCCAACTACATTTTTTCAGAAAGGTATTTTTTTTCTCAATAGCCTTATTTTCAATTTGACTCTAAAATGATAAGTAGAAAGAATAGGTATGATGCCAACCTAACTTTTGTACTTCATAAATTGTAGAACACAAGATGTGTCACTTTGCAGGGATATTAAAACTTGGCCTCACCTTTCAGTAGAAGAATCAGTAGCAAATTGAGACGAAGAGGGAAAAAAAAGGAAGGATTCACTTGTCTCTTTTTAGGTCTTATTTTGTACTTTACGTAAAGGTACCATGTAGTTTCAAGGAAACAGAATCATCCCCAAAATTTTTACAAATTTCCACTGGGGGCAAGTTTGAACAACATTACAAAATTTTTTAAATTTCATTACAACCCCAAAACTTCTAAATATTTCAGTGGGGGTAAATCCGTCCCTGCATTTTGTCCATTGATATGATCAAAAAACACCATATTGATATCCAGAATTGGATATGGGAAATCTATGAAATAAGTGAAGGAACTTTTTCTCTTACCAACCAGAACCAAATTGACATTTTTGTTTACAACGAGAGCATCAAGGCTTCAGAAGAACCTGAAAGTAAAAATCGTCATTTTAAAGGTAATGGGCTAAGCCCAAGGATCCAACTCATATTATGAGTCTAATCCAAATTAATAACCCAAATCCAATATGTCCAGCAAGTCAAGTTCAAAGTGCTCCACACCCGATCAAGATCATCAGGTTCAAGGAGTTACGTCAGCCGGAAGAATGCAGGGTCATCTAAGAGCCTCATCCTCCACCTTAAAAACAATCAACCCTTATTTCATCATTTGATTGAATCTTATGGAGAGCACCATAACCGCCTCCCCCGTTAAGATGAGGTCACCAAATCCAACAGACTAACCAACTAGTTACCAATATCTCGCCCAAATTTATTAGGAGGACGACTATAAATTGTAAGTTTTACCAACACTCGGGGGCATCACACTCAGTCGAGCATAACTCTCCTCTCCCTCTCATAGCTTGTAACTCTCTACTCTCCCTGCACCCTCGAGTTAATAAAATACCCGACGACCCTAGCCATTTAAAAATAGACGTTGGTCACATTGACCGAACCACTATAATTTTTGTCTTTTCTCTCTACTTTAATTACTACATTTACTATTGATACTTTATAGGTGGTGTGCAATCCCAATTTGTGCATCGCCAAAAGGAATTTGGATCTATCCTCCATTCTATCTTATCCAACCAAATCAGAGGAGTTCTTTCATTGAGCGAATTAATCAAATAGTTTATTTTCACAATAATATATATGATAAGAAGTGGTTTACATTTTGAAGCTCTAAAAATTCTCACAAGCCTTAAACACACTCCTTTGAAATACTAGTTTCAATGAGTGTCTGAGTGGCGTAATCTCACTGAACAAAGCAACACAGACAGAATAAACTCTCCACCCTCATCAATTTGAGGTCAGACACAACCACAATAATACTATACACACTTTGTTCTTCACATGTAATTGGTCAAGAGACAGAGTGACGCCTTCGCTTTTGAAACAGAAACCTACCTTCTGAGTTACCCTTGCCACCCGTGGCCTTAATATCTCTGATCCGAAATACTGCATTGAGCTTGCTTAATTTTCTGGTGAATGATTTAAACAACTTGTTGGCGGGATGTGGCCTTACCAGCTCTTGTTTCATGGAGACATGATCTTTTTCCAAGTCGGTTAACCTCATTCTCATTCTTGCAACTTCAAGCTTCAGTTCTCTGTTTTCCCTCCTCACCGATGCATAATTGTCTCTTGGTGAGATGCAGCCACTGCCAGCACCACTGCCTGAACGCTGAGGGAATTGGCCATTCATTGAACCAAAGAAGAGCTGATTATGGCCTCCATTCATTGCATTCCGGAGCCTAATTTGCTCAAAGTACAGCACTTGGACTGCCATCTGCACCGGTAAACGTTCATTCTGAGCTGCGTGGCTGCAGGCTTCTTGAGACATTTTTTGACAGTCAATGGTCTTGCAGAGGCGGTAGCGTTCTGTATCTTTGATGTTTGGATGAACCTGTAAGGAAACCACAAATCAGTGGTGTTAAAGTATTCTAATAAAAATGGAAAGTATCATTTCTAAACAGGAAAAAACTGGTACTGTTGAGAAAAGCAAGATCCTTTACATCACTTGTGTGTAGGGGAGGTGAAAGAGGAGATTTATATTGGCAAAGTAATGTGTGTGTGTGTGTGTGTGTGTGTGTGTGTGGAGCTTCTGCTTCTTGAGTTAGTATTTTCTTCCAACTGGCCTTCAAAAGCCTGGAAAGTCTTTATAGCATGCTCTAAGAAACTATGACATGAATTGAACTGCTTAATTCTCTCATGTGAGATGGAGAGAGTTGCTTACCTTGAGAAAGATATCCACAGCTCTGTACAATCCATCATTCACGATGCGCGCATGGTCAGGAAGTAATTCTGCCAATGCTATAAACTTTGATGGCATCAAGTTTGAATCTATTGCGATTTCGGCAAGGAAATTGTCCAACAGTTTTGATACCTTAAGGATTGAGCTCTGTTTAGGAGATCCAAGGTTGTCGAAATCATAAACCATTTCACTTTCATCCCTCAACTGATTGTCCTCATCATCATCCTCATCCAAATTCAGGAAAATTGAGAAGATCCTTATGATTGAATCAGTGTCATATAATGGGCTGTGATTGTTGCACTGTATATTTGCAGGAATGAGGATATCTTCAAGAATTGCCTGGTCCAGTTGCAGACCAATCCTCCTTTCTAAATCAGATCTGCAAGAACTCGACGCTGATGCCAGTATTGCAGATTTCAACAAACTCGAAAGAAATGCCATTGGAACAATACTCTTCCTTGATTGCGTTGGCAGTAAGCTAACTATTGTTTCAACAATTACCCTTTGTTTCTTCTGCAATTCCGAGTCCAAGAAACTTCCTTTATTTAATTGAGGGTCCCTTATAATGAGAGCTTGAAGAGAATTATGGGCATAGTGTATCAATATTCTACCGATAATTTCCTGTTTCAGACCCTTCGTTTTTACTGCAGACAGAACCCTTTGGAAGAAATCCAAATTAAGGAGTGCAAGTGATTTTCCCCACCAGTCTGAGGGTGTTTCAGCTTCCGTGCTCGGGATGGGTTTCGAGGTGAAGTTGTACTCTAGTTTGGATAAGCCTGATGTGAGTTGCTCTTGACATGCATTATTCGCAATTGCAGTGATGATTCTGTTAACCAGGTTGATATCTTCTGATATGGGCATGAGAGTTTCACACTGGTGAAGAACAGATATTAAATTCGATATGTTTGAGAATACCGTCTTCTTCAGATACACTTCTGTTTGCGCTTCCAGGTTCTTCTCGGCATATTCTTCAGTCATTTCCAGAAAGTGGGCTGTACAACGTAACATAGCAACATTTGATAGACTAATCTCAAAGTTCACTCCATAACAGAACTTTGCAGCCAGCTCAAATGCCTCAGGTCCACCAGGCACACCAGGGAGATTCAGTCGTGAAATTTTTGAGTCTTTCCCTTCCAACAACAGCTTTCGAATTCTTCCACTCCGAGAAATTAGAGGAAACTGCAAAAGAATGATGATAATATAATAAAATCTGTCAGTGATATTTCATGATAATTCATAATATTCTCAACTGAATTGCTGGTTTTGTGATCTAATAACAAATTCTCCTTACTTTGTGAAGTGCAAAACTTGCTGCACCTACGTCAATGGTAAGATCGCTGGAAACATCAGAGATTGGCCTGCAGGTTCAATAATTGGTTAAATTGGTACCAGAGAGAGAGCAAAATTCCGAAACAAAAGCATACATGGTATGAATTCAGATTACATCGATTAAATTTCTCGAGCTTATCTACTTAACACCATCTGTTAAGTCTGCACCATTGAAACACAATCTTTCAACCTCAAAACTTAAAGTCTACAACTTATTTGTTCTTACGTTTGACATATTGGGCCCAATCTATAACCCAAGGCTCAATAATTATAGAATGTGTGGGACTGCTCAAATAGTAATGCTGGAGATAAGGTCAGAATTATTTATGGTACAAAGTTCATCTGATGGTTGTTGTGTACCAGTGATCGTTGAATTTGCAATTTCTCTCCCCCCTGCGTTGATGCTCCCTCAGATTCCGCTATTAACAGAAGTTTGTGCACGTGGTAGTTGGTATGAATTTATGTACAGCATGAAGGTAGATCATAATCAACCACCTATTTTATATTTTTGAGTACTTGTCTAGAGCTCGAAAGTAGTTCTAATAAAGAAATTATTGCTCAATAACTAATGATAGATATTTGCAACATTTATGGTACAGGTTGAAATAAAGACTTTCAACAACCTATTCTCATGCCAGTGGTTTGATTGTAAGTGTTTCGAGGTCAAGGTCTCAGGTTCTATATGTCCTATTCTGCAGTTAAATTCAGGGGGTTCTAGGACAAAGACTAATGATTCTTTAACAGCATATGAATAATGTATGTGCTGTGGTTCAGTGGCACAACTCTGCATCTCATCAAGTTCAATTGATTGGCAAGACCATTTTAATAGAATGTCATGAGCAAACCAACAAGCAGCTAGAAGACATGAAAGGAACCAATGTAACAGATTTTCACAAACTATACATAAACCACTAATATCACAAATTTTATAAGAAAATGGAACAATGTGAATTGATATGTGTCAAGAAGAGCATTACCATTCAATGACAGGCCTTGTAGTAGAACTCGGACGAAAAGGCCTCTTCCCGGAGATGCTTGGCTTCAATTCTCCAACGGTGACCACACCCATCTCCTCTGAGAAACCCCACAATTTTAACCTCAGGGATTCCAGCACCCAATCCTGCACTACCAACCGTTCACAAGTTGCAATCTTCCAAAAATGTCTATCTGTTTTCAGAGCTCATTTCAAGTCTGTCACAAAGAAAACTGAAACTTCATTTCTCTCTCTCTCTCTCTCTCTCTCTCTCTCTCTCTCGCGTGTCTATACTGTGCAGGAGGAAAAAGAAAACTGGCATGAACCCATGCAGGATTAAAGGGGTTGATATAAACTTTAATGAATGTTTTCAACTTGATTAATCAAAAAAGTCAAGAATGTGTAGCCATGGTGGCACTTTTCGGTGAAAGGGGGAGAGGAGTGGCCTTTTTCACTGTTTTGTTTGTGAGAGATCGCCGGAATTCATGAGGAGTTGCATAGCTTTTGGGGGTAGCAATCATAGCTAGTGAAAGGTACACACTTAAAGGTTAACTTAAACAACTCCAAATTAAGTGTAAAGAGACATTAAAGTGGAACACAAAGCAAATGAGTTGATTTACATGCTATAATGAGAACCACAGTATACTAGCATATAACCAATTATAAAAATTTCTGCCCACATTCATTAATTTTTTTTTCGGTTCGGTTCGCTTCGGTCAAAAACTTATCATCTATACCGAAATTATGATATTCATGAAAAAAAAAAATCTCTCATAACTTGATCATAAGAAGTTATCAAATTTCAGTTCAAAATTTCTAAATTTATCTTATGCTACCCTTAGAATTAAACTAGTAAATATATGTATTAAAATGGATTACGTCTAATATTAAAACTTACTGCTAATTTAATAATTACAATAAAATTAGATTCTTGAATTGGATACTTAAATTACACCAAGTACACTGTTCTTTGATTAATAGTGGGCTATGATCATTGCATGGATTAACATGGACGGTACTATGATGTGGTGGTATTGGGTTTATGGTCCCCCTGGAATTTTGAAAACCCCAAGGTTGAGTGGCTTCTCTCCGCATCGTTAATTCCGTGGGCCCACAAAAATTCGGATTCCCAACTATGTCCCTGTTGATCAGATGGAGATGATGTCTCCATTAATTCTTATGTGGGTGGCTGGTAAAGTTGCTTGATAAATATTTATAAAAAAATGGGAGAATTATACCAACTCTTCTTGAGACTGGTCATTTAAATACTCAGACTCTCTAATATTTAAAATATTATACACATATCTCTTAAAATTTATATGCGCATAACACTTAGACTACTATTATAAATATATTCTTTAATAAATTATATTTAGACTCCCCTAAAGTTTATGAGTATATAATACTTAGATCCTTTAAATTTAAAATATTATACTTAGAACAAAAATACTTCAATCAAATATAAAATATAAAATATTTTAAATTTTACAGCCAAAATTCATATTCTATTGTATCATTTATTGAAATAAATTTTAAAATAAAAATTTTAAAAAAAATCGTAATTAGTATACAATTATACTATCTATTAGGATAAAACTAAAAAATCAAACAATGGATCTAAATCATTCATAATACAATATGAATTTTACACCCAAAATTCATGTTATATTATGTCATTTATTGAAATAAAATCAAAAATAAAATTTTATTTTTTAAAAAAAAATATAGTTAGTATATATTTATACTTCCTATAAGAACAAAACTAAAAAATTAAATAACGAATCAAACTATAATGGACACAATATCTTTTAGATTTAATTGTGGTAGTTTGATATTTTTAATTTGGTCGTTTAAACGACTAAATTAAATTTTAATAGACAATATAATTGTATACTAATTACAATTTTTTAAGAAAAAATTGAATTTTTATTTTTGATTTTATTTCAATAAATGATACAATAAAACATGAATTTTGGTTGTAAAATTTAAAATATTTTATATTTTATATTTAATTGAAGTATTTTTGGTTTAAGTATAATATTTTAAACTTAAAGGATCTAAGTATCATATACTCACACACTTTAAGAGTTTCAAGTGTAATTTTTTAACAAATATATTTACAATAGGGGTTTAAGTGTTATACACATACAAACTTTAAGAGGTTTGTATATAATATTTCAAATGTCAAGGGGTCTGAGTGATTAAGTGACAAACTTAAAAAAATATGAGAATTGCAAATGGATATGATCATACATAAGTACTTGGGAATTGCAAATGGCTCCCCTTTTCTTTTCTGGACTTCTTTGTATAGAAATGTATTAGGTTTTGATCAGGACTAGAATGCAGGTGTTTTTAGGGGCAGAGAAACCGCTCCGACCAATTTCTGGGGCAGAAAGACATGATTGAATCTAACATTCATTGTGTTGCTTTGGCCTTTGGCATTGCATTATTTTACTTCAGGATTGATTTTTTATGGCCATCTGGGTTTGAATCAGATAGACAAGAGCCTACATGCAGTATATGAAGTGAAGTTATTATTTGTTCCCCAAATATGTAAAGGCTACAACAGTCACTCGTATCGTTCGCATTTTTCCTTTTCTTCAAACACGAACGAATCCACGTGTCTAAATGTGAACCTTACTTTCTTATGTGGATAAAACTTAGAACAAAATACAAAATATCCACAATACTTCCTCTCAGTCAACCGTTATTAGTTTCCATGCAAATTAATGATATTTCTCACTTTGCTCAGTCAACTCTCCTTGTTTGTTAATTGCTAACTACTTACTAAAATTTTTTAAAGATGAAAATGAGGCCCACCATGTATTTCATGGGCAATCTATAGAATTTACCCTTCATTTGGTATTTGGGTGACATCAAGTGCTGCAAATGGGTCTTACTGTATAAATGGGTCTTGCTATATATATGTGTGTGATTGATTGAAGGGTACAATAGCCAAAAGGGTTCTTTCAAACTGCAATTTTGTGTCGTTAAGAATCAGTAGGAAAGCTTGTGGTTGTGCCCACAATGATGATGTACAGAAAACATGCGAGCCCACCACTTAAATAATCCAAGAAATCATGTGAGTAATGTAGCAATCTATCGTACAAGCAATGCTATATTATCTTTTGTGATATAAACAATCACTGATTCTCCGCCATTCTTCATAGTTAGAATGCTTGATATTTATTATGGTGGATTATTCTTGATACAATATATACTAATTTGATAAAAAAAAAAAATCAATAAAATTAGCGGGTTCTTTAATAAGTTTGGAGCATATGGGTTGATTCACGAGATCTGACTGATAAACATATTGATACAAATCTAATTAAATATAATTTGTAAGTAAACATGAATTCAGTTTTAAGTGTCGAGTATAAATTATGTATTCATTGTATTAAATTTTATAATATTTCTTTTATCCCAGACATGTAACGGAGTGACATTAAAGTGTCACTAGGACGAATGGTGCGTGTAGGATTTTTTTAACTTTTTCAATTTCTCCAAGATTTTTGAATTTACTTATGACTATTAATCAGTGGGGTAATTTTTTTATTTTTTGTTTTGATTCAATGGTTAGGGATGTCCGGTCCAGTTTATACGCATCGTCTAGGTTTACGTCGATACTAAAATATTTAAAAGAGATAAATTATTCACGAATTGACTTTAAGAGATTGTCAAGATTCAAATTCAGAACATTTGAATTTATCGCTCATCAATTACTCTCGAAATTGAAGGTAGATATTTTAACATGGTGGTAAAACAATATGCAGATTGGACAGCCACCTCTTCTAGGACATGGGTTAGGAAAGTGGCCCGTCTCCGCAGCATTGCAATTAGGCCCATAAACTAGGCCCATGCTCCGATTCGTGTGCGATTTGAAAACTCGGATTTATTTTAAATTTGAATATCCAATAATTTTTCATTTTACATCTCATATGTGAATTCAAAATATATGCTTCGAATAACTCTCTTAAGAGTATATCTTTACCAAATTGTAAATGAATTTCAGCTTAATTTCATCACATAATCACTCAATTTCATCACAATTTATTTTGATTTATAATTCAAATCATGTCATATATGGTATATATTACCAGTAATACGATTAAAGGTGTTCGAATCAATTTACGTTTAGTTCCAATAATCCCTTCATCAGTCCAATTAAAAGCAGGTTATTCACAGCGAGATTAAAAAATTGATAAATCTCTCATACCCTGATCCCGAATAAGTTAGTCAAATTTTAAATTTAAAATATCTTTATTGTCTGTACCATCGAGGGGTTCCAAATATATGATTCTAGGTTAGAACCTTCTTTAAATTTGAGTAGAGATACTTAAAAGACCAAGAATTGATATTTGGTACCCAAAAATAAAAGCATGATCTGGCATCAAAACTTCAATTAAAAGGTCAAAAGCAAACGTGTGCAGGATCAAATAGGTGAAAATGGGCTGTTTGTTATTAACAGAAAAGGAGTGGTACTACAGGCATTTTCACTTGTTATTTGAGACGATACAAATCCCATAAAAAAGACTAAGAACCTAAATGATCAGTAGTAATATCTATTACAAATAGATAAATATACTTTGCTGAGGAGAAATGTAAACTTCACACAACAAACTAAATTAAGCTTCCTGAGATCTAGGACAACAAAATGAAGCCAGAACTCCAGGAAAGTGGAGAACAAATCTGATCAGGGTTTTTGATCTTTAGCTTGAAGAACGATCTTCACCACCGCGATGTCTGGTGCTCCTGCTAATACTCAAAGGGGCAGAACTCTGATTTGATGGCTGGACATTAGAAAGTGAAACAGACCCAGTCTGAGAAAAGATCAAACCAACTGAACTACTCGATGTGTTTCCAGAAGAAGGCACTCTAGTTATACGCGGTCCCATTTTAGACCCTGAAAATAAGCCAGGCCGCAGCTCTGACAATGAAATTGAAGGACCCAGAGTAGCAAGGGAGGACCCGAGCATGTATGGAGCAACTGGCATATCGGCAAGAGATGAAGTTGATGGACTGTATCTTATTGTTCCCATCGGATGGTCAAATTTGCATGTGCGCCCGAACTTACAGTATCCGTTTTGGAGATAAAAGCTGCAAGGTTGCACCCCCTGTGTAGCAAATGAAAAGTGAGATAGAAATCATGCTCCAAACAAGCATCACGCATGTATGGAACATTTCCATGTAAAAGATGTGTGACAATAATAAGCAACATGCTAGCTGATTAAAAATCAAGATTAAAGTTAAAAGAGAAAAAATACAAGTGATCAGAGTGTTCCAATTGTAACACGTCAGCGTTCCGTATGTTCACCGTCATCTAGGATCATATATTCAACAGATCTCACTTCACTCACCACAAAATCCAAGAATACTATATTTGTCATACAATAAAGTCTCACCAGTACAAAAAATTAAGAAATAATGAGTAAACAAGTTAGAAAATGAAAAGATTTTGATCACAGAATACACACAATACCTTTTTTTAAGTTGAAAAAAAAACCTTCATTTTAAAATGACATAGGGAGAGAGGTGGGCTGGAGGATGAAACAGAAAAGTCAAAGATGTAACTGTGAAGAAGGCAGTTGGTACCCACTAGAGACGTCTCTATCTTAGCCCACATGACTAACTACTGCTCTTCTACGTTAAATAATCAGTGCATGGCACGTCAACTAAGCAATGGGTACATTATTAGAGTACTTACTGTTCAAGGTGCACATAATTGGGGAGTTGTGAACCTTACTTCCCTTCTAAGTGTAAAGGTTTGAACTACAAAATTTGCAGAATAAATATAATTTTTCTATGATTATTATACGAATCAACAAACTAGAGTAACAAAATTCAGGGATGATAGTTGTACAATTGTCACCATCCGGATAATTGTTGGAATTATAGTTTAGTTTATTAGGATTTCTTTTCCCTTTTTTACCCTTACTATTGGTTTTATATTTTGCCTAAACTAGAGGGATGTTCAGGTCACTTTATACTATTATTTGACTATATATATACGGGGCTCTACTCTTAATTTGAGTATCCCTTTCACTAACAATTATTTCTAGTTGGCATCAGAGCCCGCCAAACACAACCCTAACCCTAACCCTAACCTCCACCAAAATCACCAGCAACCACCCCCCCCCCCCCTCCATAAACACCTTCAGTAGTCTCCACCGACAGAAACAGCCTCAACACAGCAATCTCCACCAATAGAAACGGCAAACCCATAGCCCAGGCAGAAACCCTAATAAACTAGACTATAACTCCAACAATAACTAAATCAACAAACTTGGACCACATATTTCTCACAAGAACAGCATTTTCAATATAAGTCACACAGATTTTCGAAATATCAACAGTTTTCAATAGGATAGCCATGGAAGCAAGGAATAATTCTAATACGAAGCCAATAGAATAAAAAAGCAACCTTCTAGACAGGATAGCCAAGTTGGCACAAAGAAGAGGGCTTTGAGTTGGAGGAAGTTACCTACACATGATCACTTCAAACTAAGACAAATGAAGGTATCACCATTTTGCTAAGGTGGTGCAACATGATAGTGCAGATTCAGCATAGAGCCGCGGTTACTTCCACACAAAATGCACAATAATATTAAGAAATTTCAAGCCCTTCTCTCCCTCTCTCTCTCTCTCTCTATATGTGTGTGTACTGATTAAGGGGACCTTGTTTACCAGAAGTGCCATAGCTACCACTACACAAACTTTTCAGTCCCAATACGATCTCATTTGGGCCTCCTTTGTTTTAATAGAGCCTTCAACTTGCAACTTATTAGTCCTAAATCTGAAGTGATACAGTCATCAGTAAGCTTGACTAACTGACAATTCTGTCTCTTACTACAATTATCTTGTTTCACCACGTGTATTTTAGTATTTTTTTCACTGGTCCTTTCCTGTATAATATCCTACAATGAGTATACGGGAGTGTAAGGTTCAAAAGGCTAATGCATCTCAAGATCCTTGGACCTTGGGAGTTTTAATATTGAATACTAGTTATTGCCCGTGTCCGAAGACACTATACAACAAACAAATAAAATATTAAATAATTACCCAAATTTAAAAGAAATGACTTAAAAATATTTATACTAATTTTTTTTTTAAAATGACTCAAAATATATTGTCGATCATATCCTTCGTATTAATGACACTGTCATAAAAATATATAAAAACTCTCCAAAACAATACCAACACCATATATATTATAAACTCAACCACTATACTTTTAATCTACCCTATCCCCATGTAATAAATACCTCAAGAAAAAAAAAATACTAATAGAATACAATTAAATTCACAATCTTTAAGCGATAAATAAAATCAACCAAATCTTAATCATTTATAAAATTTATGAATTTATCACTATTCAACCCTAAATGACACAATATCATTACAAATTTAATCACTAAATGTCCAATTCCCCACATGTAAATATACACAGAAAAACACTCACCCACATTTCTTTTTTGGTTATCAAAAAACCCTCCTAACCAATAACTACTCAAGTTTTTAAAATATAATAATAATAAATTAATGTTTAATTAAAAAACAGGATAAAAATCATGGACATTCCTGAAAGTTTGACAATATTACATGAACAGCTTCTAACATTTTATAAATAACACGGAGACCCACTGAAATTTGAATTCATTGCTTAGAAACCCCTTTGTTTCCCTTCCGTCAATATTGCTAGTGAAAATTGATAATTTTATCCCAAAAAATTTTATTATTTTTACAATTGCCCTTGTCTAAATTTAGTACCAAAAAAATTAAAATTTTTATAAAATCAAATAAAATTTAATTTAGTACCCAATAAATTAATTAAATGAATTTTAATATTAATTTTATAACAATAAAAATTAATATGATATTAATTCAACAAAGTTTAACATAAATTGGAAAAAATTAAATGTCAATTTTATATAAAATTATATATTGATTTATACTCTAAGATTCATTTCGTGTTGAATATTATTTAGTATTTATAATCAATGTGTTATTTTTTTTATTTATATCGAGTGTTATTTATAAATTAAAAAAGCAAATAGCAAAATACATGGTGTCATATATATTATATAAAAACTTTGAATTAGTTTCATAGAATAAATAATTTTATAAGATATAATTTCATCCGTTTTATGGAGTAAATAATAACAAAAATAACACCGAAGAAACAAAAAAAATAAAATAATAATAGTATGAGAGAGAGAATTATACGAGAGTTGGGAGTCTTAGAGTTATACAAAGAACAAAAGACCAATTAGGACCATCAAATCAAAACAATTTGAGCGCAAAAAGCTCAAGACAAATAATCTAACTACTTTATTATATAACTTTTGTTATGAAATTTAACTGAGTCATTATATATGCCCCAAAAATAAAGTATTATTATTTGTGACAGCCAAACTAGACACGACGAGGCTTTCCTAGGTTTTTAATTTCTGCGGACCCGCTAACACTTCTAGATCAAAAATTAATTTTGGAATTTAGTTTCGGAAGTAAGTTCCATCCTTTGAAAATGGAAGTCTTTAAGCTTTCAGTAAAGACTGGCAATGAGAGGCACCTCTTTACATCAATCTTCCACAAACATAAATAAACCATCTAATATAACTTTCTCCCATCTTACCCTCAATTGTTGCCACCTCATGCTTCTCACAAATTTGTAATGTTCAAAGACCTCCTCACACTAAGAACCATGCTGATATCTTAGACAATGGCGTATTGTATCCTCTTGTCATCCCTATCCGCAAACACTCAAGAATCACAGATACAGGAAATCTAAACAAGTTGCTGACTTGATAACCATACCGGTTTTGGGGTCTATGCAACCTTCATTTGAAACCTACCCAGGATGCCTGGTTAGTTCTAAAGTAACTCCAGCCAAAATAAAATACTTCACCTATGAATATACTTTATTCAGAACAATCTGTATCAATTACTTCACAATCACGATTTGATTACAGCACTTATCAGGTAATCATGTTTTCCAATTCCTTTCTAACACATTGTTTCTCCCTCATATTCTGGAGAAATTGTAGTAACATTAATGTTCAACAGAGCAACATAACTATGCCTTCGACAGAAAAAAAATCCATTCCTTGTCTAATTTGCTAAAAAGATTGAGATATGAATTTGAAAACGTCGAATGATGCTTAAAACTGTGAGGAATGGATAACTGATGAGTAGATTAAGGAACTTATAATTAGGACCATTACACTATCGACTTTGATGTCTTTCCAGTGCTTTACTACTATGCTATACATAGTGATACGAGTCAAGTGGCCTATGATACAGCAACCTTTTGGAGAAGGTGCGGACTGCAGACTAGCTCAATCTTGGAACATTTCATCTGGATTTTACTACTGTTGTCAACATTTAGCCATTATTAAACAATGACCAATCCCACAATCACTTGTGTTAGATCTCTATATTTCACCAAAGGTCAAACAACAGTCAGAATTGCTTTTCTATGTATAGGTCTCAGGGACATCTTCCCTGGCTCCTTCACAATTCTTAGTGGAATTCAAAGCTACAAAAATGCAGCTGCCATGATGTAACGAAAGATCTTTCGCTTCCCATTTTCTGAATCGAAGTATCTAATTCTGCTATCTAGCCATTCAAAACATGCACTTACATCTGACCTTCAGTTCGCAGAAAATGGAAGAGGGTATCATTTAATTCACCAAATAGTCTTTATCTCTAACCATGGGTTATGATCGATTTAATAGTCTCACTACGTAGTTTGAACCCCTCAAGCTTCACTATAGTAAACTTCACATCTGGATCCCAGCAATATAGTATTGCCACCAAATCAAGCATTCCCTAAGGCAGGATTTCAACGTCTCTGGCTGACTAGTAGAAGATCAGAGCTGTTTCACTGATTAAACAAAAAAAGAACTACTCACCGGCCAAAAAAATTCCCAGTGCATGTCTAAGCAGCTAGCGTAATGTATACAAATTGAGATGCTCCAACAATTATGTTTGTACAGCACAGTGCATTACAGTATGGTGCTCAAATGAACTCTTTACACATTTTAGTATTAACACGTTAACCTAGCTTGTAAAAAATAAGTAAACAAGGAAAGTAGAATAAAGATAAAAGAAAGGAATGGAAAAGACAAAAAAAAAATGGAAAATAACACCAGCCAAGCTCAAAAATCTTCCATGCACACGAATAAGGCGTATAAAAACAAAATGTCATGGAAACTAGCCACTGCAAGTTACAGCATATAGTGCTTCATGCAAATAAATTTATACCAGACACAGAGTCCATCAAAGTATTCAAAAAACTGAAAACTTTCTACATCTATAAATTAGCTAAATACTACCAAACCTTACCATACAAGAGAAGTTGGCAACATAAATGCACCAAAAAAACAAACAACAAAGACCCTTCAGCCCTTCAGAAAGCATCAATAAAAAAATCTAAAGGGTCTCCCAAACAAAATAAGAAAAGACACTAGCTCCAGAATCCTTAATGAGGATTGTGATTCCTCTAAATAGCTGTTATTGTATTTACCTAAGCCTAAGTCAAGTTTGCTACATTAGGATCAACATAAAGTCTATTATTTACTAACATGAATTTTGATTGTGAGTGTTCTGACTGTATCCGAATATACCTTGTTTAAATCTGCCCCACTTTTCAAATAAGAGTAAATTCATGTTGAACTACCACAACACCACCTAAAAATTCTGAGAAAGTTCCAGGAACGATGACACAGACAAGAGCAGTTCATCAATGGTTTTACCAAACAAATGCTGACATTAGCACCATCCAGCAGACATTAGCAAGTCAACATAGCCTATCATGAATTGAAGCCAACTACTGGACGGCAATAGCATGCTTAAAACTGGAGAATATTTCTCCTCAGGAAGCTAAATTCAAATACACTTTTGGTGTTCATTTATATTAACATGAACCATAAAAAGGAGAAAGGTCTCCTTAATAAAAGAGGCAGCAGATGTGCATTGAAAATTTTTATTAAGTTGACATCTTTACATTCATAAACAACATTTTTTCTTGTCCTGAGGATATATATGCACAAGCAAACAACAGATATTTTGTTTCCATCCATAAAAATGTCACTAATGTAACTTGAAAATAATAATAGAAGAACTTAAATACCATCAACAAAAAAAAAAAACATATATCTCCAACATGAAGTCAGACTCCTGCACAAGACAATTTTTGTGAAACTCATCACTTTGACACAAATTCCCTGTCATACTATATTTTTGGGGCGCACACAAAGATGATTGACTTATAAATGAAAAGACAAAGTGTTAAAAGATATATTATGCATACCGGGCGGAGAGGGAAACCCATGGGACTGAAAAAACAGTTGGTCTTTGACGCAACCCAGTCGGGTGGATGATGATACCTACAAGACAATCCAAACTTACAATCCCCAGTTTTCATGTAGTATTGACATTCAGGTTCTCCAGGTCTATCTGGAAATAATCGATCATTCTGACTACTGCTTGAAGGCCCAGCAGAAGGGGGTAAATGGGGATAAGGTCCTGCAAGTGCAGGTGCTGAAGAAGATAACTGTGACATTCCATACAGAGAAGCTGCACCAACCGAGGGTTGAGCACCCGGAGACAATACAGGGCTTATGGGTCCCTGCTTCAAGTAAACTAACGCTAGTTCAAGAAAGGCTCATACAACTGGAGTAAAATCTCAATGCAAAATAAAGCTGGAAACCTACTGAGTAAGGAGTCCAATTTGGCATGTGAACCACTCCTGGGGAAAGCAGCACAGGACCATAAGCACCTGGCACATATGAACCAGGTAATAAGGGAGGCCTTGCAACCCTGTAGCTGGTTAATGTGCCCCCACTTTGTTCAGGTGAAGGAGCTGAATGAGACTGCACTGTCGGATAAAATGGACGTGCAGATGCTGGCAATGATATGCCACTAGGTAGAGGGTGATGGAATTTACAGGTTGAACCAAATTTGCACTGCCCCGTTTTCAAATAGTAGGAGCATTCTTTCTCGTCCTGTTCAGATATATGGAAGTGCCAAAAGTTTAGTGCCCATTGTAAGATTGCATACCATTCTCAAGAAACTCTTTACAAAAACATAGATGTACACCAATATAACCATATACAAAGGGCTGGAAACGAAAAGACAAAGACTAAGAATAATTACCGGTCGTAATGGGTATCCATAAATATTTAGTGGCACATTACTCAAGGTTCCACCAGCATTTCTAGGATGGTGGAACTTGCAGGAAGCACCAAATTTACAAGTCCCTGTCCTTAAATAATACTGCAATTGTGTTCCAGCAGACAATCAGTACATAAAACAAGTAAACATTCTATTTCAATAAGCAGATTCCAAAAGAAAACTACATTGGTCAAGATAAATATCCGGTATATCATAATGGAAACAGAACCTGGCATGCAGGTTCCCCCAGTCGCTCTGGGTAGTCCCCTCCAAATCTTACAGCACCTTCAACCTGAAGGCCATACCATTCTAGCAGCTTAGAAAAACAAAACAAAAATTGGATCGCAGGTCTAAAATTGATTTATCTTATTTTATAAAAGAAAATGGCAATTCACACTTCTTTTTCCTTCATGAAAGAACAGGGAAGAGAAAGTAATATACTTCAAAATACTTAACAGATTAAGTCAATAAAAAAAATAGTCATATTCTTTCCCACATTCTCTCTAAGAACGTGGAATCACCCAAAAATTCATCACGTAAACACACATCAAAACGGAAAAAAATAATGCAAAATATACATTCAAATCACCATAACCTGCTCTACAAAGATGAGATGCATTACAATATGAAAATATATAAAAAAAACTGAAACCCCTGCAACAATCATAATGCGTAGACATTAGATGGCGAAAAGGCCACGATCAAGGGCTTACGGAGCTACGATCACGAGGGTGATTATAACGGCATTTGACACCGTATCCACAGAATCCAGTTCGCATGTAGTATGCACAGTCGGGCACACCCGGCCTCTCCGGGTACAATTCTCTGCCCCACAACCCAAAACTCTGCATTGATTCTACATTCCCATCAATCAAAACACAAAACTCACATCAAAAATCACCCCAAGCCTTTGCATTACAGAAACCCTAGATATTCACCAATGTATACCAACACAAGAAATCAACGTAAATTAGAACAAAATTCAAATGCCAAACAAAAAACCCACCTTCGAGACCCGTTGCGGCCTCAACCGGAGCCCATTCCACCTGAGGATCCGACTGGGACCCGTTTCTTCCTGTGCTCCGTTCGTAGAACGCCATTGGGAATTAGGTTTTTTGCTCTGTACAATACCTTACGACTTTGCAGAATCAAAAAAGAGAGGGCAAAAAAAGGAAATAGTGTTTATAAATATGGACAGTGACACTGTTGACGAATGATCGGAGAGAGGTATTAGATCATATGAGGAGGGTTTGAGAGAGATTGCTACAGTGCCATGAAACAATGCTTTGCTCTGTTTCTCTTTCTCTCTCTCTCTCTAACAGTCCCCTACGGTCTGGTTTGTAAGTTCTCTCTCTGTTTTTTCAAAGCCTTCGCTTTTATTACCCTCTTTTCTCTCTCTCACTGTCCCCCTAAACGACAGCGCTTTTCTTCTTGTCCGTTTGTTTGCGTACCCGCCAGGCCGCCAAAGCGTGGAAAGGGGTTACCATTAAACAAAGCACAAAACCTGGAAAAGGTGTAATTTCCGCGGAATTTGTTTTCTACGGGACTTTTGGGAATATTTTTGTAACCGACACTTGTATTGTTTGAATTACAGAAGTACCCTCAATTACATGTTCAAAAAATTACAGAAGTACCCTCAATTATTTTTTTACTTACTAGAAAGCCTAATCATTTTGAGTTTGTGTCGAATTATTTTTGAGTCGTACTAATCACCAATCAATCTTAACACAATCTGTTTAATTAATTGTATCTTATCGTGTCGACTTATTTATTTTCATGTCGTATTCGTGTTGACTCATATAATCCGTGAATAAAAAATTTTATGTATAAAATTTCAATATTACATGCAATTGAACTTATGTTCAAACTTTTTTTACAAACTAAAAATTAATTTAATAATTATAATAATAATAAATAAATAACAATATTTTTTTATAAGAATTAGGTCAATAGTAATTGATAAAATATAATAAAAATTTAGTATTATAATAATATAATACTACTAAAACGTGCTAATATATCAATTCCGTATTATTCATATTTGACATTAACCCAACTCATTTATTATTCGTGTTAATGAGTCGTATTATTTATGGGTTTGTGTCTATAAATAGTTAACCCTAATCCACTAATTTCGTGTTAATTTGGAGTCGTATTTTCGTATTGTATCATAAATTATTACCCCTAATCTCATTAACCGAGCAATTTTTTAAATTCGTACTTATTATTACATAAACTCAAAGTACGTGTGAACACAAATCAAAACATAATTAGCAAGTGCCAAGTTTAGCCTTAACAATTTTAGAACGCAAATCAATTTATTTTCTTAGACCAATTTAATAAATTTGTTGACTATATTCAACCATACATGACTATAAATAAATTTTGAGAAAACACATTTCATATGACAAAGAAATTCAACACGATATGACATATTTGTTGTCAGCCGTAGTTTTAACATTAAATCATTGTCATCCGAAGTAGCCTAACAGGTTAAAAGGTAAAACAAACCAAAGAAAATATTCTCCAACGCACCTTTGTTTGTTGACTGTTATGGGGAAGAGGTGTTTTTTATTCAAAAAACAAAAAGATTTAGGGGAAATGGGTTGTCCAGACAAAAGAAAACAAAAAGATTAGGGGGAAAGGTGACAAGCATAGCCTTTGATATTACAGTTGTGAGTCTGTTGCTTGTAGTTGCATGAACCTTGAATTGGACAATTTTGTTAGTACTTAATATCTATTATTATGTGGCCTTTTTCTAATTAGTCTGTCTTTATGGTGCAGCCTTGAAAGTAGCCGGGGCATTCATGGGGCCTATAAGGTTAGTCTATTGACATTATTCCATTGGGACCAATATGGGTGGATTGATGACTAGCCTCTTCTATGTTCTAAGATGAATTGGTAATGGAATTCTTTCATTGTCTCAATTATTGGGAAAATGGAATTAATTGGATGGTCATTAATGAGGTTACAAGTTCAAGGGTTGGTGTTTAATTGCAGGACCATTTTAATATTTATAAGTGTTAGGGGTGGAGTCAAAAATTTCACTTAGGGTGGTCACCGCCCCCTCTTTGCTCAAATAATTTTAAGAAATTATTTTTATATACGTAAATAAATATCAACATATCAACCTGTTTTTATCGTCACCGGTGACCACCCTAGGTCAAGGGTGACTCTGCCCCTGCTAAGTGTAGTTGATTTTCTCTCTTATGGATATAATTTACCAAGTATAAATAAAACTTGAACATGGCACTAATCTTTTGATCTGTTTTATGTCATCTACCATGTTCATGATGCTGTCACACTGAAGAATAATTTCAAGAATATTGCAAAGCCACCCCAAAAATAATTAACTTTGATCATAAAATTAGCAAAAGAAAAATAATTGTTAATCTTGGCAATTTCCTTAGAAAATGTTCTCATATTATTCAATGATGGATCCTGGGTAAGGTAAATAATTGCGCCTTATATTTACTAGTATCAGTTATGAATATCCCAACTATATAAGAGTTCTCTGAACTTTTTTTTATAAATTTCAGAAGCCAACCCAAATATAGTTATGTATTCTCCTATTAGAGATTCTTGGATCCAATACTAATGTTGGTATGTAAGTGTGTTAATCCAACTAAACGTGCTGACTATATGCTTTGAGCTTGTTTCAATTGTCAATTTTTTAATAATTAAGTTCACCTTGGCAGAAACTTGTGACTATTAAAGAAAAGAGGAAGAAGAAAATCTATATTTGAAGTTAATTACTTGAAAATAAGGTTAGAATTCTTTACTTACCGTTAAAAAGGGGGGGGGTGTTAGAGTTCTTCATCTTTTAAATAGAAATGTCTCTTTATGAAACTATATATTCATTCATAGACGGAAACATATTTAAACCAACATTTCACTCGAATTCAACTCTTATGAGTGTAAAGATTTGAACAAAAATAAAATCAAATTCAACCTTTGGGACAAATAAATAGCTATCTATAGCATGAATTCTGGTTACTTTGTTACTTCCATTATAAGGCATAATTACAACATATGATTGAGAAATAGTATTATGGTATCAAAAAGTAATTATCAATTACAAAATTAGATTTGAGTTACTTCTAGCCACTAGATTTTGAAATAATAAAAAAAATTCAAAATATCATATTAAAATTTAATTTTTTGGTATTCTAGTCTAATACTCTATTTGGTATGATGAAAAAATAGAATGATGAAAAATTGAAGAGATAGATAAAATATCATGTTTGGTAAGGAAGAAAAAATAGAAGGATATAAAAGTGAATGAATGAGTTTTTCTTCCAACTTACCAAAATCAATTCCTCCAAAATTAGAAAAAAAGTTGATGAAAAATTAATTATTTGTGTTGTAATGTATCTTATTAGTCTATATTCTTTTGATATATACATACTAGTTATTTTCCGTACTAGAAAATACAGAGTAATAAAAAAATAGTAAGTAATAAACATATTTGTCTGCACATCTAAAATTAAATTATAAACATAAAGAAAAGAGAAATAAATTTAAACACCGATTGTAGTGGGGGTGAGCGGTCGTAGTGGTGGTGGGCAGCAATGATGGTGGTCACAGTTGTGGGTGGCGGCAGTTGTGATGGTGGGTGTAGGTGAGGGTGTGCGATGACGGTGGTGTGTTCTAAGTGATAGTGTGATGGGTGGTGACGAATGACAATGATAGGTGTGGTGAGGGTGGATGACAGCAGTTGTGGGAAACGATGGGTGATGACGGGTTGTGGTAGTGTGCTGCGGGCAGGTGGCGACAATAGTGGGCGACTACAGGGGTTGGTTGGTTGGTTTGTGGTAGTGGGTGGTGGTAATGGGTGTTGACGATGAACGACGTTGGTAGTGGAATGATGATTATAGTGATAATAAATATAAAATTGAGATAATGATGGTGATGGGTAGAGGCAATAGGTGACGGTGGTAGAAACCGACGGTGGGTGGTGAAGGTAGGTTTGGGGTGGACGTAAAACAATAACGGTGGTCATGGTGGGGTGATAGTGGGGTGACAGTGATGGTGGTAATGGTGATGGATATGGGGCTAGGGGTGGTAAGGGTGATGGTGAGACAGTGGGGCTAGGGTTGATGGTGGGATAGTGACAATGGTGGCAGTGATAATGGGGATAATAGTGGTGGTGGGGTGGCGACAGTGGTGCTAATAGTGGCGTTAGGGGGTGGTGGCAGTGGCGCGGTGGTGGTGGTGGTTGTGGCAAAAGTGATGATGGGGTGACAGTGGTGATGGATCGGTGGGGTTGATGATGGTGGTGGTAAGGTGGTGATAGTGGTGGTGGTGGTGGGGTGACAACGGCGATGTTAGTGGTGATAGGTGTGGTTGTAGAGTGGTGGGGGTGGCGGTGGTGGCGATAATGATGGTGACGATTGCAGCGATAGTGGTGGTAGTTGTTGTAGCATATATGGTGGTGAGGTGGCGGCGGTGGTGGTAATGGTGATTGTGATGGTGGTAGTGGGGACAGTTGGCAATGGTGGTGGTAATAGTGATGGTGATACTGGAGATGGGGGTTGGGGTGGGTTACAAACACTACTTTTTTTAAAATGAAAAAAATTTATAAAAAGTTATAAGTTCTAGAAGCACTTTTAAAAAGTCACCTCAAATACACCTTTAGGATCTATTTTTCTTATTAAATTTAGGATGTTAATATTAGTCGTTGGATTAACTTTAAAGTAAAATCTAAAGAAATTTCAACTGTGAAAAGTAAAAGTCATTTTGTTTGTCTTTTGAGATTCAAATTGTATTATACTTTATTATATAGACTAGTTATTCTCATGTTTAAAGGCACAAAGTAATAAAAAAAAGGTCAATAATAAGCATATTTGTATTCACATCCAAAATTAAATTACAAAGATAGAAGAAAAAGAAAGGAATTTAAGCACCAATTGTAGTGGGGACGAGCGAAAGTAGTGGTGGTAGTAAAAGACGGTGATGGTTGTGGTGAGTGGCAACGACCATGGTGGTGGGGGCAGCCATGGGGGGCAATAATAATGATGGTGGGCGACAGTGATAGTAGTTAGTAGTGGTGGTGGTGGGGCAGCGACGGTGGTGGATGGCGGTGGGCAACGAGTGATGGTGGGATAATGATGGTAATGGTAATAAATATATGAATGAAATGATGGTGGTAGTGGGCAACAATGGTAACAATTGGTGGTGGTGGTGGTGGTGGTTTGTGGCAAAGATAATGGTGGCATTAGTGATGGTGGTTGTGACTACAGTAAGGGTGGTGGGGCGGCGACAGTGACAGTGGCAATGATGGTGGTAGGGTGGTAGCAGTGGTAAGAGTTGGGTGGAGGCAATGGTGGTAGGGTGGCAACAGCGGTGGTAGTGGCGGTATTGGTGGAAGTGGTGGTATGATGGGGGCGATATTGGTGGCAACGGTGGTGGTAGTGGTGGCAGTAGTGGTGGGGGTTGTGGAGCGGCTCCAATCACTATTTTTTTTAAGTGTTTATAAGAAACAATTTTAAAAAGTCATCTCAAATACATATTTAGGAATATATTTTTCTATTAAATTTGAAGAGTTAATATTAACAGTCAAATTATTTTTAAAATAAAATTTAAAACGATTTGGACCATGAAAAATAAAAATCTTTTTGTTTATCTTTTAAGATTTGAAATGAATTTAAGCACCAATTGTAGTGGTGGTGAGCAGTGGTGGAAGACGGTGATGGTTGTGGTGAGTGACGACGACCGTGGTAGTGGTGGCAGCCGTGAGTGGCAATAATTATGGTGGTGAGCGACAGTAATAGTGGTTGGTAGTGGTGGTGGTGGGGCAACAACGGTGGTAGGGTGACGACAGTGATGGGTGGCGGTGGGCAATGGGTGGTGGCGAGTTATGGCAATGGGTGGTAGTGGCGGTGGGTAGTGACAGTGGGCGACGGTAATGATGGGATAATAGTGGTAATAGTAATAAATATAAGAATGAGATGGTGGTGGTGGTGGGTGGTGGCAATGGGCAACAATGGTAACAATTGGTGGTAGTGGTGGTTTGTGACACAGATGATGGTGGCATTGGTGATGGTGATGGGGTGGCAATAGGGGCGGTGGTGGCTGCAGTAAGGGTGGTGGGGGCTGTGACGACGATAATGGCAATGATGGTGATGGGGTGGCGACGGTGGCAATAATGGTGATGGTAGTAGGAGTTAGGGTGGAGGCGATGGTGGTAGGGTGACAACAACGGTGATAGTGGCGATGTTGGTGGAAGTGGTGGTATAATGGGGGCAATATTGGTGGCAACGGTGGTGGTGGTGGGGCGGTGGTGGCAGTAATGGTGGGGTGGTGGTGGTTGTGAAGAAGTACCAAACACTATTTTTTTTAAGTGTTTATAAAAAAAATAATTTTGAAAAGTCATCTCAAACACACTTTTAGGAAATATATTTTTCCTATTAAATTTGAAGAGTTAATATTAGCCGTCAGATTTTTTTTTAAATAAAATTTAAAATGATCTGGACCACAAAAAATAAAAGTCATTTTGTTTATTTTTTAAGATTTGAATTGTGTTGTATTTTATTATATAGATATTATGTATGTATTAATTTCATATATAAATATAATGATAAAATATGTATTTATATTTTTTTTAAAAAAAATTAAATAAAAATTTAAAATACATAAAAAAAATTAATTATTTTTATTTTTCATTCATCCAATCAAACGTAAAAGAAAAAAATATATATTATTCTTATTTTTCTTTGTTAGAGAATAAAAATTGTATCATTTTTATTTTATTTCTTTTCTATTTTTCATCATTTTTATTTCTTTTAAACGGAGCATAACATATAATGGAGACACATCGGTTATTTGATTAGGCTTCAACGCCAAAACTCTTTTTTTTTTTTTTTTTTTTTTTGGCTTTTAAAGATCTCACCAAATCTTTACGGTTGGCCTTTCAGCCAATCTTGTGCTTCCTTGCTGGGCAAGAAATGTGGATACACTTTTTTTATTTTTAAATGATCAGGGACGTCACGGTCAACTAGAATATTAGGAATAAATCAGGTCTAATGAATTGGGTTGGATACACCTTTTCAAATGAGGGGTACGTGTAAGGAAATAATAGGGGGCATTATGCTATTTAAACAAATTATTGGGTTCATTTTGCAAAACAGCTCTGGAAACCTGAAAAAGCAGATACCAAGCATCAGAGGTGTAGCAGACGTCGCTATGCCCAATAAAGACGTGACACGTGTGCTTTATATGTAAGCCAGCTGGGAGGGCCCCAGCTCCGGCTGCGCTTTTGGCAGGACACTAGACTAGACCGTGACACCGTACACTTGGCTTCCGTTTCTTATACCGTCTGAACTTCTCGATTTTAATTTTTTGTATTTCGTGATTTTTATATTATTAATTTATTAAAGTTTAATTTAAATTTATGTTTATAATATACATTTCTAATATAAAGTATTATTAAAAGCATCTCTTTAAGACACAATTTCACATTTACAAATACAAATTAAAAAGACATTAAAGCAATGATTTAATTAAAAAATTAATATAAAAACAATGAATAAAAATAAAAACTAAAAACTAAAAAATGATGATTTAATCCAAAAATAAATCTAAAAACTAATAATTCGATCAAAAACTCATTGTTGTCGATATATTTGGCGTCCAAATTCTTACTTAATCGGAGCAGTAATGCAATATTTCGAAGATGGTTATAGGGAGCCGGTCCGGCCCAATCATAAGTCACACAGGCCCACAAAAATTACCAGTGCGCACTGCCATCTCATCTAAACGGGCTGTAAACTTATTCGACAATTGAACTCCGAGGGCAACAAGGTGAACATTTTGAGCAGAACATTCTACGTAACGGATTTGAGTAGAACATCGTATATAGATTAATATTTTAATCTATTTATCCGAATTTGATTAAATTTTTTTTAACGGATTTAAATTTGCATAATATAACTCTGATTGCTATATATATATACACACATATGCATACATATTTAATTGAGAGTAATTATTGTATATATATACATACTTAATTAAATTATTAATAAGTTTGACATAAAATTAAATAAAAAATATTAAATAGAATGATTGGTTGATTAAATTAGGCTGAAAATTAACTTAAATTTAATAAAATTTTTATAAAATTTTGTTTGAAGGATGTAGATATTGATTAAGTTTTTAAAAATCTATTGGATAAACAAATCGAATTTAGAACTCAACTTTTTTACCGAATTCGAATCTAGATAGACCCGAATCGGTTAACAACCCTACTTTCAAACACCACAAATCCGTGGGTTGTTGGCTGCAGGCATTTTGGAAGACTGACCGGCCCAAAACCAGAAGGGTTGGCGAGCTAAGGCCTTTTTGGCTATGAGTTGCGTTACCGTTGGCGGTTGGCCTGGATCCAGGGTGTCAATCCAGTTGTCCAAATCTGAGAACTCCACGTGGCACGTTGACTCACCATCATCCCCAAACCCACATTTCCCACAACCCCAAATGGCAAGTTTTATCCAACCTTCTCTCTCTCCAACACCAACCATTGCTATAAAACACCGACCGAGAACCGAGCTCTCTGTTACTTCTTCGATCATTCTCTACAATTCTATGCTCAAAAGACTTGCACTCCGTTCCTCAGTTCGTCACTTTCTCACTCATCGCACCAAATCATCAAGAACAAACCCTAACAACGCGCAGTCTCCATCGTTTTCGTGGCCTTTTTCAGCCATATCTCGTCGGACCTTTCACTCTCACAAAGTTCTAGCGATGGCCGAACAAAGCTCCAAATCGGCATCGCAGTCCCACAAACACACCAATCGTCTCGCCTCCGAGCACAGTCCGTACCTACTTCAACACGCTCATAACCCGGTGTGTGAAAGAAAGCACCATCATCATCTTTAAAGTGCTCTGGTCGCCTGAGACGTATTTTTAGTCTTCTCAGAAACCAAATTCATTATTTAATTTTCTTTTCATGTTACTGTTCTTTTTTCGGAAATTAAATTAAGGGTCTCTCTTCATTCTTGAATCAATTTGAAATTGTTGAGAAAAGGAGTTCGATTTTCACTTATCACAACATTTTAAGTTTGTTGCTTCTAATCTGAAGGTCAATTGGTATCCATGGGGTGAAGAGGCATTTAAGGAAGCTCGCAAGAGAGACTTACCCATCTTCTTATCAAGTACATTCTATTTTTTCACAACGTCACCAATTGTCGTTTTTCCTCTTGATTTTCTGCTGTATGAGACTAACATATATGATTGTCTTTACTATTTCATCATTTTTGATCTTGGATTCTGGGGTGTATTTATGTTGAAAGTCGGATACAGCACCTGCCATTGGTGAGATTTTGGCCCTTTTCTGAAAATTGTTTAACGTCTATAATTCTTAAATTTGATATCTAAAGACTGATGGTTTGGTGGGAAATCATTGATAAGGTGTCATGTAATGGAGGTGGAATCCTTTGAGGATGAAGGGGTTGCAAGATTGCTGAATGATTGGTTTGTCAGTATCAAGGTAAGTATGCTTCAATGATCAATGTTACTTCTTCATTCCATTTGTAGATGGGCAAAATCTCCAATTTAGTCTCATTTTTTTTATTTTTAAATGCTCAATCTGTATTCTTTTATTATGTCTTCCAACAGGTGGACCGAGAAGAACGACCAGATGTTGATAAGGTAAGAAGTAATATGCTGATTTGATACTAGGGTGATTGCTTCATTTCTTTACAAAAGTTAATGTACTTTACATGATTGCTTCATTTCTTTAAATGTTTCAACATAGACTCATGCCATATAAGTTAGCTTATACTTTATTCTATGTCTGGTGGTGTCCCCAGTGCCCTCTGTCAGGAAGTTAGGTTCTTGACAAATTATTGGCTTGATGGTTATGCTCTCTTGTATTCCTCATGACCACCATCTGTAACCTCTCTGTCTCTCTAATCCTAACCATAGCACCAACCTCCACACCTAACAATCTGTAACTTCTCCCCTCCTCTGTGGGCTCACCCATGACACTAACCTTCACACACCACAAGTTGTAACCTCACTGCAATCCTCACATATGGCACTATTTTTACAATCACCCCACCGTTTTTACAGCAACCAACCACCCCAGCGGTGGCTCTTTCTTTGTCTAATTCTTACAAATTTCATAAATCAAATGAGGGTCAATTCATACTTAAAATTCTGGTTGTGGTCCCATTTTAAGCGAAACCTCTCCTGCAAAAAAAATAAAAATTGCCCTACTTCTAATTGGTGCAAGTAGAAGTGCTCTTTCTTTCTAAGATGGTATCCTGTAATTAGTGATACTCCGCTGAGAACATTCTTTTGTCTTCCAGGTTTACATGTCTTATGTGCAGGCTTTATATGGTGGCGGAGGTTGGCCGCTAAGTGTTTTCCTTTCACCTGATTTGAAGCCTTTGATGGGTGGAACTTACTTTCCTCCTGATGATAACTACGGAAGACCTGGGTTTAAAACTGTTCTTAGGTGAGAGCGGAAACATCCTTAAGCAGATTGGTGGTGCAATTAATGGGACAATAGTAAAACATTTATTTTTCTACATATGAGTTCTTGATTCCTATGTCTTAATGTTGCGTTGGTTGATTTTTCCTTTGAATATAAATCTGTAATTTCTTGTACTTTTTCCCGTTAATTATTCTGTTTATTATTTCAGGAAGGTGAAGGAAGCTTGGGACACTAAGAAGGACGTGCTTGTTAAAAGTGGAGCTTTTGCTATAGAGCAGCTGTCGGAAGCATTGTCTGCTAGTGCGAGGTCAAACAAGTTACCAGATGGGCTGCCCCAAAGTGCATTACGCCTATGTGCAGAACAGGTAATGCTTATTTTCTTATAAAATTTTACCTTTTGTGGTGTTAAATATTAGATCTGTGTTTACATTGTTATGTTCCTGCAAAACATTCAGAGCAGATAATTTTGGTCTGTTTGGAGTAGGACTAATCTAGTACTCATCGACAAGTCATTATTAAGCTCAAGAAGCTGATTTATCTACCTTCTATTAGAATTATAGCTAGCTTTGTTATGAGCTAGTTTTACATATTTTTTGAATTCCTTTTACTGCTCATGTTTACATGTGTTGCTCCCTCACCCCCCAATTTTTTGCATAATGTATTTTACTTACTCATCCCAAGCCCCAAGAAAAAATCATGCCTTACCTACCTTAACTGCTATTTTGGTTTTGGCTTTGGTTGCAACCCTGCTTTCTTCTGCTCAAATGGTGGACAGGTTGAGTTTGGATGGATTGTTCTCTGTCTCAGTACCTCCATCCAGCATCTTAGCCTTGTTGCATTCATGATATGCTGACCATTATTTCAAAATGAAAATTCAGTTCTTTATTTTAGTTTTATTTCTGTTCTGGTTTGATATTCCATATTTTTTTTTTTTTGTATTATAAGCTCTATCAGCTTTTTGAATTAATCTTACCTTGTTGCTATTATCTGATTACTAATGACTTGGTCGCACACAGCCAATAACCACAATCCAATGAATTTTGAAACTGCAGCACTAGCCATCTGTTTGCCTTGGCATATCTTATATTGTGGTGATTAGAACAGTCCCTGTATGAATAACAAAAAGATTGTTGAATCTCTGAACTTTGATCTTGGATTAAGATAGGTGATCTCCTGCATTTTCCATTACTTTGACTTGTCTTTCTTTCATTTATCTCTCTGGATGCCTTTTGTGGTGTCTCTCTAGTTGATATACTTTTGTGCAAGTATAATTCATCTTTCTTCCAATTTTTCTGTTTCATATTTCTAAAAGCTTGCAGAAAGGTGTGATTCAGAGTTAGGCGGTTTTGGTTCTGCCCCAAAGTTCCCTAGACCAGTTGAGCTTCAGCTAATGCTTTATCATTCAAAGAAGTTAGAGGGACATGGAAAATTAGGCGAAGCAGAGGAAAGTTCAAAAATGGTGCTTTTTACTTTGCAATGCATGGCCAGGGGAGGAATCCATGATCATGTTGGAGGTGGCTTTCACAGATACAGCGTGGATGAGTATTGGCATGGTTAGTTTTGCCTAAGAAATCATTTGCAAATCTCTCTTAAGCAATAAAGAACAAACAGAAAAGAATGTGGATTTAGCTGCGTTTGCTTTTTTTTTTTCTATTTTTCATCTACTAAGTCTGTATGATGTTCCTATTCTGGTGGATATTTTGTTTTCTATGTTACTTCAGAATTCCTGATATGATTGTGTTCCTTTGCAGTTCCACATTTCGAGAAAATGTTGTATGACCAGGGGCAGCTTGCTAATGCATATCTGGACGCCTTCTCCATCACCAGAGATGCCTTCTATTCATGTATAGCTCGGGATATACTTGATTATCTGAGGAGAGACATGATTGGACCCAATGGTGAAATCTTTTCGGCAGAGGATGCTGACAGTGCTGAATCTGAGGGGTCTACGAGGAAAAAGGAAGGTGCCTTCTACATATGGACCAGTAGGCAGGTATGACCATCTTGTTTGGTTGATTTCAACCAGAAAAGTAGGATGTATTAGATATGATACCCGCCAATAACCCCCCCTTCCCCCCTTCTCTCTGTTCACCTTTTGCTGGTTCAGATTAACTAGTTTTTGTATGTGTTGTAGCAGATTTACATGTTTAATGTTTGCCTAGCTAGGAATGGAGAACATAAATTTTGTTCAACTGATTTTTAGTTTCTTCTAAAGCATTCATCAGTATTTGGACAATGTTGTTTATTGTTTTTCATTTTGAGTTGTAGTGATCATTAAGTGCCATAGCCTTCATTTGGAATCTCTGCTTTCCTATCAGAAAACCGTAAAAAGTAGGAAGTAACTAATAAAGTGGTAATGACTTTAATAACAAAACAGGATAGAATACTTGTTCAATGCGTTCTGAATGCTAATCTTGGATCTATATATATTATCTTTGGTCTATCCTAATATTGCAAACCTGTTTTTTTTTTCCAAGGTTGAAGAGATTGTAGGGGAGCATGCGCCTCTTATAATGGACCATTATTACGCAAAGCCATCTGGCAACTGTGATCTCTCTAGATTAAGTGATCCTGACAATGAATTTGAGGGAAAAAACGTGCTCATTGAGAGAAAAAGTACTTCTGCTATGGCATCAAAACTTGGTATGCCTGTTGAAAATTATCTAGATATTCTTGGTACATCGAGGCGGAAACTTTTTGACATGAGATCAAAACGACCACGGCCACATTTGGATGACAAGGTATTATCCATGAAATCGATTTCATTAGTATTGTTAGAAGTTTTTATTACTTCTCATGCGGCAATGGAATAAGTGATTGCCAGGTTATTGTAGCATGGAATGGACTTGCAATTTCATCTTTCGCCAGAGCTTCTAAAATTCTCAAGGGTGAACCTGAAGGGGCAAAGTTCAACTTTCCTGTTATTGGTGTTGATGTAAGATTTCATCCTCTTTGGCTTGTTTGCCTAAGAATGTCTGAATATTTTGACCCATATCATCCTCAAATAGACCTGCAATGTGTTTAAATGCTTTTTGAAGTGCAAACCTCGCCTCTACAATTGGTATTATAAATGTTTGATTAAAATTACGAAACCAATTGCATCGCTCTTTTTTACCAATTTCAGCCTAAGGAGTATTTGGAAGCTGCGAAGAAGGCAGTGTCGTTTATCAGGAGGCAGCTTTACAATCCGCAAACACGCAGACTGCAACACAGCTTTAGGAATGGCCCATCTAAAGCACCTGGATTTTTAGATGATTATGCCTTTCTAATTTCTGGGTTGCTAGATCTTTATGAATGTGGTGGTGAATTATTTTGGCTGGCCTGGGCAATTGAGTTGCAAGATATACAGGCAAGGAATTTGACCGGGCACGGCGCTCTTCCTTGTTTCTTGTCCCCACTCAGGGTCCTCTTCCTTGAATTATAGCTTTCTGACTGATTGTTAATTTTTTTTTTTAGGATGAGCTATTTCTCGATAGGGAGGGAGGGGGTTACTTCAATACCCCAGGAGAAGATCCTTCTGTTCTTCTTCGTGTGAAAGAAGATCATGATGGGGCAGAGCCCTCGGGAAACTCTGTTTCTGCGATCAATCTTGTTCGGTTGGCTTCCATGGTTGCTGGCAATAGGTCTGATAGTTACCGGCAAAATGCGGAGCATCTTCTGGTTCGTCCTTGCTTCATTAATGGTGATGTTAATTCACTCTCAGTTCTAAAAGGTTTTTTTTGACTCAGCATTTGATCGTAAAATGTGGTTTTACAGGCAGTATTTGAGTCGAGACTGAAAGACACGGCCATGGCTGTGCCTTTGATGTGCTGTGCTGCTGATATGCTCTCTGTTCCTTCACGTAAACAAGTTGTCTTGGTTGGGCCTAAGCCTTCCACGGAGATGGAAGATATGCTTGTGGCTGCTAATGCATCATATGAACCTAACAGAACTGTTAGTATTTCACCGGGTCTAGCAAATTCGGCCCTTCATTCTCTACAACTAATTCACAAATTTGCTTGTCTTTTATGTTACTCTTTGTGCCATTTATGACAGGTGATTCATATAGACCCCACTGATGAAGAGGAGATGGAATTTTGGGAAGAAAATAACAAGAACATTGCCTTAATGGGAAAAAATAATTTTGCTGCTGATAAGGTTGTGGCTCTTGTGTGTCAAAACTTTACTTGTAGCTCCCATGTGACTGATCCCAGATCTCTTGAAGCTCTGCTCTCCCAGAAGCCTTCCTCTGGCGCGTAGAAGAAGTTGCGGCATATATTGGTGGCAGATTTACATGAACATACGTGGGTTGTGTCAACATATTATATAGGTGGTCCTGTTGGTGGTCACTGGGTAGGATACGGACTTTTGGTCAAATGATACTTCTTATTTTGTGAAGGTTTTTTCTTCTTGAAGTCAAGGGTTTAAGTCCCTTTTTTCCTTCCCTCTCTCCCCTTCCGAAAAAAAAAAAAAAATTGGTTAGGATATAGAGGTGTAAAGTAAAACATTAGTTTCTGAAAAGTGATACTCTCGCTTGTGTGTAGATAGATATATGAGAAATTCAGTGCAGAGTTCAATGGAAGAAAAGAATAAGTTCAGAAAGAAAATGATAGATAATACAAGAGATAGATAATTCAAGAGATGTAACAGAAGTTTCTTTTTTTATTTAAATTTTTGTATCCTTTGAGATGGTTTCTAATTAAATTTGAGAGGTTTATCTTAATTTGATCTAATTGGGAGGTAATGGAGTACTTTGTTTTTCTTTGCCAGGGTATTTTGCAAAATTAAGGAAAATAAGTAGTTTTGCAATTTTGTGAGTCTTATATATATATATATATATATATATATATATTTTTTTTTTTTATGTTTATTTTTTCAAGTATTTACAAATGCATATGTGTGATGTACGTGAATTAAAAAGTTAATTAATTTTTTCATAAAATTTTTAAAAAAATTATGAATTATATGTATAATTAAGTTACAAGATATTTCATTGTTTTATTCATTATTGTCTCGTCTAAACTCTGACAAAAAAAAATAATAATTACCCCTATTAGTATTTTTTTCATTCTTAAATATATGTCGTTTTACACAATTTTTTTTTTCATAATATCTGTTGTTTAATGAAATTAAAACATAATTAATATTTTTTTTTTTAAATTTATCCTTAATTTTTTAATACATGAGATTAGGTAGAGGTTAAGTGTCTTGCATAGTTCTTTTATTTTCTGTATGTATTGAATAAAAGTATTTTATTTTTGTGTAATTATTTTTTATTCATCTTAGAGCTATTTAATAATTTTTTTAATCTCTGTACAAAAATCTTAACGACATATATTTAAGAACGAAGGGAGTAATAAAGAGTAATGACTTGTTGATCGAACTGACGTGATTTTTACCCAAAACAAAAACATTTTGTTAACGTCGTTTTATCCGAAAAAAAAAAACAACATTTTGTTAACGTCGTTTTGACTCAAAATTACGTCGTTTTGCTCGAGCTGGACTCTTCACTGTTCTGCCGTAAACGACAGCGTTCTCCGCTGTAGTGTATCTTACCTCCAAAGCCCTAAAAGTGGATAATGGACATGGGGATTTTGCCACTCTCTTTCATGTTCTCATTCTCTGAGGGGGTCTAAACCAGAGAATGTTGTTGTTATTACAATCTTCCTTCTTATTTAGTCCCCCTGAAGGTACCATGTTCGCCATTTTGTGCCTAATGCGAGATTCTTTCAGGAATTCAAGTTCAAGCCACTCTCTATAGCATGTGTTGGCTGTAATATATTCAATATATATCTAGGTCTGCAGAGTGGAGATACCGGGTTGAATTAAAGTAAGAACGCTGTGAGTATCACCGCCATCCTTAGCGATGTGTTCTATTTTCTATATTAACAGACTCTTCCCAATCAACAAGATTGCAATAGGTTCAACAAACCCACTTGCTTTTCTTCGCGGAAACCAACTGCTCCTCACACCCATCGCATCCAAAGGCTCCATAAATTTGCAACGTTTCACCGTTTCTAGTCTCGCTTATTCATCTGGGTTGCATCTAGAAACTGCTTCCAAGCCAAGCACATCTCAGAACTCATCCGATAAAGATTCATACACGGTGTCTTACCTTATAAATTCATGCGGATTGTCACCAGAAACAGCTATTTCTGCTTCTAAGAACGTACACTTTGAAACCCCAGAAAGACCAAATTCAGTTCTCACGCTACTTAGAAACCATGGATTCAGCAAGACCCAGATAGCCAATCTTGTTCGGAAACGCCCAGTTCTTCTTTCATCGAGTCCTGAGAGTACCCTTTTGCCCAAACTAGAGTTTTTTCAATCTATAGGGGCTTCCAGAACTGACCTTGCAAGAACAATTTCGAAAGACCCAACCGTCTTGACAAGAAGCTTAGAAAACCAGATAATACCTTCCTATAATTTCCTCAAGAGTGTACTCCGATCCAATGAGAAGGTTGTTGCTGCTATGAGGCGCACATCATGGATTTTTCTAGACGATCTTGCTAAAAATTTAGGTCCAAATATTGCGCTTTTGAGGGAAATTGGAGTACCTGAGTCATGTATCATATTATTACTTGCTCATTATCCTGAGGCTTTAATACCAAAACTGGATCAGTTTTTAGAAACTGTCACTGAGGTGAAGAAAATGGGATTTGATCCTTCGAAGTCATTGTTTGTATTGGCGGTGCATGCCATTTCAGGGAAGGGTGGTAAATCGAGATGGAATCGATGCTACGAGGCTTATGGGAAGTGGGGTTGGTCAAAGGATGATATATTGTTGGCATTTAGAAAGCATCCCACTTGTATGATTTTGTCAGGGAAGAAAATCTCTGGAGCTATGGACTTTCTGGTGAACAAGATGGGATGGCAGTCCGTGGCAATTTCAAGATACCCATGGGTTCTTTTTTTCAGTTTGGAGAAGAGGATTATCCCTAGGTGCACTGTTATCCGTGTCTTGTCATTGAAGCGCTTGTTAAAGAAAGATGTGAGCTTGACTAGTGTGTTGGTGTCTGTGGAGAAGGACTTCTTGAAGAAATTTGTGATCAAATATAAGAAGGAAGTACCCCAATTGTTGGGTGTCTATCAAGGGAAGGTGGGCTTTTTGGAAGTATAATGTGGATACGCAGATATGGGTGGTGAGATTCCCGATCTGGAGTAATTCTTCTTTTTTCTTACTTACAGTAACGGATGTTGGTTCTGCATTGCTATTTTAACTTCCATGCCTCCTATGCATTTGCACTAATTACTTGGTGTAGTTCTGTAACATTGTTCGGCTTTGTGTCTCCCTTTTGGTTCTCAATTAACTCCATCTACAATGTGTTTTGAGATGTTTTAAATTTTAGGGAGAATTATACTCAGATCTTCTGAAATTTGTTATTTATTCACCCAGACCCTTAATATTTGAAATATAACACAGACCCTTATCTATTAGTAAATTACATCTAGATTCCCTAAAATTTGTAAGATAGTGTACTATTATACTGTCTATTAGTCCTTTGAAAATCTTCATAACCTCCATGGCGAGAAAATCCCATACGACGTTGTAAGCTCAGATACTCTTGATAGTCTAAAAGGCAAAGATTGAAGACACCTAGGGTGTTTGAATTAAAAAAGTGAGGCTGATCCAAAGAGGTCAGCAGTTGGGTGACTGTAATAGCAGACCTGGAGAAGACGATATGACCCTCTGAGGACTATAGGGTTAGAGACCAGTCTACTACATACATGGCGGTTCGTCTTCCCTTTCGGGATTTTGATTAAACCTTTATAAATAATAATTTTTGGTGTGATATTATTTTTTTTTTTCAAGTATCATATAATACTATCCTTGTGTTGGTACTGGTTGGATTTTATTCTTGGTTGATTAACCCTGTGATGAATTGGAGAGAGGAATTTGTGACTCTGGGGGTAGGTTAGAATTGGAGTCTGTTCAAGTTAGCAATCTGCTTCATATATTTGCATGCTTGTGTTTTAAGTTTTAAGAGCAATGGAGGAACAGTTTCAGACTCTATTGGCTATTATCAATTGCTCATGCCATTAGCAGTGAGTGAGTTGTCAATGACATCTATTTTTCTTTTAGACTTCCCCTTGAAGTAAGTTGAAGCCCACTTATTTTGTACCTGTTGTTAGGTGTATGTATCCCTAGACGCTTCTTGTGTCGTCTAGGAGAATATTGTTTCAGTTCACAACTTTTCTTTAGATTTATTTTTTGTGATATTTGAAATATTTCACCGTGGCATCGTAGAATTATATCGGCAGATTCGGTGACGACAATTCAGTGACTCGGAATTGACTCAGATATAACTTGAACAACATAGCCGAATTATGCGAGATTGAGGGTTTATACTTATCATCGCAACTCGGCCAATTTGTATCAGTATCGATCGATAGTTTAAATCATGATGGAGATGGAGGATGACCTAAGAAGACTAGCAATAGAGAATAACCTAATCCACTGAACCGGTTGAAATATTTGCAGTAGTCAAGTATAAACGGTATTTTGGTTGGCTGTTCTGTGGAGCTGAAACTTGAATTTGATGTCACAAATTTTTATAGCCATAGTAAGTGCTCTTCTCCCTTAGGGCTAATTATGGGTTATATAATATGTCAAGTGATGATATAATGATATGTTAAGTGATGATTTTATATGAATTCTTCGGTTGGTTTGGTGGTATTGAGGATTTTGGATAAATTATTGATTATTTTTAATAGAGTAATGTAATTGGGAGGTAAAAAATTGATTTAGATTGTGGACATAATGATATGTCAAGTGATAAAATTTTAATGAAAAAATCCAACAATTATTGTCATAAGAATACGATGTCAATGTCACATCAATCAGTTAATAAAACACAATAATAGTTCAAATTATTTAAATCTGATGGATTATATTATAATTTATATTTTAACTTTTTAATCGTGGTAACTCATTAACTACAGTAATTCATGTAAATTTAAATTTTTTAACTATAATAACTCAACCGATCCTAGTCTATTAGTATGAATAATATTTCCTATTTTTCATTCTTCTATCACACAAAAAATTATTATTTTTTATTTTTCATCACCTATATCAAATACATAAAAAAATATATATATATTTTTTGAATTTTTTCATTCGAGTTACCAAACACGCTAAAAAAAAATAAGCTTAAATATCCAAAGAGAGAAAAAGAAATAAGCTTTAATACCCAAAGAGAGAAAATAAAAACAGTGGTTGTTGGATTGGGAGCAACACATCGGGCTATAGTGGACCTGCGGAGCACCGGCTCGTTATACTTCCACCGACAAGAATGGGAAGGGAAGCTCACAAGCTTGCGCCCGAGGCCCTCGACTAAACGCCTCTCTTGGAATGGGCATGAAACCATCTTCAACCACCTCAATGCCCCCACTGGGGTCACTGGCCCGCGTTACAGGGCCCAGTTGGTATCAGAATTACTAAACATAAGCAAAGCAATCAATTGAGACTTGCGTGATGTGGGATAGGTAACTCGTCATAATTTTGACCCCCCCGCCCTCCCTCTCTCTCTCTCTCTCTCTCTCAGTAAAATAGGACTGAAAAATCATAACTGAAGCCATGGAAAAAAAATTCCATATAAGCATGGTTCAACGTATTTATTTCCAACAACTGTCTTACGTTTCTTGATTTTTCTTTCTTTTGACTCTTAACTCGCATTAGCTTACTCAACAGTGAAACAAAGAGTAACATATAAACCTGCACTAATTGAATTCAAATCGTTTAATCGTCTAAAATCCGAGCTTCACCAATGCACCTAATTAGCTGAGGATTGGGTGTACACTCATGATTTGCATTGTAATCATATATTTTTAGAGAACATGGAATTAAGATGATTCCCTATTATCAAAAATATCATTTACAAGTATGACTATTACTAATGTGTTAACCAAGTGACAAGAGTATCTTTGTCACTCTCTATTTTAAATTCATATACGAAAGTTTACAAGTCAAATCGAGTAGATTGTGATGAGAAAGATTGTCCTAATCTTAAATAATTTTTTTTATTGTCCTACTCTTAAATAATTTTTTTTTCTTTCGTAAACAAAGTGCGACATAATCTAAATTGTCATTGGTGACGAATAAATAATAATGTGTCCCATGTCTTTTATTTGCGGTTGAGAGCCGACTAAATCAAAAAATACATCTAATTTATTATTTGACTTTGGCTCCTTCAAATTTATTGTTTAGTTGTCAAATTATATATAAAATGAGAATTAGAATAATGGACAATATATTCCACAAATTCAGGATATAATATTTGTGTTTTTGTACCAATTATATTATGAGTAGTATCTGGACTAGCTAGTTAATCTGAAATCAATCAATTATAGTATTCAAGTTGGACTTGAACATAAAAAAATCCCAGTCCACTTTCAATCCGAGCATTTCTTATGATACAATCTCGGATTTTTAGGACCTAACCCAAACCTGAATTAGTGGATTTGAGTTTTATCTGAATTCCTTTTCGTAATACAAGAATCAAACTCAATTTCAACCTCGAGAGTGTAATCCAAGTGTGAAAAAAAATTAAGTATAGATACTACTACAAGCGTCGAAGAACTTTAACCTAAAACCAATGACCCAATCATAGAGCACTCAAACCAACAGAATAGGCTCCTTCCTAAGGTACCACTCTAACTACTGCAATAGAAACAAGATAAATACCTATGCAATTAGTATTACAAACAACCAACCGCATCTATCTTATCTTCCCATAACAGTTGAAACCAAGATCATTAAAAGGCTTACAAAAACTGGGAATGAATAAGGCAAAAAAAAAAACACAATACAACAACAAAGAATAATAGAACTTAAACCAAAACAGCCCCTTTGATGAACAGACGATCCCACTACATACTTAGATTAGTATACCACAAATTTCCTGATAATTTTTTTACACACTGCAAAGGCCAGAAAAAAACCATCCACTAAAAACAAAATATGTCTACCATTTAGCCCAGCAAAACGGAGGAGCATGTATGTCAGTCATCGCCATCTTCATCGTCAAGCCTGTACTCACTGAAATGGTTGACCTTGAACTTCCATTCTCCTTTGATGGGGTCATAGGACACAAACTCAGCACCTTGATCCTCAGCCTTTCTTTTGAGCATCTCTTTGTACTTATCAATTCTTGGTCCCTCCGTATAGTGCTGTCCAGTCTTTTTATCAAAACATTTTATGTTGAGAAGCGTCACCTCAGCAGGCTTGTTAAGTCCTTGTCCAACAGGAGGCTTCTTGTTCTCATCCACATACACAATCACCTCCCGGTTGTTAAACTGGATAAGGGACTCAAGATCAAGTCGTCTTACATCCGTCTCCCCAATGAACTTGATGCTACCATAACCATGCCGTCCAACCACAAAGTTCTTCACATGGCGGCAGAACCCTGGTTCAGCCCTTTCCTTTGCCGCTAGTTCCTGGATTCTAGGTTCTGTATAATAGTCAGAGTGGTGGAGTTTTGGCATCAGTGCCTCAATGTCAGCCCCATGCTCATAAACAATTGCCGCCTCACCAGCTCGGTGGCCAGTAAGTGTAATGTATGAATCCCCTCTCTGGATAGAATGATCATCATCGAGTCCATTAGGTTTCGGGTTTAGATTAGCAGTATGAAGTCGTTCTTTGACAAGGCCATTTTCAACTGGACCATCTGCAAGAACAGATCAATTACAATTTACAAGTCAAACAAGGCACATTACTGCCAAACCAACTTCATACTTGTGCCACCTGTCAGACTAGAGGGAAATTCAATTTGCTGCCAGGTTTAATTTAATGAAAGTTTATTTTAATCAAATGGACTATTAGCCATAAATTTACAGCATGCTACTTTATCAGCTAAAAGCATTTTCCCGCTGATTTTATCTTTTAACAAATGGTGTATATATTGTTTTTCTGATCACAGCTACTATAATTTGTGCATATCCACTGAAACAGTATCAGAATCAAAAAGTGGGTAGATGTTGTTAGCCATGGCAGCAAAAAGGCGCTGCTGGACCACAAGGACAATGGTATTGAACACAATAGTCTTAGACATACTTTTAAAAACCGGCCTGGACCTTAAACCAGCAAAGTGACCTTAAACCAGCAAAGTGACCGCGTCAATGGTTTAACCGTAGGGTCACTGGTTGGACCAGTCATATAATAAAAAATTAAAAATAAATAATTAATGTAGAAAAATTAAAATATCCATAAAAAATTAAATGAGTAAATGGTTTTAAATTGATTTTGATTGTGTGTCCCATGGTATATGCATACAGTCCACTACCATGAGACCAAAAGCAAGCAGGGTTCAAAGCATCCACTGAGTCCGAGTTGACTCGGACGATAAAACAAATCCACGATTCTCACTCGAATCAATCATGTATCAGAGAGACAACTCAGCAAAATCGGTACAACTCGGTCGACTCAAACCAACTCGTCACCGAATCGGTCGAATTGCAATCGAATAGCAGACCCATATGAAAAACTAACTATCAAAAGGCAAAAAAGGAAGAAAAAAAATAGAAAAGGAATAAGCAATCCAAAGTCCAAACCCTACCAGGAAAACAAAGCTACTGGTCTTGCCAGGCCTCTTTTTCTTCTTCACAACACAAGGGAATCAAGGGATCAAGCACCGGGTATTGTAGCAAATGACCACTAGCCGACGATGCCTTCTCTGCCGGCTTAGACTGCAATCTCAAACCATCTCAGAGCTCTCTCTCTCTCTCTCTCTCTCTCTCTCTCTCTCTCTCACTCTCTCTCTCACTGGTCTAGATGCCTAGATGGGTTCTATTTTGTTATTTTGGATGTGTTCCGATATTGAAATGATTAATTGTTTTACTTTTATACTAATAAACGATGTTGGTATTTTTATTTTATTATGGGTCCAATTCTACTCTTTTAATATTGAATGCAATAACTAATCTTGCATTCACCAAGTAAATTTTATTAATAAATTGACTAAACTATTATATTTTTATTTTTTTTAAAGAATATTTTAACTACCTAAAAAATTGAACAATGATTATAAATATCTTCAGTAACGCACTTATAATTTACTTTCACTATGTTTAATGTGTAGGTGATTTATTTGGGACATATGATATATGGATTGTGTTCTTTATATTTTTTAGAATTTTTCTCAATTTTATCAAAAAAATTTGGACCTTCAATTTAGCATTTTGAGCATATCGGCTGATATCGTACCGCGATATCACGACCGATGTGTCTCAGTGCCTTCCGAGTTAATAACCGATACCACGACCTTGAATATGAAAGCAAGAGAGACCCAAAACCAAAAAACTTCTCTTTTGGGTGTTAACAGAGAGGACAAAAACCAAAAAAGCACAAATACAACTACCAGAAAAATATAAAGCAAGAGAAACATGAACTTTGATTAAAAAATAGATAGCTCTAAAATAATAAACAACTATTGCTCCAATCATTGAGCAAGAAAGTTATAGATAATACCAAGATGCCAAACAACTTTAAAATTTTTATGCTCAGATCCCTTAATCTCAGAACTCCATTGTGTGACTCTTAGGAGAGACGGAGACGGGACACATTCAGAGAGAGATGATTAGTGACAGAGAATAGATGATTGTTGAGATTTTGGGACCATGAGAGTTAAGAGAATGAGAAGAAACTCAAATGGTGTCGAAGCCCCAAAGTCGTCGATGTGGTGGCTCGTGGTCAGTGAGGGAGAGTTGGAGATGAGAGAGTGCACAGAGAGAGATCGGAGAGGTGAGAGATTCAGATTAGGGCATAAATCTCCAATTTCTTTAACTTTTATAGATCCGGGTGACCCACCCAGTTTTCGTTCAATCATCCGAATTTATGGGCTTTTTAAAAAACCGTCCGATTTAACAGGTTTTGACCGGTTTTATTACTTGAACAGTCTAATTATATAACTGCCTCGGTTTAGTGGCCAGTTCACCGGGTTTTCGGGTCAACCCACCAGACCAATCCGGGTTTTAAAACTATGGTCTTAAGTAGAAGTGCCGAATCTAGAGATTTTCATCACCTCCTCCCTTAAGTTGACTTGTAATTGTTAGCACCCTGCAAAACCTATGCCACGACAGTGCAAAATCCGAACCCACCAGTCCAACACAAGCATACAAGGCGTCAAGCTAATCTAATTTTGGCCATGTTAGCCTGCTTGGGATTTCAATGCCAACACAATTCAAAGATAACATATTGCCACCCTAACCTTTGCACATCTAAATCCACCCCAATGTGGAACAACTGAGCCAAAAGTCAGTCTCTGCATGTTCAGTCTATTTTGCATTAACAGCTACTTAGAGTCTCTATCGCAGAAGAAATTCACCCTTTAAAAATGACCACTAGAACTGTTAAACATAAAGCCCAATTCTCCCAAAATAGAGGAAGAAGAAATGGAAAAAGACGACAGTTAAACTTAAAAAAACCTAAAGAATTTTTGGGTAATAAGCTTACAAATAATCCAACGGCAGATCAAATTTATAAGGAATATCGGTAATTGAAGAGATTACCAAGACAGGCTTAATAGCAAAATTTCTGGTTAAGAGAAAAGACTTACTATCTTTATCTTCTGCACTTGACCCATACAAATTAGGGGTAGAAGCTGCTTCAGACGTTTTACCTACATATAAAGAAGTGTGTTAAAAGATTCAGCAAATTGACATTAAAGCCTATATCTTAGATGGAAAAATAATAAACGGTCGATATATGAAGTGACTATCTTATTTGTATGGAGGAGAATAGGACAAATAATATGCTTCATGTCCAGTATAGATGAATCAATACGCCAACATAAAATGCCGGTATTTCTCAAGATAATCAAAAAATTCCATATGGCAATATAAGGTGAAAATAACACCATGAAGACTCCAATCATTCTTCTAGTTGCTAAAGAAACTTATATAATCAAGCTACTGACCACGATCAAGTAACACCAGGTTCCCCTTCAAACAAATCATTACCAGAAAAGACGAGCTTGCAAGGTATCTAATTTCTTACTTCCAGGATAACTCCTTGTTCTAGGCCTAGGCCCCTGCAATTAATTGGGTGTATTCTCTACTGTTTCTAACCTAAAGTCCAAATACCCAAGTATATTAGGTGCAAAAGATAAGAACAAAGTTACCATTCGCATGAGGTGGAGTGGATGTATCCTTTGGTGGTGCTGTTTTGTCTGGATTTGCTCTAGAAGGCCACTGTTCCAAGGGGCGAATTACCAAAGCTCTTGGATTCTCCCTGGCAACATAAAGAGCATCCGCCTTAGGTGCACTGGTTGTCTCTTCATCATCGCTAAAAAATGGTACCTGCATACAAAAGCACCAACTAATTCATTTATTATCGTAAGTATCAATCTCCTGTATATTAGCCCTGATTGATTGATACCCAAGAGAACCCCCATTAGGGACCAAACTATTATAGGTTTGAATCATGGTACTAAGTTTCACTAGAAAAACCATCTTTACCTTTGGACCATTATTTTTAGGTTGATATTTCCTTATGGGCAACCTAATCCGCCTTTGAGAAAGGTGCCGAGAAGTCAACAATGATGATATCCTAACAGGAGCAGGTTTGTCAACCACCTGTTTGGAAAATGCTGTCAGTCACCACATGCAATTGCAGACAGAACATCTCCCTAAGTTGTCTGTGAGACCACAAACAGAGATCAAAAATTGAAAACAATTTCACTGCAGCTCATTGTCATATAATCATCCAATTATAAACCAAACATAGATCAAAACGGGTACGAATTTTTTCTTTTAGGTATGACACTATATATGATCAAAAAAAAAAAGGTATGGCACTATATATCATTCTTACAGGCAAGCTAGAAATTCCATATTGAATAGAAGGTGATATCCCTGTGCGACCAATTGACATCTGAGGCATCGCTGGTAGAATTCCAAAAGGATTCATAACAGGGGCTGGTTGTGCAACTGCAGAGCTCTGACTGACAGACCTGTTAGAACATTAGAACTTGTTTATTTGATATCCAGCACATCTTCAACACTACGTACATATGTCAAAGCCTTTTTCCGAATGACCAAGAGTGTTAATTAATAGAACAAATATTGACACTGAAACATACAATTGTCCAAAAGTATTCTGACCAAAGATGCTTGGCGTGCCACCAAGGCCGCTTGTACCAGCTGTCAGACAAGGGAAATTTAATTAACAAGATAACAAATAAAGTCAACAGTTAAAATGTCAAAAGGTCTATAGAAAATGAAGAAAGATTATATAAAATGCACTTACCTGCTTGCATCTGACCAAAGTTGCTAAAGCCAAAAGCACCTGTACTCTGAGAGGGTTGAGCCACTTGATAGGGTGTTGAAATGGACGGCTTCAGATACAAATGATGAATGAAATTAGAACGTATCAGACATTAGAGAATAAAATCTCGAAAATGATTAGACAAGTTGTTAAATTAAGATAATTTTTGAGAAAGATCAATAATGAGATACCTATGACAATTCATGGCTTTATATTCAAAAAAACATAATGCCATACATAGTTGGGGTCCATGTTACACTTACTATCTATATATGCGTTGAAGGTTCAATCCCTAATAAAGTGATCCCATGTACAATGGCAGGTCTGCTAACATAAACTCCATTTTCACAATTCCAACCTAGACGGTTCCTTCCCACTTTTTATTCTCTGTTTTTTTATGTGATTTCCTCTAATTGCAGCCAGTGAGTAGGATATGTTTTTATCCACTGGCATCATGGGCAGAGCCAGCATATGCCCGGGGGGCATTTGCCCACCCTCAAATTTTTTTTCTTAACACTACCTATATGTATTTTAAGTATTTTTCAATATTTTTAATTATGCCCACCCTATTTTTTTGGCACATCAATTAGTGTACACTTATATCAAATGAATATGATTTTTTTGGACACATTTTGGCCATATTATGTACCTATCTAGACAAATTTTGAATATACAAGAATCATTTTATACTTTTTAAGACTAAAAAATACATGATATACATATTAGCTAGTTTACTTGTGATTGTGACATTTATTTTGCTAATTATGGTACATATTATAGAGTACACATTGAACTGCATAATCGTACGAGTGATAAATATCCAAGTGATAACATGATTGTGCATATACTAGAGGCTTACCAATTTTTGCTCCGTTGGGTTTAATGAACTTTTAAGTATTAAATAGGATGTAATTAAATATAAATTATTATCCTATTTCTATCGATTGAAAGAAAAAAAATTTGGTTTGTTAAAATATTCATGCCCACCCTAATACAATTTTCTGGCTCTGCCCCTAACTGGCATCTAGTGTCTTTGCTACATGCCAGTGCATCAACACTCAAGAATGCTGTACCAATAATGCCACATGTCAAACAGAGAGGTTTGGAGTCACCAAAATGTGTGACATTGTTAATAAGCAACTGTAATATATGTAACATAATTGAAGCCTCTCCTGACATACCTTATGCATTTTCTCAATCTCAAATAAACTAGAAAAGGCCTGGTCCAAACTATTTTTAGTCTTCTCTGCCATTCAATTTTGTGCCTTTTCTCAATTGAAAATTTACTGAAACGTAATGGTTGAAAATGGCAGCACCAAAAAAACAATAATTAACTTACGGTTGTTTGACCAAACCCTAATGGGTTGCTTGTAGTTAGCAGGGATGGCGTGCTCGAAAACAAATTCGCCCCAAATGCAGTAGAAGGTGTACTAAATATACTTGATTGCCCAAAAGCTGGAGTACTCTGTCCAAAGGAGGAGGTAGTCTGTCCAAAAGCAGGAGTTGCCGGTCCCAGTGAAGGTGTAGTTGACTGGAACAGTGGGGATGACTGTGTGTTGCCAAAACTTAAGCCAGGACCAAATGATGGAGTTGTTGCCTGAGCTGATGAAGAACCAAAAACAGATGTTGATGATCCAAAAGCAGATGAGCTTGATGATCCAAAAAGAGATGGGGAGATATTGGCTCCAAATGCAGGAGTTGAACCAAATATGGAGGGTGTTGCTGATGAAGTTGACCCAAAAGGGTTAGATGTCGATGATGTCCCAAAGGGTGAAGAACCAAATGCAGGAGTAGATGTGGATCCAAAGCCAGAACTGCTAAAGGCTGGGGTTTTTGGAGCAAAGAGGTTGGAAGATGCTGATGATGAGAAGGGATTCACAGATATCTGACCAAATGTTGACGAAGAAGCAAATGGACTTGACTGTGTAGTCGAAGCGCCAAATCCAACTGCACCAGCACTTGGCCCTCCTGAAATCAGATTAAAAATATTATAACTAACATGGCAGGTAACGAGGTGTGTATCAGTTCGAGATTTCTACACACGTCTAGTAAAGCACCTTTATCACCCAATTGATAGTCCTCCCATCTAAGTTCTTCATGGCTTTTATCCTTATACACAGGCATAGCCGATATTGACTCCAGCTTTCCAGCAGGCTGTGTACCTGTGCCACTATCTAACTCAGCAGTTGGCGTGTAAGGAGCCACTCTACTTCCCCCTCGATGGCCTCCAAAAGCCGACTGTCCAAAACCAGAGCTCCCATATGTTGGTGTTGTAGCCTGGGCTCCTGCAAGACAGTTTACAAAGGCATAAATTCGGTAAAAGCAGTAAAAATTAAAAACAATGACCAATAGGGTGGCAAATTCCTCATGATTTATTAAATAGCAGAATTGAATCCTTCAGTACACATGAAAAATCACTCACCAAATGGTGCACTCTGAGCTCCAAAGGGCGATGTAGTTGTACCAAATGGGCTGCTTGATTGGCCAAATGCTGGAGTGGACCCAAAACTAAATGGAGGAGTACTCAAACCACCAAAAGCCGAAGTAGTTGAGGCACCAAATGCCGGAGTGCTTGAGGCACCAAATGCTGGAGTGCTTGATGACCCAAATACAGAAGTACTAGAGGCACCAAATGATGGAGTGCTTGATCCAAAAACTGGGGAACTAGATACAGCGAACGCAGTGCCGGTTGCACCAAATGCTGGGGTTGCAGTAGAACCAAAGGCTGGGGTGTTTGTGGCACCAAAGGCAGGTGCACTTGTGCCGCCAAAGGCTGATGAGCTTGATGAACCAAAGGCCGGAGTACTTGAAGCACCAAAAGCAGGCTGACTAGGTGCACCGAAAGGAGTAGAACCAAAAAGACTGCTCCCAAATGTTGGCTGTGACTGTTGAAATGAACTTCCAAAGGGGCTAGTTTGGGTACCAGTGGATCCAAAACCACCAAAAGCAGGCTTCTGGCCAAACACAGAAGAACCTGTATTTTTATGATAAACAAACAAAAAGAGAAGTGAGTTAAAAGTAAGAAATTAAGAATAAGTTGGTTAGAGATTAAGAAAATTCACCAGAGACAACATCAATGAAATAAGAAGGAAAATACCACATGAATGCACAGCATGTAATATGATATCGGCATTGCCACCTCAATAGAGAAGGGATTCAATCAAGGAGTCAAAGATACTCCATAAGAAAGCATCAACCAGCCACAAGTACCTGTTAAAAGTGATTTCTTGTTTGGATTGTTTTAGCAAGTTCTGTCATTTAACTAAAAAAACTAATTCCCTGTTTTCTTTTTCCAAAGGCAGCTTTGACTTTCTAAAGTAGTAAAAATTTGAAGATGAATAACTCAACGTCAAGGATCGGTATACCCAAGGAAAATGAAAACACAAAAAAGCTAAAAGCAAATCCAAATGCAGCCTTTTTTTTTAAGCTCTTGGCTTCCACGCATGGGTGGCGGCAGGAAGAGATTCCCTAGAATATCTGGTTTCAATTACTTGATTAGGTAACAGTTAGTTCTAATATTGGATGTACATGCAAGAAAGTAAGGTAATTAGGTGTTTTGTGGCATCCCTTCACTTTCTCTTCACTAGGTCCGAGCACTGCCAACAATGGTACCACCGGCTACCTTCGGGAAGATGGAATCCACCATTGCTTTATGTTGTGGATGTCTTGTATTCCACTCCAACTGACTTGAAATTTGTTCTCCTAGGGATTTTGAATGGTGGATGTCTTGGAATTCCACTTCAAGAAAAAAACCAATTAGAAACTCTATTTATTAGGAAATAAGGTGTTTTGAGTCTATAAATACATTGTAGACTGCTTAGTTTCTCTCATGGGTTTTTGGCCACCAGTTTTGCATATTCATGTTTTGTTCTATTCTCTTAGTTAGAGAACTTTGCTTATTCTCCTCTTTGTAAATAGTGAAACTTTGTCGATGTGCTTCGCCGTGGATGTAGGCTTGTGTTTTGAGCCGAACCAAATAAATTTGTGTGTTCTATTTTTCCTATTTTGTCCCATTTATTATTTGTATGTGGTCTTTGTTCATAACACTTTATCCCAAACAGTTGCCTATCAGTTGCATTTAAAAGAGCCAATCCAAAGAGAATAAATGAAAGACCTACGAAATGAAGCTTCCAAGCTTTTGATCAAAGGAGATTCGTAGTGCATATGCTGATATCATTTATTTGAACCAAGCAAAGTGTATGGATGGAAAGAAAAAGAAGAAAGCAGAAAGAATACAATGTCATAGAAGAAAATTAAAAGGAGATGATCACGCAAACGAAAATTTAAGCCTTCTATTTCTGAATTTTTATATCCAACAAGGCAACTTTGAGGACCCATTGATAGCATATGGAGTAGATATTCCACAAAAGAAGCACTTCACAATCTGACTAGTGTTTAAGAGACCATAACACTGAATAAAAACATCCGCAACTAAGGTTTTCTCCTTATAGATTCATATTAATCCCTAAAGGATAGTAGAATACTTAAGCATGCTCAAAACATCTATAGACAGCATATTACACATAATTGGATCACATAAAAAAGAGGAAAGGGCAAATAGTTGGCTAACACTCCATAAATACACTTACCGCCAAATGATGATGATGATGAACTACCAAAGGCAGGAGTCGATGTTGCTCCAAAAGCAGGCGTTGAACTTCCAAAAGCTGGGTTTGATGAAGCACCAAACACTGGTGTCGATGATAAAGGCGAAGAAGTTTGGGTTGCACCAAACACGCCAGTAGAAGTGCCACCAAAAATGGAACCCCCTGTTTGTGAACCAAAAGGGGATGTACTGCCAAAGGGTTTAGGAGCAAATGGATTGCTACTTGCATTGTTAGTCTGCCCAAAAACTGATTGGGACCCAAAAGGGCTGCTAGGTGACTGTCCAAACGGGCTATTGGATGATTGCCCAAACGGGCTACTAGATGACTGCCCGAATGCTGTAAACCATTCAACAGTAATCAGTACCCAAAAAAAGGTCAGGTGAACAGGCCAATAGTAACTATTCGCTGGTGAACTCCATGAAACAGTACATAGCAGTACATTCTACCAAAGACTATAGTAGCCCAGTCAATATATACTAAACATTCATATATAAATGAATGAGAAACAAATGCAGCAGTACATTCTACCAAAAGCTCCTATCATATATTTCATGGCAGACGAATTTGAAATGATGAGAAACAGTCATTACAAGGTGAGTCTCTGAGAAAACAAGCATTAAAATGCAAACTAGCTTTCCAGTTTCTATAGTTGGAGTTGGTCAAAAAAATTCTATACGTGTAAACAATTAAGACAAAACATCAGCATGGTAGAAAGACTTATAGGAAAAGAAGCCAGAAGTAAACGTAAACTTTACAGTTTCCCAATTATTTGGGTAGGAACTAAAATCTCTTATCTAACGCATACACAAAACAAGGGGCATAAATGTCAACCCTCCAAACAACTCATGGTCATGAGAAAACTTGCAACTATTGTTAACTAGACAAAAATTTCTTTTCTAAGATAAACAGAAAAGGAACAAAAACGCAAAAAATAAACCAAACATTAAAACAATGTAGACAAAAGAAGGAAAACAAAACATTGTTGAACAACCGGTAATCAATTTTTTTTCCCAATAAGATAGTAATCAATATCATCTATTTGCAAATAAAACAGTGTATAAAGCAAACATCCAGGACTATGTTGCACTAAAACAAGGAAACAAAAATTTCAAACAAACACTAAACACATAAGTAAATAAATAAAAAGACCAATGCCAAAGATAAAGAAAACACTTACGGTTGGTGGAACCAAACATTGTCGCTTGATGACTTCAAAAGCTCCTGATCCCAAAAAGAATTACAATCATACACAAAAATCAAATGAATGTATTACAATAACTGTACAGCTTTGAATAGATAGTATAGTTCATGTGAGCGGAATTGAACTTCTTAACAACACCAAATAAAAACAAAAATTCACCTCAAATAAGCTACAATTAAACTCCAAAATCGCTGCTAATTCACTTACAATAATGTGCATATAGACATGTAACAGTTGTTACAATTCGTAAAACTCATGCAAGAAGTGATCACAACTTCATATCTAAGTTTACGTGTAAAACTCTAGCAGCAGTCAGATTTGGTTGTGTGTGTGTGTGTGTGTGTGTGTGTGTGTATAGGCATTGTTATGCAATTTTTTGGTTAGAAGAAATCCCCTGCCCCAGCCCTCTGTTTCACATGTACCATTACCGCCCCACCCCAGCCCTCCCACCCGGCTGCCGCCTCAAAAACAAGTTAAAGAAGAAGAAGAATTCTAAACAACCCACACTCGCCCCAAAGCCCTCAAAACCGTTAGCCCATCCCCACCAACTAAAAAAATACCCAAATCAGATACCCACCCCCCTGATTCAGATGAACCAACGGCGCCCCATAAGAGCCATCCACACCCCGCTGCTGCATCAAACACAAAAACGATGAAGAACAAATCTAAACAGCCACCACAACCTTCAGCCCATCCCCACCAACAATAAAAAAACTCAGTTCCGAACCCCTACCCCACCCCACCCCTCTGATTCATCTGAACCACCAGCGCCCAAGCCCACTCCTCCACACCCCACTGCCGCCACTAACAGAAAATTTAAGAAGCAATCGGAGAAGCCAGATCAGATACAAACACACGGCTGTCGACGAAACCAGATGATATCCAAAAACTATACCACCGACCTTCGTCGGAGAACCGAGAGAAAGGGAGACTTAGATGGTCTGATTCGAGGATAGAGAGAGAGAGAGAGAGGGTGGAGAAGGCATACCTCTGTTCCAACGAATCGCCCGGTTCGAGTGTGAAGGGCGCTCGGCTTCAGCGAAGGGAGATGAAGAATGAAGATCAGCGTGCTTGTACTGTCAGGGGAGAATTGGGTTGGATTGGGTTTTTAACCCGATGCAAAGTTGTCCGGATTGTGTTTGGATCCAATGCATTCCATCTTGCTCTAAACGGAGAATATGTGATTTGTGGGCCTCATGCGCATGTCCAAATTAAAAAAAAGTAAATGACTATTACACCCCTTGTAACAAAATATAATTCAATTCTATACAAACTTTGAGTGGTTATGGTGGCTAAAATTAGTTAGGATGAGTACTTATTTAGAAACAATCACGTAATTCAATAATAAAGTTCTTAATAGGAGAGTTCACCTTATCCAGGTAGGAATTATGATATTTCATATTTCTACTTAATATTTTACGGAAGAATTTTTTATTAATCTATTCTATCCAACTAAGCATACTATTCTTACCCAAATTTTGTCTAACACAATCAGGTAAACACATATTTTTTTTTTATCATTTTAACAATTTAATTAAGTAACTTGCACCAATTAACTAACACAATAAATCATTAACACTAAATAATACACAATAAATTTGATAATACATAAATAATTACAATAAAACATAACAAGAAAGTTATAAACATCAATATATCATATATAAGAAAGCATTATAGTTTATAGATTATTTGATTTTAATTTTTAAAATATATATACATGCAAGTAAAATATAGTAGAAATACGAAAATTTTGCAGGTATTTTACATTTTTACACCATTTTTTACAAAATACCAAAAAGATCTTTCGTTGGTCTATTCGATTTTTTCATGTAACCGATTAGTAATGTTGGGTGTGGTAGGATATGATCGAAATTTACGAGTAATTGAAAATTTGAACACTCCTAATCCTTGAATTAAACTATACTTATTTAACGTAATGAAATTTTGTTTTTAATATATTAGATTTAGTTTAATCTTTTTAATAATTTAATATTTTTTATTTCATTTTTTTTAACAACATGTGAGCAAACAATTTTTTTATTTTTTATGCAACACACAATTGATGACAAATAATATGAATGCTTATAATTCGTAAAATCCCCAACAAATCCAAATAACTCAGTTAATGTATCTCATTAATTTAAAACTTAAATTACAGTAATTAAAATAATGTATTTAGCTAATGTAAGTAATTGTATTCATTAAGTTAATTAATTTGCCAATTGAGCTAATTAGCTTCATTATTCCATCAAGTTAATTTAAATGAAAAAAATAGTTAGTTAAACAATTAACACGAATTATCCCCATCAATTGACTATCCCACTAAATAATCTTATCAATCATAGTAATTAAATCGTTAATTATGTAACTAACACCTTAATTAGCATCATTACTTTTTTAAGTAAATTTCTACAACTAAACCCATCAATTAAGCCAATAGTTAACTATTTCATTAATTAAGCTAATTAATCCTAGTAATTAACGATATCGATTAAGCAATTTATCCATTAGTTAACACCACTAATTCCGTTATATTGTTAATTAAGTAATTGATCTAAATCCATCGCTCACTCCACCATCTGATTGCACCACAAACTAGCTTCATCACCTCCACCAAAAAGCACAATCAACTTCCTTCAAACTATTGGCATCAAAATTAGACTGAGATCCCCCGTGAAAACCATCTCTAATCTCACGACACCCTCCCACTACAACTGTCAATGACCTACAAACCATAGGCAAAACACATTGAATGGGCGATAAAATGAGAGATATGAGAGAGTTCCTCGAGTGAGAGATAATGAAAGAGCTCCTGGACAAAGAGAGAGAGATAAGATGAGGAGAGGAAGAGATGAAAAATTGTTAGCTTTAAACCCTAACTGAATATTGTTCTAAAGGTAGTTGGATAAATTTTGTATTTATCATGTCAGTAAAAATTCAAGGTAGATGAATCCCTCATCATCCATGGGTTTAAAAAATCTCAATTCCTATGGTATAAAGGCCTTCACAACATTTATCCCATCACATTTTGTGGGTCTCACAGACAACGTAAACTCAAGTCATACATATTATCCATTTTTATTTATCAAACCAACACATATCATAAGAGTAACTCTCTAAAAGCCCCATTTTAGCTATTTTGAAGAGTCTCTCCCTATAATTTATCTCCAAAGGACTATCTATCCCCACTATCTATTTTTCATAATCCCATTTTCACTTGTTAGACCTGGCAAGCCACAACAGCTAACTATTTGTTTTTGTGTCAATTTTCTTCTCACTCCAAAAAGGGTAAATTTGTCATTAAAACCCACTTATCCTATGGGCATGAAATTGTAACCCACGGAGGAGGTGGGTTACATTTAACCAGTGTATAGAAGTTTAAAACCACTGTACAAAGCGAGTTAAGGATAGGCCCAAATTTTTTATATATCATTATTTTTTGATTCCTAAACATGGGATATCTGGACCCACTACCATTTTAGCCAATCAAAATGGGTATGACTCACTTTAACCCATTACCCAAATATATCACAAAGAGATTGAATTGGATAATTTAATTTAATGATGATGTAATACAAAATTTGTATTGAATTATAGCGATTCGATTTACTATTGTCATTCAGGCTATGAATCTCCTTCCATGCATTTTTATTGAATTTTCCTAAAAGATATATATTGTCTTTCACCATAAATCAACTGAGATTCTACCGACGTCAAATAAGCTTGTATTACTTCTTCACCAATACATATAGAAAATTGTAATTTTGAGGGCGATATTGAATTGAACAATGTATTTATTTTCTTTTGGATTTTATTAGTTGAATACAAAAAATCTTTATGTCTTGGACTGGGCTAGCCAGCATGAAACCCAACATACCCAGTCGTCTGGGCCGCACAAATCTCCAACCACCTCAATGGCCCCCCTCTTGGGTCACAGGCCAGCTACTAGGCCCACGGTCCACTCTCGTTCACTCCCTGCTTCAACTAGACCACTCAATCGTCATCTCAAATTCCGAGTTTCACCGATGCACCTAATTAGCTGATGATTGTGTACACACATGATTCGCATTGTAATCATATCTTTAGAGATCATAGAATTGAGATGATTCCCTATTAGCAAAAATAACATTTACAACTACGACTATTACTAATGTGATAAATAAGTGATAAGAATATCTCTATAATCTCATTTTTAACGTTCTTATTTGAAAGTTCACTAGTCAAATCGAGTAAATAGTAATGAGAAAGATTGTTATAATATTAAATAATTTTTTTTGATAAATAAAGCGACATATTCCACATTGTCATTGGCAATGAATAAATAATAATGTGTGTCCCATGCGTTTTGTTTGTGGCTGAGAGCCGCCTAAATTAAAAAATAAATGTATTATTTGAAGTTGACTCTTTCAAAATTATTATTTATTTGTCAAATTATATATACAATGAGAATTAGAAAGTGTTTATCACAGTATGATTGCAAGCATATTCTCTCCCTCTATAATGTACAGCATATTCCACAAATTCAGGATATAATAATATTTGTACTTTTGTACCAACTTCTATTAGAAAAATGCTACATAACTCAAAAATTAAAACTCAAATAAATATCATCCCTTGAATGAGTGTGAAATAAGTGGGACCATTGAAAAAATTGATAGGATCCACTCATTGAATGGATGATATGTATTTGGATTACAATTTTTTGAGTTTCATTTAAGTTTTATAGCATTCCTCATTCTATTATAAGTATTATTTGGACTCGTTAATCTAAAATCAATTTAAAAATTCAGTACTTGAGCTACGAGTTATAGTATTCAAGCTAAAAATCTCAGTCCAATTTTAATTTGAGCATTTCTCACGATACAATCTCGGATTTTTAGAGACTTAAATCTTAGTGGATTTGAGTTTAATTTAATTCCTTTGAAACTAAGTTTCGTAATACAAGAATCAAACTAGATTGTAATCCAAGTGAAAAAAAAATTAAGTATAGATAGTGCTGACATTGAAGGATTTGAATTGAATATCAATTCAAACTACACTTATGACTATAAAGTTACAAATTGGATTAAATCCGAATCAATTTCTCATTCTATTAAACTTACCCAAATTACACCTCTAAGTTGAATAAGCCCACATGTGCGTGCCGAGTTTAGCATGTGATGATAAAATTGTCATAATTTGAAGTTTTTTGCTTGCTTTATTAGTAGTCTATTCCTTCTTTCATAGAAAAAAAATATTCATTATAATGGTGATATTACGTTAATATTATCATTTTTTCGTTTAATAGCCTAAAACTTTTAGTTGAATCGGACACTCAACAACTTCGTAAAGTACCCTATTCGATAAAATAAAATAATTTTCAATGTGTCCATTTTGAGATATACTACCAACAAGTAATAAATAGACACGTTTGTCGAGCTTGAAGTATTTGATTTATTCATTGCATGCTACGTATTTATATAAATTAATAATTATCCACTTTTTTCCATGTAATTACTGTCCATATAGAGCCTTGAAGCTTACGTTTTATCTTTAATACGGCGGCCATAATCTACGTGTTGTGTACCTGTAAAGTATAAAAAGTGGCAGCCTTACGGTGGTGGGGGAAGTTCTCCTGCCTCGTGGGTTTCATGTTTCCCACCCATTGAAAAGGATGGGACCCACCAATTTGGACACGAGAAGTTCATGCCATGGAATGTCAAAAAGCGCAAATTGTAACAATTTCCTTACTTTATAATAAAAATTATAATTGAATTGATTGTTAGTCCCAATAAATATTGAGATTTATCGTTAATTTAAAAATTATGAATAATTAGGTGAATAAATAATATCAAAATAATATTAGCTTTTTAGGAAAATTCTAATTTCTCTTAATTAAGAGAATATGACACGATTAATAAAATTGATTGAAGGTCGACTAATAGGTAACATGAAATCAAAAGGGTGGGATTTGATTACATCGCGACTTATATGCAGTAATGTTATGCTCTATTTAGTAAGATAAAATAATAGAAAAATAAATAATTAAAATGATAAAAAGTTGGAGGGATAGTCATGTTTGATAAATAAGAAAAATAAAAATGATGAAAAAGTGGATGAATGAGTTTTTCTTTCAACTCACCAAAAATCAATTCCTCCAAAATAAAAAAAAAATGGATAAAAAATTAATTATTTATGTTAAAATATACCTTATTTGTCTATATATCATTTGATATATACATATATTATATATACATTAATTTCATATATAAATACAATAATAAAATATATATTTTTTATTTTTTAAAAAAAATATAATTATAAAATTCATAAAAATTCATAAAAATTAAAAATTTAAAAAAATTATCATTTTTATCCTTCTTAATTCTCACCGTTCGTACCAAGATGAGCATAAGTATAATCTCCACCTTATGTACTTGAGACAACCCACCAACACAATGCTTTCGTGTTTAGCAGTGTTTAAAGCAAATTCCATCCTTCAATCCCTAATTTATTATAGAGGTCGGTCTATTCGGTCTTTTGGGTGTTCACGTGGACCATATGGATAAGGATGAACCCAGACCCAAATCCCTTCTTTGTCGTGTCTTACAACTTGACAGCCCGAAATTTATTGATCAATGAAGGATAATTCTGGTAATAATCTTGTTCACCAACTTGAAAAGTATTCTTATAATCGAATCGGATTTTAATCCTGGACTCCACATAAATTGTACCATATTTATCCTAATGACGTTGTAATTAAACTATGAAGACGTGAATCAAATTCGACGTTGATAATACAAGAGTAAGATAATTGTAATGACGAGAGTTTAGGCGTGACATCTCATGTGACGATATCAAGAGTAAAATGAACATTCAAACAAGTCAGCGACACAATGAAAAAATTGGCCAACCAAGTTATAAGCCTAGTTGACCTGACATAACTAAGACATGAGCCAACTCGGTAGTTACTGATGCAGCTCAACAACTGTTGAAGTAACTCGACAATCACTAAAAAAGGGATAAAAATGAAATTTATTTATAAAACTTTATTTTGGTCAATAAGTCATCACTTTTTAAAAATCACGTTATAACTTTTAAAATATCACTTTTAATCACTTAATACTATTTGTATGAATTGAATAGGAGCTAATTATTCAATCTCATTATTTATTTGTACTTGAATTAAACATTCCCTTAAAGTTTAATCCAAAAGAGTTGTGATAATAATTGTAAAATGTTAAAAGAGTTGAGAGAGGAAAGTTAATGTCTTCAGACTTTATTGGATTTGATAGTCTAGTTTTCCTAATAGATTAAGTCGCATTTCTATTTAAGAGAATAAATTTATGGACGATGGCTTCAAAAATCACGTTTTACGGAATATTCGAATCTTTGACCTACCCTTTATAGTAAAAGGTTTATCCAGTATTACATAAAAATTTATAGTAATTCAATTAGATTAAGTTACAACTAACACTGGCCATTTTCTTTTAAACTATTCAAATTAAGTCATAACTTTAACCTTTTTGAATTATAATTCAATATTTTTTAGGGACGATATTGAATTGAACAAAGTATTTATTTACTTTTGGATTTACTAGTTAAATATAAAATCTTTTAAGTGCAATAGTACATAGATTTAAAAATTAGAGTTAATAATTACAATAATTGATTTTACTATAAGTTTCAATATTTATTAAAAATTACTATCTATTTAATGATTATAATTATCAAATTTAATTTTTAAATTTATGTAACATTATTCTATTTTAATGTATTGGAAAGGAAGAGACAAGACGAGTAGACAGATAGTGAATGGTAATGATAAATGTGGATAAGGATGAAAGCATCCTTCAAATAGCTTGTCAACACACGCCACGAGCCATGCATTGATGTATATACTTTTTGAAACTGGACCATGGCATTGAATTGAATTGAAATGTCTGAAAACTGTGTAATTGACGAAGACTTTGAAAACCATAGATCTCAAAACTGTGTAATTGACGAAAACTTTGAAAACAAAGGGAAAAACCAATCCACCCTGCAAGTTATTCGAAAGGGTGTTAAAATATAATACGATTAATTAATACGTTATAAATATGATACCAAATTAAAGAATTTTAGTTTTTTTTAAACTATCCGTTTTATAAATGAGTAGATTTAACATGACACAATTAGATATAAATAAAGTCAATCAAAGAAAATATACGATTTGATTTATTTATATATCAATTATATACAATACGAATTTGATATGACACGATTCGTTAGGTACAAATTAATAGACAAATCGAATATAAATAAAATTATTTGTAACATGAATTCTCTAAAACCTGATATAAATCTGTTTCACCCGACACGATTTTTTAACTTTAGTTTGACGGTGCTATCCTTCATTTTTATTATGCTGTTCAAAGAGAACCACACGGCACAAGGGCACTTACGTAGATGTGAAGCTGCCTGGGTCACCACAGTATGTTTGGAATGTGGATGAGCCCCCCATCCACCAATGACCAAACAGCGGAGAAAATATTCATTTCAAAAGGTGATATGATGTGGCAATGTGATATAATATCATCAATTAATTATATTAAAATAAATAAATAAAAGTCTCGATTTTTTTTTTCATGTAATTTCAAATGGAGTTCACCTTATTCATTTGAAATGATGACATGATATCACCATTATATTCAATATTAGGAGTGGGGGTAACTTCCAGTCGGCAAACTCCAATTTCTATATAAATTTTTTATTTTTTTGAATAAGTTAAACAAAAAAGACATTTTTTTTGAATTAATAAAAAATAGGGTTAATTATAAATTATATTGTGAAAGATCGTTCGAATATCAATTTACACCCTCAAATATCAAAAATTTTAATTTACACCCTCAAAGATAGAAATTTGTATCAATATACACCCCCAAAGATTAAAAATCTCAATTTGTACTCTCAAAGATAGAAATTTATATCAATGTGTACCCCTAAAGATAAAAAATCTTAATTTGCACATTCAAAAATATAAATTTGTATCAATGTGCACCTAAAACTAAATTGATAAATTATACCTAGACCCCCTTATGTTTATCACTTAATCATTTGGACTCCTTCATATTTAGAATATTACTCTTACATCTCATGACGTTTGTGTATATGTAACATGTAACCCATTTTCGTTGATATCTGTTAATATAACCGTTAAAAATATATGATTTTATTCTAATAAAAAATTATAATTTCATATTATCTTTTATTTTATGGGTTCAATATACTCTAAAGTTCAAAATCAACCTTACCATTTGAATTTCTAATAGAATAAAGGGTTCCACATTGAGTGATATATTACATTGAATATAAAAAATATTATATAAATATCTACATTCTATTGGACATTCAAATAATAAGCTTGATTTTAAACTTTAAAGTATATCGGACTCACAAAATAAAGGGTAATATGAAATTATATTTTTTAACGGTTATATTAACCTATATCAATAAAAAGGGATTACGTGTTACACATACATAAACGTCATGGAACGTATGAGTAATATTCTAAATGTGAAAGGGTCCAAATGATTAAGTGACAAGTATGAGGTGATCTAAGTATAATTTATCAAATTTAATTTTAAGTGCACCTTAATACAAATTTCTATTTTTGAGAGTATAAATTGAGATTTTATATCTTTGGGGGTGTACATTGTTATAAATTTTTATTTTTAAGGGTGTAAATTAAGATTTTTTATCTTTAGAGGTGCATATTGATATAAATTTATATTTTTGAGAGTGTAAATTAAAAATTTTGATATTTGAAAGTTTAAATTAAGATTTGAATTATTTTTTGGGGTACAATTTATAATTAATCCTATAAAATATGAGTATTTTGGAAGACAAGTGAGTGAAAAGTTGATATATGCTGGAATCCTTCAACAGCCGCCACTCCGCTCCAAGTGAAAACAAATACACACCTCTTACGCGCTTGTGGAGATTCAAATATTTTATTTTCTTTATAGAAATGATCAATTAGGATTGAAATGAAGCATGTGATATTAATTTTTTTAATTTACAATTGATTTGTTTTTTAGCCATGTATTATTAAATTCAAAAGAATTATAATTGAATTAATTACAATTTTTAATAATGGCAATATAAATCTAACAAAATAAAAACCCACTGAGGTTAAATCACGTGAAAAAAAATTTATTTTTTGTAAATACTCTGAACTCATAAATCACGTTAAAGTTAAAAAAATGTAATTATATCAAAAGTTATGAACACAAAAGCACTAATTAAACATCAGTTTGCAAATATTATAGTTTTGTCCCTCATTATGTACTACTGATTATTCCACAATTGTGAGGAGACATGAAATTCCATGAAGAAACTGAACCCCAACCGACAAAATGTAATCGACACGCGCCATAATGTCGTCTGGTACTTTTCTGGTGTCATTCTTTCTGACAAAGTTCTTTTTGCGAGAATAATATTTACGGGGGTGAAAGTGAAATAGTCCCAAAAAAAAAGGGGTGAAAAAGGAATAAAACGTTTTAATGTTGTTTGCTTGGTGACTTTGGTAAAAAAAACTATCAAACTAATCTTATTTAAATTTAAAAATTTAATTTAATTTGTTAATTTAATAATGTGATTTTATTGAAATCATTGAAATAATATCAAATTTTAATGATCCATGGGCTTTATAATTAATTTAAAAATTATAATAAATTAAATTAATAAATTAAGTCCACTGCTCAAAAAATATTTTCATTCTCTACGAAGCAAAAAGAACAGAACAGAAAAGAAAAGAAAAGACGCGGCTGTTGTACACCAAAGCCAGAGTCTCTCTCTTTCTCTCTCTATTTGCCCATCGATTTGAGCTTCGGAGATCCCACCAGACGATCCAAGCCCTGAGATTTATAACTCTATTCGTTTTGAATAAAGATCGTGGAACTGGGTGAGCATTAAATTATTTGTTCTTTTAGTGGGTATTCTTTAAAGGGTTTTTGGTAGGTGGAATGAACTTTTGCGTACGATCTTGATGTTTCAGGAGTTCCTCGACGGGTTTTTCTGGTTTTGGATTTTTTTGATTGGGCCGAATAGATTTTTTAGTGATCTAGATGTGTTCGTTGAGAAAGTGATTGGTGTTCGAGGGTTTTAGAGGCGTTGAATTGTGCATTTGTGGATGATTTCTGTGGGAAGTAGGGATGGGAGGAAGGGGATAGGGTTAGGGATCGGTGTTGGAAAGGAGATGGACGAGACTGAGCTTGAAGAAGGAGAAGCCAGCTGTTATCAAAACGGTGATGAATCAATCATTGACCCTGACGTTGCTCTTTCTTACATCGTAAGGCTATTTCTCTAAATTCTTCACTTCAAACAAGTGCTGATCTTTTGATTTCGGCCTTATGCTTTAACTGGAAATTCATATCTGAAGTCGTCTGGTTTCTCTGATATTGCAGTTCACTTGCTTGTTCTGTCTAGATCAAAACAGTTGATCCACATATTTTCATGAGTTTGCATGGTTCAAGGACGCTAATACTGAATTTCAATGAGAATATATTTATGGATTTTGAGATAGATATATTTCTGGATTTGAATGTAGGAATTTTGCCTCAATGTATGTAGTTCTGTTATAATTTCTCTTGAAGGCTGTATATTGTGTATCCTTTCTCTTTGGAATAATCACTATCCAAGCCTCATGATCTCTACAGTTGTGGCGACATTTGATGCGTGTTCCCATTTCTGTTTAGGGATTTTTAAAACTGCATAGCTTAAGGTTCATGAGTAACTGGTGTCCAGCTTCTATCATTTGAATGCATGGTCCCAGACCGGAGAGGGTTAGCTCTCTTTTAGTAGGGTCATAGGGTGTCATGTTTTCTAAGTTTTTTGTTTGTTGGATTTGTTACATAGTATCTCTTATGTATTTACTACTGTGTTCTTTCAAGGATGAGAAACTTCAAGATGTTTTGGGACATTTCCAAAAAGATTTTGAAGGTGGAGTTTCAGCCGAGAATTTGGGTAAGTCAAACCAACAGGCCTGCCTCTCTTGTAGAACTCAAAGATCCACATTTATGTAAAATTCATTTTGAAGTGATGAGTGGCCGGTCTATGCATTTTACCAGGAGCAAAATTTGGTGGGTATGGTTCGTTTTTACCTGCCTATCAACGTTCACCTGCCTGTTTTCATCCAAGGACTTCTCCAAAAGATCATATTGACAACATGCCCAGATCCCCAAACATTGTGCACCTGGAGGTAAGTAGTTATCTGTTTGAATCCACATTTTGCCATTATCTTTCCTGTTAATGGAAGGGAGAACTAGGGCAGGTTTTGGTTGCCATAAATATGCTAATTTACATGAGCACTTTGGTTGTGTTAATATATAGGGTGTTCGTCATAACTCTGTTGTTTCATCAAATGCCTCTGTATCAGCAACACATGGACTGGCTTCTGCAAGTTCTGTGTTGCTGCCTGCGGTGAGGGTTTCATCAGTGAAGGATTTGGTAAACCAAGATTTGTGCATGTCATCTGCTCATTGTGCTGACGTACCCATTTCAACATGTGAACTTATGACCAACTCTGCCAACCCTTCGGACCAGAGAACTCTGAAAGTTAGAATCAAAGTGGGTTCTGATAATTTGTCGACTCAAAAAAATGCTGAAATTTACAGTGGACTTGGCCTTGATGTCTCTCCATGTTCATCATTGGATGGCAGCCCCATTGGTAGTCACAGGTTCTCACATGAGCACCCAAATGGCCCAGACGAATCTCCTACTAGTATTCTTCAGGTAAATGATCTCCCTGTACCATTCTTATCTTCCATCTCTTTTCACAACTGACTTAAAGTGATGAGATTTTGTTCAATGGGTTGGAGCAGATTATGACATCATTTCCAGTGTGTGGGAACCAGCTGGTATCCCCTCTTCCTTATGATCTTATGCATTTTACTGACAAGGGAAGAATTCTGGGGGACAGTAGATCTCTATATATGCACAAGGGGAGCCGGGAAAGTTCTGTTATGTTTATAAATAATTCTGATTCTGCTAGCACTGATCGAAAGATTTCAGGAGAGAAAAAACTAAAGTCATTAGGCAAAAATGCCTTGGCAATGGAATTTAATGATGGCAAGGGTGTTGATGCTCCAAATAGTACTGGTGTTCTACCAAAGAAGGAAACAGAAATTGACACATTGGATTGTGAGGAACTTGTTTCTAATGCTTTGAAGCTTCCACTGCTATCCAATTCTTTCTGTAAGGTTGCTGACTCAGGAAAAGGTACTGCTAGTGAAGATGATATCTCTAGGGTTGCTGATAAAAGTAGGTTGATGGAAAAATCCTTTTCTGATCTAGCTGAAGAGAAACCGTTGGATCCAGTATTCACACAAGAGATTGGCCTGGTTGGGAAGCCCAATGGAAAGGCTGGCGCAGATGGAAAGATTGTGCTAAGTAAGAAGGCAAATTTTCAGGATGATGATTCAGTTTATCCTAGGAAAGAAGGCAATTCCAAAGGAGAAAAAATTGATATATCTGCCAAAGCTGACACAAATCGTTCTAAGGGAAGAAAAGCCCATTACGCTGAACTCACAGATCTTCAAAAGCAGAAGGCTGGTCAAAAAGCTATATTTCATCAAGAGGATGGTATGAAACTCACTCCCACAAAGGAGCAATCATCCTCTGGGGGCAAGAAGAAATCAAAAGGAATCCTAAGTCATGTCGCTGAAGGTGCTGAGTTGCCAAAAAATGATTTGAAAATAGGTTCTTCTTTAACTCATAAGAATTGGAAGAGCACTACCATTATGTCTAGAAGTGAAGCAGAATATTTAAGAAAAGATCAAGGAAAGGTAAGAGATAGATATAAAGATTTCTTTGGGGACCTTGAATTAGAACAGGGAGATAATGAGATGACTTTGGAGGAAATGCCATCTTCAAACAGGCTGAAGGACTCTGACGTTGTTGAGAAAAGCACATTTCAATTTACCAGCACATCAAAAGAGAAACTTAATGTTAAGAAAAATGATAAGCCATTGACATCTGAGGCATATTCAAAAGTGGCTGCAAATGTGGCTCCTATAACTGAAAATGGGCCCATTCCTGATGCAGTCCCTGCCACAGGGGCTCCTGTACTCGAAGAATATTGGGTTTGTTGTGACAAGTGCCAGAAATGGCGGCTTCTTCCACTCGGTAGAAATCCTGACAGCCTTCCTGAGAAGTGGTTGTGTAGCATGCTTGACTGGCTGTAAGTAATTACAAATCAACATTTTGTTGTTTGGTACTGGTGACAGATAATAACATTGTAAATCAGTTTTTACAAAACCCCCCACCACCAAAAAAAAGATAAATAAATACATGTTACAAATCAAACTGCCATGATGAAGAAGTGTTAAATCATTACATTCGTGAAAACAGTCAAAACATGTCTTGACTTATATAATGGTAATACAGTACTTTTTGTTGCTCGCTCTGTGTCTCTCTCTGTCGTGTGAAGCTTGATCTTCTTAATTTATTTAATGTCTCTAGGCCTGGGATGAACAGATGCATTGTCAGTGAGGAAGTGACAACAAAGGCTCTAACAACCCTTTACCCAGTCTCTGCTTCTGCTTCTGCTTCTGAGAGTCAAATTTGTCGGCAAGCTCATCCTGGCGAAGTTTTATCTGGGGCTGATGCTCAGCATTTTAACCAAAGCCACCAAAATCTTTGTTTAGATTTTGTGGCCACTGAGGGAAAGAAGAAACATGGACTAAAAGATGTATCAAATTCAACTATCCAAGATGGCACCACACACTGCTCAAACCCCATGAAGAAGATCCCTCAAGCTACTGTGAAAAGCAGAAGCTTAAACGGTGTGAACCAGTCTCCTCCTTTGAATGAACTTGACTTTCAGCATTTTGGTCAGTCTAATAGCTTGGATAGACAGCGACATAAGCAGAAAGAGAAGAATAAACAACTTGAAAACTATCCTGATGGAGGTATTGTACTTGGGATGCACATTTTCTTGGACTTGTCAAATTCTTTTATTTGGGATACATTAATTTCTTTCGATGATGCAACATGTCCACAGGTGATCCCAAGAACTTGAAGGTCAGAAACAAAAGGGAGACTGGGAAAGATTGCTTCGAAGCTTCTAAGAAAATCAAGACAGAGGGTGTGCACCATAAAAATGAAGCTTTGACTTCTGATTATGGTGGGGATTTTTTGAAGGGGTGTTGTAGCTCAAGTAGTGGTCTGTCAATTATTGCGTCGAGGAAGGATTGGCTTAAATATAATGACAGTTCTAAAGACTCAAAGTGTGGTGCAGATGACAACTTACAACATTTGGTTAGAAATCCAGAAGACCAAATTCAGATGGTGTCAGATGATGGTTTGCTGCCTATGGGAAAATATGGTGGTGTAGATCTGTTGAAGAAGCGAAAGGTGAATGCTTGCCAGGAAACTCAGATTTATCCTGGGTCCCTCCCTATTGCTGGGCATCATCTCCAGGACAGCAGGGATTTTACAGAAGGAACCAGCGAAAATGATCACAGGGAGGAAAAGAAAGCGAGGATAACTAAGTCTGAGGGTTTAGAAACCAGCATAGGCAAAGGCAATGCTAGAACAGACAAAAAGGGTAGAAGGATGAAGAACCAACATGGACCAGATTTAGGGATTACTCAGTCTCAGCAAAACTTGGACACTATGTATTCATTTAAAAGGGATTTGGGATCTGTCCGGCCTTCTCTGGCTGCCACTTCAAGCTCTTCTAAGGTTTCTGGATCTCATAAAAATCAGGCCACTCTCCAGGAAGAGAAAGGCTCACCTGTAGAATCAGTTTCTTCATCGCCTCTGAGGATATCCAATCTGGATAAGTTTACATCCTCAAGAAGAGATCTGGACGACAAAGATGATTCTCATGATGTTGGGTTTTTTGCCATGGCTAGTCCAAGAAGATGTTCAGATGGCGAAAATGATGGGAGGAATGGATCAGGAATAGCCAGGAAGGATGAAAGTTTCACTGTCAGTCATCATGGGTCTCTAGGGTCCTCTGTGCTTGAATTTCACGGCAGGGATTTGGGTCATGCATCACTCAGTAAAGCTAAGTCAGAGATTTTATCTTCCCCTGAGTTTGCAACTCGCCATATTTCTGATGGTGATGTTGATACCTTCGGCCAAGGTACTCAATATGTTTGCAAACTACATACTCCTGATCAATGCCGCGATGAAGAGATGGGGAATGCCAATCAGTATCATGCAAATGGGTTCCATTCAAGAAAGTCAGCTAAGGATTCCCTTTCTCGTTCAAAAGACAAGAGTCGGAGTTTTAGATCTGAATTTGACAAGGGTAACGTAAAGACTTCTGATTCTGGTAATGAATATAGGGATCATATACCCCATTATGAGGAAAAATTGAAGGCTGGTAGAAACAAATTTCCAGAGAAATTTGTTGTTGTTTCAGGTAAGGATGAAAAGCCTTTAGTCTCTAGGAAAGATTCTGCTGGAAGACTGTTGGGTGAGAGTGCTAAAAGAGAGAATCAGTCAGAATTTGGATGGCATGCTGACTCAGATGTTAGAGTAGATTCTATTTCCGGTCAGGTTCTGAAGCAGAATATGTTGATGGACCATGATAGTGAAAGATCTTCTAAAAGGTTCCCTGCTGATCTAACAGAACAGGTGGAAGTCTCTGGGAGAGGGAAGCAACACTCATTGCCACCTTCTGGAAAAGGTCATATTGAGACACTGAAACGTTGTCCTCAGCCAATTCCTGGACCTCAGAAAGAAAATGCAGCAAATACGTTGTCTGTTGATGCTTCTGAAGGTGATGATGCATTGAAGGCACCGAAACAGATTAAGAAAGCTGAGAACCAGAATGGAAATCATCCCACCAATTCAAGGCATCCAACACCCAATGGGAAAAAGGTCCGGGATCTTGATGCACCAAGCCCTCTTCGAAGGGATACCTCCAGTCAGGCCGCTTCTAATGCTGTAAAAGAGGCGAAGGATCTAAAACACCTGGCTGATCGTCTTAAGGTTTGTGTACAGTGTTTTTCCTGTTTGTCTGAAGTTGCTATTATACATTTTTGACTCTTGGTTCAACTCGGCGATCTTTTTGTAGAATTCTGGATCAAATGTAGAAAGTACAGGGCTTTATTTTCAAGCTGTCCTCAAGTTTCTCCACGGAGCTTCTTTATTAGAATCTTGCAACAGTGAGAGTGCCAAACAGGGTGAGATGATTCAGTCAATCCAAATGTATAGTAGCACCGCAAAACTCTGCGAGTAAGTAGTATTTAGAGCTCAACTATGGCCCTTTTTCTTTTTTGGAGCATATAATTTATCTTGTCCTCGTGTGACGCAGTTTCAGAGGGGCAATATTTTGTTCTTGGTTACCTCCTTGAAAAGGTGTCTTAAGTTTGTAGATGTTTGCATGATAAGCTCAAATGCATAAATACCAATGTTATTAGAATCGGATTGGACATCGAATCGGCACAGGGACCGAATCAATGGTTCACTACACTTGTATAATAAAAAATATAAAACATAATAATATGACTAAAAAATATATGAAACATGTCCACAATGCATATAATTTACCACAAAAAAATACAATTTGTCATACAATTTATAATGCATATTATGGAGAATGCATTATAAGTTTTAGTAGAATGCAAATTATAGAGAAGAGAATCTCACATTAGTAAAGAAAACCCAAGCCATGAGATGGGAAGACAAACTAATACCACTTCGGCCAATTGGCGCTTTCAACACAAATAAGGAATCCCACAATAAGGCCTCAATGATGGCTATATAAACAGAACAGGGTCTGTCATTGATTGGATCAATCAACTAAACAATAATCACTTCATTTGTTATTTTTGCTGTTGGATTTTAATTAATTGGCATTGTAAAATGAGTAAGCAATTGAGTAGGTGAAGCACATCCTAGCAAGCAGAATTTGTTAGATTTTATTTAGGGGACGATATCTTAAAACTGAGAAATTTTATTTGGTGTTTTGTGTCTGTGTGGTTATATCATATGAGACTCGTTTGGTAGATGTATTATGAGGGGATTAAATATTGGATTGTAGTATTTTTTATTTAATCGAGCTTAATACTTTGTTTGGTAAGCAAATTTGATACCGCATTAATTTCAAAAACGTATATTAATCATATATTTTTTATACGATAGACCAGCATTATGGATGTTGTTTAAAACTACCAAAAAAGGTAGTATTATAATACAACTTAAATGTATTATTCTATACATTTACTATTATAACTCCCTAACTGATAAAATCAAGCTGTCATCAATGTAACAATCATTGATTGAGAGTATTTTTGTTAATTCAACATTAATACGATGAAATAATTAACCAACGTTTATGTTGTATATTGTCAAACACTAGATAAAATTACGTATTATTCTAATACTCTATTTAATTTTGTCTTTTATCCTTCCGTATTGTATTAGACTGGATTACTCTATCTAATCCATATATTTCTAATATGGCAACCAAACGAGTACTTAGTGTTTAGGTATCATATGACTAGTTAGTGGTGACCTTCTAACAATTCAATGTGTACTTTTGTCTTCCCAATTGAAAGAAGCCATGCTTGCATGATGCCTTGTAATCCTGATTAGTGGAATAATAGTGCCTCTTATCAAATTCATGTCTTAATAAGTTAAATTGAGAATGTAGTTTTACTTAGGAAACCATGAAATTTATTCACCTCTGTCATCCGTATGTTATGAGCACTTGACACTTCTAGTTGAATGTAAATTATGGACATTATTAGATATTTTATGCACTTGAGTTACTGAAGACATTCAACTTGTGTTGTATCCAGCTTCTTTTTCATTATGATTCCTAGAGGGATTAAATGTCTGAATTTTAGAGGTGATTTGTGGCTTTATGTTCCTTGGTTATCTTTTAATGATGCGCTTAATATATTTGTGGTGGCTGTTGGTTCTTTGTGAAATGAGAAAGCTTCCTTTTTGTTTCTTCCTAATATTCCTTCTTTCATAGGTTTTGTGCCCATGAATATGAGAAGTCCAAAGATATGGCTGCTGCCGCTCTGGCCTACAAATGCATGGAGGTGGCCTACATGAGAGTAATTTATTCCTCACATTCCACTGCTGGCAGAGATCATCATGAATTGCAAGCAACTCTGAAAACAGTACCTCTGGGTAATGATAAAAATATGTATCTGGAGAGAACACTGAATGTACTTATTAGAATAAATGTTGACTTTCTGCGTTGAGATGCAAAGAAATTAGATAACCCTGTTTCGCACAATCTGATAGAGAGGCATGTTCTAGCTTCTATAAATTTGGAACTCATTCAGTACAATTTAATAGGATTCAAGTGTTAAAGGACCCTGTGCTTTTGGGGTTTTATGCATGCTCATCCAATAAAAACCAAGTGCTTCAATGAATCCCCTCCTCAAAACAAAATATTTTTCTTTACTTGTTACGATTGCAGAAGATTCAAAGATGAATTGTATCACTGCTAAGTGTAAAAGAAAAACCACGATGCGAAAACATTATTTATTATTCTAAATCTAGCCTACTCGTGTGATCATGTCCTAAATTTTAAAACATGCAATAGTTTTCCTCACAGTGGTGGTTTGACACTGAAAAAATCTTAATTCTTCTAATCACTGCTAGGAAAAATGTACGAAAATCAGGAATTATAACCTGTATTTTCTCTTTCTACTTTCATGAATGAACATAAGAGAAATAGTAAGTAACTAACTGAGCAGAACCGTAGTTGCCTATGGAATTACCAGTGTCCTTGCAATAATTGAAATGGGAAAAAACTTTATTGCCTTGCAGATAATTTTTTAGTTGTCTTGTTGCCAGTGCAAAGCCATAGGATAGAACTTGAGCACATTTGTTCCAGAATGACTACGATATGGGGAGGGAGGGAAATTAGAAAAAGAAAAAGTGTCCAGATGGCAGACCAAATCTGAAGAAGGAATAGTTGCACCGTTTGAAGTAAATGGTCACTATTCTTTCCTTTTGAGGGGGAGTTAGAACCATTTGTTTAAGTTTTGTTTTTTTCATTCTAAGCAATTTGCAGTCTTTTACTTTTGACATTAAATAACATTTCTAAAATCCATCTGCTGGTGTTAGATGACATGCTAGGCTTCTAGTGACTCTCACCATGCTGATCTAACATGGTTTCAATATTTAACTTGTTAGGTGAGTCTCCTTCTTCCTCTGCATCTGATGTTGATAACTTTAACCCAGCAACAGGGGACAAGGTTGCCGTAGCAAAGGGTGTTAGTTCTCCTCAAGTTACGGGGAATCATGTCATCCCTGCACGAAACCGTTCCAGCTATGCACGGCTACTCAACTTTGTAAGTATGTGTAGAAACTCACCTTCATCATTTAATGTGGTCATAAGTGAAGCTAGATGGAATGGAATATAGGCTTTTTTTTGGCTTAGATATATCTCCAAAGTGACCTCTACATCTGGAGCTTAACAAAATTCGGTTTACATCAAATTGGGCTTTAGACGGTCCAAATAACTGATATTGTTAACTATCTACATGCAAGAATGACAAATATTTGAACACGATAAATAGGGAAAAATTTTGAGACAGCTATGAGGTCGACATTCTACTGCAGAAATGGGATGCCATGAGTATGAAGAAAGGTTGGAATCTAGCCGTGACTTGTAAGACTCCTGTTAGTTTTACCAAAACTCATGATTGAATCCTCCCTTCATCAGGTTTTTTTATCCTTTTTAGTGTGTTGGAGTTGGGGGATAATGTATATGGCGGATGTTGCTAGCTAACATATTCACAATGCATTAGTTCAATCCAAATTTTTTTATTGCCATTTTGTTTTCTAGTTTTTGGTAGCATCTAACAGTGATTGTATGCAGACACAGGACGTCAATTTTGCCATGGAAGCCTCCAGGAAAGCACTAATTGCTTTTGCAGCTGCTAATTCTAGACTGGAAGATGCCCAATATAAGGAGGGCATCACAGCTGTTAAAAAGGCTCTTGATTTCAACTTCCTGGATGTGGAGGGATTACTACGTCTAGTACGGCTTGCAATGGAAGCAGTTAGCCACTGAACTGCTGGTCGTAATTGAAGTTATGCCAATTATGGGAAGAGATCTAATCTATGTTTTTCACCTCCAACTTCCACTCATTCAAGGAGGAAGTGAAAATTGGTGGTCTCTCGCACGCAGACATTATTCATCTGTCGGAGATGATTTTTACCACCTCACTACCCTTGTACATTTGTACAGTTGCATGAAATTTGCAGTACCCTAAACATATTCTTTGCTGTTGGCTTTTGCTGCTTCCTGACACGGATAAGGGTCCAGATATTCTACAGGAACTGATGATATTTGGTTGGGACTAAAAGGTTTTAGATAACATGTTGTATAAAATTGCGGTGTCATGGTCGATCAGATTTATAGCTGGAGAAATAAAATTTGTGGAGATTGCTGACAACCATTTGTAGATCATTTGAGAAGGTTCAATGCTTATACTCTTTTTCACCATTCTGGTGTTCTTTCAAAATGGATTCGGGTCCCCTGTTAATTTGTTATTTTAGCCTTATTCAGAGAAAACTAATGAGGGGAAGTTGCCAACAAACAATGAACTTGCCGAGCTCATATATTGACTTTTATGGTACAAGGAAAATGTAAAGAGGGTATTGAGATGGAAGTCTTAGGTAATTTGTTTCCGTTTCACCATTTATTAAGGAGAAATTTATTCTTTTAAACCCATCTTTCAGCTTCTGATTTTTTGATTTATTTTCTGGGCAGGGTTATTATACAGCTATTCTTCTTTGCAGATGAGACAGTTGGCTTTTCTGTTGTTGATAGAGGCACATAGAGTCGGAAGGAGAAAGTATATGGAAGGCAAAAGATGTGTGGTGGCATATAATTCCTATTGATAGTTGCCTAAGTTATCCCGTTGCAAGGTGCTAAAAATTTATGCTATGAAAATTTATGTTGCAATCTTTATTGTTCACACTTGAAGGTATATGCTGACCTCTTTATCTTCTTTTTGTTGCAGCGGCTATTTCTGTAAATAGAGAAATGACTAGTCAGGGTACATGTTGACAATTCATACAACACTGTATTAATTAACAGGTGTGATTGCTTGCTCACTAGTTTGCCAAACTAGTTAGAAGTTCTAAGCTTATTTTATGTGTTGATTGGTTTCATCTGATTCTCCATGAATTTCCATTTATTGTCCGAAAAACGTTATGTACAATTAGCATAACAGCTCACTGACAGGAACATTTTTTTTTTGGGGGGGCGCATAAATTCTACATTTAAAGTCTTCTTGTCGATTGCTAATTGATCTCCCGACTTATTGTTGGGATCTTGTCCTTTTACAAACTCTTGCCATGTTGACAGCATAGGATTCCATTTTGGGATGCAAATTCCTTCCAATACCTTTTTTCTCTATTTCCTTCCTTGGTAGATCAATTATCGTAAACTGAAATGGGGCCACTGGATCTAAGTGGTCTCTCACTAACAGGGTGACCTATAAAGGAGTGAATAGATCCCCATATATAGGGTATTTCTGACTAACACATGGTGGGTGGTCTATTAAGGAGAGAAATAGGGGGAAAATACATTAGAGGGACCAAACTCCTGCATTTTGCATTTCATAGAGATGGATACAAATGATTAACTACTGATCTTTCTGGAGAAAGTGGGTTCTTTATGTGACTTAGCCAGGATATGACCAATTGGTGCCCACTGAACTGGGTTTTTTTTTTTTTGGCAGGTAAGCTGGTGAGGCAAATGCAATAACAGCAGGAGCTTACGAGTAAATAACCCTGCAAGAATGATTCGTTCATTTCTTTTCCCGGTCCCGGTCCTGGTCCATTTTTTATTGTTTTGTTGCCTTGTAAAAGTATTGTACATCAGGCAAATCTGATCTGTGTATCTGATTCCTGCTTACCCCCCACATGTAATCAAGGCTCTTTGTTGCAATTTTAGCCACAATAATAAAAATCTAAATCTTGGTTATGCGTTTTTCTTTGAAAGTGCGAATAAGTTTTTGTCCCTTAGATAGATTTTGAATGATTTTGAGATTGGTTGGAAATTTGGTTCAAGTTGGCTGAACTATTATAGGTAATTAAGTGGACTTTTTAAAAAAAAAATTATTCATATTCATTTGTTCTACACCATGCTTTCAAACTAATTCTTCCGTCCAGATCCGTGTCTTCGACTTTCTTGAGCTACCACCGGAAGTTATGTTCAGTTGCGCTTGACTCACCGTCCGGACACAGTAGGTAGAGTCTTCCCTGTAAAATTAGACAAAAACTACAAAACGAAAAAAATATTCAAAACTCAATCATTTTAACATAATTAATGTATTGTCTAATGTAATTAGTCAATAATTAATATATAAAAAATACAATATCTAAGACTAATCACACTGTACACTAAATGGGCGAGTACTGTGTTGTGTATCAAGATCCGGTTTCCCACTGCAGACCATGGATCATTTTCGCCCTGGCTATGGCTATTAGGGAAGAAATCTATCAAATCTTGACAAGATGACCAACATAACTTGGATAAAAGTGACATGCTGAGGGAGTAAATCAAAGTTTTAAGTTACATTTCAAGGATAGTCAATAAGACAAGTTTATGTTTCATTCTCATAATCTTATGCACATGGAAGGTTTGTCATAATAAAGTATAAAAAATTTCAAATCTTTAAATTCATAAAATCAGTCGAACGTCTCAAATTGGCTGATAAATTGTATCATGTTATAGTTTTTTGTCTTAGTTGTTTAAGTTTTGAATTTAGTTACGCATCAATATCTATCTAATATTATCGATAGGAAGTTGAATTCTCCACTTATAAAAACACAACAACGTTCAAGATTGATTTAATTTTAATTTACTTTGATCTAATGATATAAAATTAATTCATCCCAAAAAATTTTGTTCAGCTCAAAAATATCATTTTCTTTGCATGGTCTCAAATATTAGACAATTCAATTAATACATCAACCCAATATCTAATGTTAAAGAATATCATCACTGCTACTTAATAACCAAACTTTTAGGCTCCATTGGACTTCTCATAAGAATTGAAACCAATAAAAAGCCCAGTTAAAATTTCAGCAAACAAAAAAATAATCTTAATTAAATGATTTGGGCTAAAAAATCCAGCCTAATGACACAATCAAATTTGATAAAAAAATAAAAAGACTGAAAAATTGCAAAAAATTGTATAGTACACATCACTTGTCCCTCTCTCTCTCTCTCTCTCTCTCTCTCATACACACATGTTCTCCTTCTAACTTTGTTTTTGTCCTCATCTAAAATTAAAATACTCAGTTAAACTATTTATTTTCATACACTTTCCCTTCCAATCCATTCTCTCTCTTTTATCAATTACGAATGTAGTATTTTTTTTTAAACCACGAAAGACATAAGATATTAATCCACCGATTCTCTCTATGAATTATGTTTTATTGTTTTAAAATTTTAAATTTTTTAGCTCATATTATTTTCTTATTATAGAAGTGTTTGGTTAATTTGTAAATATGACAATTAGTTAGCAAATATTTGTATAAGAAAAAATTTGAAGAAAGAAAACATTTTAAAAACTATTTGAATTTTTTTAAATGTTCTTAATATATTTGTCACTAGTAACAAACATAACACAACCGAAAATTTTAAAATAAAATTAGGTAAATGAACAAAAATAAATCTTATAAAATTAAAAAGATTAGGTAGATTAGTCAAAATCAATTAAAAAGATATGTATACATAACTTGATTGCAAAACTTGACTAATAATCAACATCTCACAAAATCGAGAAATTTTTTTTAACATTAAAAAAATTAAAAAAAAACTTCATTTAGAATCGCCACTATAGACCTCAAAGCATTTCGAGCCACTCCTGATAGGCTACTAGAGAGATTTTGAGAAGTGCAAGTCAAACAAGAAATGAATGAGACAAATAAATATGAATATTTGCTTGCTAAAAAGGGTATATTTAGCCATGATAATCTTTGTATATTTATAATTTTATGGATTGTAGGATTAACCCGTTATAGGTAAATAATACAGGTATGAGTTAGCCCATACGTAATGTTTAATATATATTATATGTCTAAATTATATAAAAAAAATTATGTTGTATCACCTTATAATATTGAACATTTTAACTATGACACTGTCTTGTAACATTCCCACAAAATTTTGACAATTTAAAATAAAATATTATCTTTTATTGTTTAGTGTCATCCTATGAACAATTTTATCTTGCCTGATCGATCGATTGTATGAACAAAGATTCAATAATGAGAGACATATAAACACAAAGGTGCAACAAGGCCAACCTTAGAGCCAGACCATTAAAATAGTTACCTAGTGTCCCAAAATTTAAAACGGTAATTAAATTTTGGGATTTTTGGAAGTCGGTAAAACACATCCGTTTTTGCACATGCTTCTTGAAAAAGATAAGGTCAAGGCTCCAGAAAGAGAAACCTTAAGCACTCGGACTCTATCTTATTTGAATTCATAGCGGAGGAAAGTCTACAATAGAAGAAAACCCGAAAAACATAAAGAAAGGAAATGAACAGTTAAGGAGTGAGAACTGAGATTACATCAGCTGCTGAGCAAACATTATCCAAGCAACAATTTCTTCGAGAACTCTTTTGAAACTGCTTTCGAACCTACAAATTCAAGATAATAACAAACAGCTTTGTTTTTGGCACAATGTAACCTGAAAGTCTCTAAACAGGCTTATTCAAGGATTACACAGAACCAACTCGCTGGATCATGACCAAGGGTCAGTTCATCCCAAACAACCAGGAAGTTTCTGACACTGGCTAATTGGGTGCTATGCCAAATTGCATTTGCCTATCTTCTCACTGACACACTTACCATGCGTAGTAAGAAACAACATTTTTCCATGGGTTGCTTTATATCTGAATGACAACTAAAACAGACTCTGGAGGGGAAAAACAACAAAAGACACCTACTCTTAAGCATTCCACATGGACTTTTCCATAGCTGAATCACCATGTGAAAGCTGCTGGTGGAAAGGATCCATTACTTGCATTCTCTGTTGACTCATTGCTTCCAAATCCAATCTTTGTTGTTGTTGCTGCTGTTGTTGTTCGTGTAAATTTGAGGGCCTTGCACCACCAATCCCCAAGAAATCAACAGTCAGCATATCATTTCCTCCTCCTCCATGTCCTCCAAACCTTGAGGGGACACCCGGACTCCGGCTCGTTGCAGTTCTTCCTTGCATCAGATTAGAACTGCCACTATCCTCATGTTCCATATTCTTCATGAATCCATGGTTTCGATCACCACCTGCCATCAACATTCCACTAAACAATCCCATATCATTCATAGCAGAGGTAGCTGTACCTGAGTCAAACAAATCCGAAACCTCTTGTGGACTCTTCTGCAAGAGCTGGGTAGTGAACCCTCCACTATTGATCCCTACTAAAGTTGATTGATCAGGTTGTGTTTGGAAGTTCTCGTAGGTGCTATTATGCTGCTGAATTGTAGCATAAGATGATGGTCTCGAGCCAGATATTTGATCAGGACCTGCCATGCCACTACCAAAGCCCTTTTGCATCATAGAAGTGTTGATATTGTTGCTTGCAGTTGCACCCATTTGGGCTGCTTTCTGCAACAAGGCAGTAGCAGACATGTGAGCCGACCCAGAAAGTTGGCCTCCATTTTTACCATCTTGGAGATAATTGAAGCACAAGGGGCTATTCGAGCTGAGCTGAAGGCCAGAAGATGATGAAGATACGTTTCTTGGGCCACCAAAGAGGGTACCTGAATTGCTTGAGAACATGCCCCCTGCCATGTTCATGGGCTTAAATGGTGTTGGACTGAGTTCTTGCGGTGACTTGAGTGGGTTTTTGAGATCATAGTTGTTGAATTCGGACATGCCCATCGATGAGTTGCAGTTTATGGGCATTGATGACAGGAGCTCAGGCATTTGGCCCTGTAAGTTTGATCCCATGCTGTTCATTAATCCTTGGTTTACTTTGTTGTTTTCCTCAGCTAGTGCATCACAGAAAGCTCTGTGGGTGATAAAGCTGTCTCTTCTGGTCAAAAAATGAAGCATTGGGATGGGTTAAATGATGATGCAACCCACCAAATTTTTTGATTAAGGTAAAAACAAACCTGGAGAAGATGGTTCCACAATCACATTTGTATTCCCTGGTGCCACAAGTCTTTTGATGAGCCTTCCAGTCAGATTGCACAGCATATTTCTTAGAGCACTTGTCACATTTCCATTTCTTCTCTCCATGTTTCCTGCTATAATGCTTCTTGATTCCGGTAAGATCTCCTAATGCTCGAGCCGGGTTGTGGTGGACACATGTTGGCTCAGGGCATATGTAGACACGCTTTCTCACCTCAGTGCTTGTTCTTTGCTTGAGCTTCCAAGGAAGGTTATGACCTCTCCGGTGCAACTGCAGGTTTTGGTCCCTTTGGAATCCCTTACTGCAAATTTCACACACAAATCTGTTTGTTGCCATCAGTGTTGTTGGCGATAGAGCAATAACATCCGCACTTGGATCTATACAAAAATAAAAAATAGAATAATTAACCTTGCTAATTCGCCTAATCTATATTGGCAGGAAATCATAAAAAACACTACAAGAATATTGATTAACAGATCAATAAAAGAGCAAGAATCATGGTTGATGTGATAATATGGCTAACAAGATTCCATAAATAGTCAATCAATTCTCCCCTAGTCCACAACAGTTGGAAAACAAAAATGAAGAAAGAAGAAAGTGCAATCAAGCACAGTTCCAAGCAGTTACTGTAATCTCATACAATAATAGAACCCTTATAAAACAATTAGTCACAAACACACATTAAAACATCTTCTCATAAGCTAGTTAACTGAAGAAAACATTAGTAGACATGTTAATATTACCTTCCAAAAAAAAAAGACATGTTAATATTGGGTCAGATTAATTTGAAAATAATTCCCGTGGAATTAATTTTAGCATCCATGTGCCAAATAAGCTTGTAATCCTTCAAAATCAAATTGGACCTAAAATCCTCTTCAATTTAGCTATTTCATGGTCAACAAGGCATTGCCATGTTGCGAGACAGAAACAAACGGTTGAAAACACTGGATTTGTGCATCATTCTGCCAAGAACACATTTAAATCTGTACCCTTCTTAATAACTGCTTCAGAAAACTATGATCTTGGTTCCCTAAAGGTTACGGAAATCATATAATTACTATTAAGCGCAGATAATAATAGTTAAAAAGATGATAGATATGGGGAAAATGACAACACAATTGAGGTTCATGGGGGTTGCTGAAATTGCCTGGAGTTCCAGGTAGATTTCTTTTCTTCTTAGCTGGCTGCTGTTGTTGCTGGGAGCTTGAGCCATTGCTATTAGTCGTGGTACTGGGAGGTACTGAACTGGAGCCATGGAGGTGGTTTTGTAGCTGATGTTGCTGCTTTCCTTGAAGCTGCTGGACTTCTTCCCCTGTATGTCCTGAAGAGAAGCTCCCTTCGTCCCCTGAAATATTTGACATCAGAAAAAGACTGTTTTGGGCCAGTTATAAAAATTGTTTTTCTGTCTTTTCTCTGCTTTTCAAACTTCTATTGTTTCTTTCTTCTTTCTCGTTGGTGGTGCAATCTAAAAGGGGTTTGTTGTTTGGTGAACACAAAATCAGGAATCTGCTCTCACTGGAGGAAGACAAATGCCAGGTATTTTCCTCTACTTCTGATGAATAGAGAACTCTTGCTGGCATAAGAAGAACACATTAACTTGGTTTTCTTTGGCTTATATAATATATGAAATGAGACAACTGATAGGGAAATGCCCCAACTTTTGTAATATAATTAGATATTTAGACTTAACTACCCCCCCATGAAAAAAAAAAAAAAAATCCCACACCAAAGAAAATAAAAAAAAACCCTCCAAGAAAGGGGAAAAGTAAAAGAAAAATTTTCAGGTTGAGTTGTACTCCTCTAACATTAACATACTGGCTTTAGGAATTAATCACAGATAGCAACCACAGTGATAGAATGTGCTAAGTGTTATATGTAAACACTTCTCAGAGAAAAATAAATTCGTTCTTTTTCTCCTTGGGATCCACAAGAATTGTTTGCAATAGGAAACATAAATTTTTAAGTACAAGTAACCAATCATTTGCCTAAATTTAAAATCATTACTTTGTCTTCATTGCTTTTTAACACACCCTTCTGTCTATTTGCATCCATATGTTTATTAAATACATTAGTAGGAAAATCAGTCTTCTACAAATCAAAAAATGATCATTATACCAGTAGATGTGGCTGTTATAACTTGAGCAAAGCCGAACTCTGTCTTATTTGATATCCTAACAAGAGAAGGAACCAAATGAGCCGTCATTTTGGTATCAACCATTTTAATTTTGAAATGACATAAAAGAGGTTGCTATATTGTTACAAGGTTCAGTAATATACTAGCCGCCCATGTTGCTGTAATTTGAAGTGCAAAAGAAACAAGCACAAAAGAACATAAAGTTATAAATATAAGAAAATAACAAGAAGAAACACATTCCGGAATCTTGATGCCTCTACCTAGTCAGTCTCATGGATGGTAGGTGATGGATCAATGCCACTTTTTAACATGCCATTGTCATACACAGGAACAAACTGAACAATCAAAGAAGAAATTCTGATAACAGTCTGTCTAAAAAGGTGTAAAACTGCAAGAAGTAATTAACATTAAGATTATGCTGATTTTTGGCATTAATATTTTTGAGCTGGGTTGATGGAAATGAAACATTGTGAAGGTCTTGTTTGCACGGGGGTTTGTGTCTTCCATAGGATTACGTTTCTTCGAGTAAAAGAAAAATTGGGTCCTTTTCTTTGTCATATCCTCATTGTTTTTCTCTGGTGTTGAACAGTGCAGCCGTACTTGTTTTCCTCCAAGTGTGACAATTTGCTGAGTCCTGTGCTTTTCTATGTCTGTTCCTCTTGAATTCTCCTTTTCCCTGCCCATGTACTGTCCAGATATTCCTAAACATAAAGCTACTCATCAGTACAACTTAATAATCTGGTCTATTTATTACCATTTCTGTTTTTTCTTTTTGTATTATGTCCATCTTGCCGCAAACAAAAAATACCTAGAAAATTTCTACTGTTATCAATGATTTTAGGTTGAGTAATGCGAATTCTGCGGCCACCCCTTATGGAAGACATATGTATATACCGAGTAGGTATTGGATTCAAGTCTTAGTTGGCATTCGGGTTTGTGTTAAGGCCTAATGAAGAAAGATTCAAGAGCATGCAACATACCGTAAAAAAAATGACCTTTATGCAAGGATCAAACTTTTGTTTCGAAACGTCCGAAACGTTTCTGTTTTCAAGGAGTCAAAAACGAATCAATGATGAAATTAAAATTATAATACTTCGAGGTGTTTCATAATGTTTTGAGTTATTTTGTAATGTTTTAATACATTTGCACAATTATTCCAGAATGTTTCAAGATATTTTGATATATTTTGACTAATGTTTTAGAAAAAAAATTTAATTTTTTTTATTTTTTTCATTATGGTTCTAAAACGGATTGAAATATTTCCGAAACATGTCGAACCATTTCCGTTTCTTAGGTGACCGAAACAATGCATTAATACGAAATTTTAATCCTTGTCATTATGTTTCATTTATATCATAAGATACCAATTCCATCAAATGGAGGATTCAGTAGAGAGCTTAGTCCATATGTAAAACTTGGAAATTTTCGGACTTAAACTTTTGCAACAGTTGAAGAAACAAATTATGGATCTGTAGTGAGACCTTTGGTCGCATTATGATTAAGCTTTGTCTCTCCTGATTGCCACTGTTACGGTTCGTATCTCAGCTTCCACAAAGCTACTATATCAGAAACAAGTAGTCCGGCTAAAAATCAGAAACAACGAGGAGACAGAAATTAGAATGTCAAACACAGGCTAAATTCTAAAATTCCAGTCAACATTACTATGATACATATAAAAACCCAGGTATATACAAATCATAAGCTACTATATATGACAAAACAATGACCTGGCTTTTATCGATTAGCATCGATGTATTTGATGCAGAAATATTAGCACAAGAAGGTAATGACAGATATATTTTAATAACATAATTCTCTCATATTTTTCGTCACTATATTATGATAAAACCTAATTAGAGATAATCTGAGAAGCATTTGGATGGTGGTATATTGCAAGCACTTAAAAGGTAAGGTCGAGACAATGACTAATTGACATTAACAAAGGAACCCTGTGGATTAAACCAAGCAAAAAGACTGTCAGACCTTATATTCCTTGCCATAAACATAATATATAATTATGTCTCATGAAAATGATGTTTAATTAGAATATAATAAATGGTTTATATATCTTATTCATTGATAGAGGTGTGTTTGGGTGAAAAACCTTTTAAACAGTAAGAGAAAGAGATATTCACATTATATAGTTGTGCGTCAGGCAAGAACTTTGTCCATTTGACAACGGTTGGTTCATATTCTTCCAAATCATTCATTTTATAATAGCCAACGGCCCCATGATTCTCAAAATATGATGTAAATGGTGTATAAATCTTTTCATCGGTATCAAAATTGAGAGAAATAAGGGATAATAAGTCTTACCCTTATCTTAGAGAGGCGGATTTCCAAACTGGGCCCCATGATTCCCGTTGGTTCCAATTATACAGATTCATTCTGATAGCAACCCCTTTAAGTTTTGTTTCACAAATCTGCATTAGCAATCGATATTTAGGCCTTTATTAAAAGTTTAATACCAGATCAGACAATTTGTCAAGTAGTCTTGCTGACAATGAAATCTTCTGAGCTCTATTTATTTATATGATAACCTGAATTGGCTTGTCAAGTTTAAAAACAGTGATTTCGAATGACTACCTGATTTCATAACATAAACCTTTAAAATTCCTGTTCCCTTTTTTCCCTTTGTCTTCCAAGAGATTTTTCACTTGAATCACAAAACAAAAATCAGTGGTTGGTTTGAGACAAATCCAATACTTTTTCACTCAAATAAAGATGATCACCAAAAAGAGGCTTAATTCAAAAAGATATGTCATAATTATTTCAATTCTAAGTCACTAATCATTGTTACCATCAATATTGTCACTGGGTTTCATAAGATGGACCATACAATAATACATATTGTAATCTTTCCTCATTTAAACTCGTGATTATGAAATAAACTAAGGATGCTCGCAATCAGACATAAATTATTCACATTGGATAAATCAAACTCCTCCGAAATATCTAACCTTAAAATCTTCCCATCCGAACAAGTTAAAAAAAAGAAGTAATTTTCAGGAGCAGTAATTAAAAAAGCAAAGATTGCAGATAATCCAAATAATACATAAATAAGGACTCACAGAAGGTGCCATAGCAGCAACATCGGTCACCATCTCCATAGAACTTCTCTCCTCTACAAATTTTTTTATCTCCAAGGTCTAGTTCAGATGGATTGTGCTTCAACAAGAGGGGGATACAACCCGATCCTCATGTTTTTCGTAGTTATGGCGCCAAGTGACATTAATGAAGAAGCTAATAAGTATGCTTGACTCAAAAGGCGTATGCCTCCTGGCATATGCCCTGAACCTGTTAAAACTCATCTTCAAACCCTAATTCACATTCAATTTCTTCACAGATTTTATGGTTTTTTCTGGTTTAAAAAAAAAACAAAAAATTTCCAAGTTTCTCAATTTTTTTATTTTTTATTTGGATTCCTCAAGTCTCTCAAATTTGGTTGCCGCCTTTTTTACACTTGAAAATTTTAGGTTAAAACTAAACTTTCTGGAGTAAATTACACATATATGTTAATTAAGTTTCTAAACTTTTATTAATGTTAATTGAGACCCTAAACTCCTTAATTGTGTCAATTGAGCCCTTTTTCTACCTCCACCGTTAGAGTGTACCACTCACGTGACTATATGGCACAAAAAGATAAAAGGGTTATTTTCACACAATTAAAAAATTTAAGGGTTCAATTGATATATAAAAAAAACTAGGAGCTTAATTGATACAAAAGTTATAATTTGAAGGTTATATGTATAATTTATTCTAACCATTTGTATCTGACATTTTTTGTCACTCCTCGTTTGTAAATTTAACAAAATCAGGCAGAATGGCTCAATTGATACAAATAGAAAGTTTAAGAGCTCAATTGATATAAAAAAAAATTAAGGATTTAATTGACCCAAAAATCATATTTTGAAAGTGATATGTATCATTTACTCAACTTTCTGTCTCACTGCATAAACACCTCACTTCTTATTTGTCTTTTCATAAGATTATTAATAATTTAAAAAATATGATATTAAGATAACAAAAATTAGAATTTCACGATAGAAGCAAAATTAATTCATATGGATGAGAATAGAAATCTTGACCCCCAAAAAATATCTAATTTATTAACCTAATTCACTATAATTTTTAGGTTAATTGTGTGCTCTATCAAACAATGTGAATTGAAGTTAATCTAATGGTTATAATGAAATTATATCGTTAAATGAGTAAATTAAGTTAGATTTTTAAATTCCAATATCACTCTAAAAAATAATAATTTGAGAATAGAAACCATTGTGTAGCGGTAATTCAAATCATAGTTACTTATTGGGAAAAAATTCAAATTAAGATTGACAATTCTGAAAAAAAAAACCAATTGACTTAATTTTGTTTTTTTTTATTAGAGTAAACTATACATATAGAGCCTTCAAATTATGATTTTTATGTCAATTAAACGTCTTAACTTTTTTTATGTCAACCGAGTAATTTTGGCTATCTTTGTTAGAGAGTATCACTCATGTGATCATATTGCACAAAAAGATAAAAGGACTAATTAACACAATTAGAGAGTTTAGGATTTCAATTGATACAAAAAAAAAAGTTAAAAGTTTAATTGACATAAGGGTTATAATTTGAGGGTCATATATGTAATTTATTTCAACTCATTTATATTGTGACACACTTCACCATTTTCCGTTAAAAACTCTAACATATACAAATAAAAAGGCTTAATTGATACAATTAAAGAGTTTAGTGGTTCAATTGACATATAAAAAAAAGTTCAACAGCTTAATTAACACAAAAGTCATAATTTAAAAACCATATGAATTTTTGGGGGAACATTGAAAAGTTAGTTTACTCTTTTTACTGATACCCACTTGGCTCAATTCTTGTGGAACAAAATAGGCGGCCCCCCATCCAAAAACAAATAAAAAAACATAAAATAGTCGGCCCCAACCCCAAACAATTTTTTTTTAAAAGGGGCCTTTTGGCTAAAATCAATGGTCGTATTTATTTTGAGAGAAAAATTCACTGTAAAATAATGGTAAGGATTATTTCCACTTCAAAAGTATCTATTTCTATCTTATTACTTAAAATCCGTCTCCTTCTATTTACGATCATAATAACTATTTTTACCCCATATCTTCTTTCCATATACTTTCTCTTTCTAATCCATCTCATTCACCAAAAGACACCTATTAGAACCTGATATTCATCCATGATTTGTTGGTTACACTTACGTCTTGGGAGTTCTTTTCTTGATTAAAGTGTCAATTATTCAAATGCTGACTAATTTACGTACCAAATCTAAATAGGGTTTTCGGCCATAAATTGGCACCATGACATTATGATATTCACTAATCTGGAAAATTCAAATTCAAATTCAAAAGAATCAAAACCATAGCTTATTTACATTTTATGTCACTGCATGCTTGCTCCGATCTGCATATTATACTACTAGCCTTGTCCCTACGGGATTCACAATTTTTTTTTTCTAACATTTCACTCTTTTTGTGATATTCACCTTTACTAATTATTAGAATAGTTTAAAATTCACGAAAAGTTGTAGGAGATAAAAATTGTCTTTTAAAAAAATATATAAATGAAAGGTAGTTATTTGGTGAGAGAGTAGAAGAGTGATTATAGGTGTAAAGTGTTGAATGGCGATTGGAGGAAGCCCTGGTTTAATAATAATAAAAAAAAAATCAAAATTGTGCAAAATATGGAAAAAATATAGTATAGGTAGTATAGATTAGGGTTATTGTAGGGGAAGATACATGGCTTCATATCACGATGAACTTGAAGAAATTAGTGGGGAATCAATTCACTTGTTAGGCATCCACTTGTGCTTATGAGATTTTTTATTTTATGTTTTTATAGGATGGATAAGTTTGCGTCGACTACTCTCTTGAATTTTAAGTTGTTCACCGTAACTCTAACTAGTTTAAAAACATATCCCTTACGGAACAAGAGGGGCTGATCCTTATGGGATGCAAGAAGTATCGAACCTAAAAACTTTTTACTTGTAAAGATGCAGACTTGACCACTAGATCATCCCTAAGGATTGTTTTTTTTGTCTTGTGATAGATGAGATAGGAAAAAAAGCCCTTAAAGGTAGGCTTGTCAACAGATCAAATATGGATTAGATTGACCTATATTTGAATCTGAATCTAATAATTTTTTTTGTCCATCTGAACTAATCCAATTATTCGACGGATTTGAAAAATTCAATTCATATTTGAATCTGTTAATTTTCGAATATTTGATCTGAAAATTCAATAAGATTTGATTATCACAAAAAACACATACATACCAAAAAATTAACAATAAAATTTTGAATAATGAACTAAAAAAATGAGAGAAAATGAAAAATTGAAATAAAAGAAAAAGAGAAAAACAAAAAAATGAAAAATGAAAAAAGTGGGTCATACATTATAATATTTACTCTATTTTTTTCTTATTTTTTAAGTATATGTATAATATATGTGTAATACTTTTACATAATATATTTTTATTCGGATCGAATTATTATAAATTCGTACTTAAATCTGTTTAGACAACTCTAATTGAATTCAGATCAAATTATATCGAATTAATGAATTAAAAATTTAATTCCTATCCACTTAAACGAATTCGAATTGGAGTTGGAGTTGAAATTTTTATGATTGAGATGTACAGGAAGGTAGATATAAACGAGGTGAGGAATAGAATGGGATGGAACTATTAATTTATTGTTAGATAACTTAATGGGGCCAGGATGAGTATTTTTAGGGTTGGAATTGTCCCAACCTAATATAATAGCCCGTGGCCTTCTTTTGTCGGCTGTCGCTGTGAGGTGCAGTACAACATGCGTCCTGGTACACACCCTACCAAATAGGGTCCTAATGTTTATTGGGCTTTTGGTGAATATTTCTGACGAGGCCCAACATGGGTGGCCGTCGCCAAAAGGAGATCGGCCAGCCCGACTCCAGGTTAGGATCTGCTTGCTTACAGTCAGTCCATGGGCCAATATTTCGCTATTATTTTTGGAAAATTAATATTAATTGCATAATTTTTTTCATAAAGAAAATGATAAACCGACTAAAATGGAGATCAAATCTATAACCCAAATGATGTAATAAAATCCAATCAACCAATCAGGTACTGTTGGGCCATCTAATCGGTTGAGGTTGAAGAGCTTCCACATCATGGGCCACGAGTTTCGTCTAAAATTTTAGTCAAACTAGCCTTGTCATTGTTGTATTGGACATAAATAGGTACGTCGAGTCGTTCACTGCCAATTAATTTGTGGAGGCCCTATATACGAGTTAAAAAATGGCCCAACTTCAATATTTTTGGACTGGGCTAGCCACCCATAAGTGCCCATCTTAGCGAGGCAGTCTAAGTTACGAGAATGAGTATTATAAGATAGACTTAAAAAATTTAATTGAAAAACCTAACTTGGTCAATCACTGTCATTGATTTAACTATGAATCCCAATAAATTCTAAGATTCACTACCTATTCAATGACAATGATTAATCAAATAAAGTTTTCAATTCAGTTTTTTAAATTTGTCTTAGTGGACTCGTCACTGTTCATACTGATCATACAGTGCAAGTTTACAATGACTTCTTAGTTTTTTTAGTAGGCTTTGAGAGCCAAAAAACTGAGAATGCTACCGCACGTAAATTACAAAAAAAACTGGAAAAAAAAATAGCGTTTCCATTACTGTTAGTGTATAGTCTTTCTCACAAACAGAAAATTGAATTTACAACGTTTTTCTGCCCTCTGATTTTAGGTTAGCTATGAAGTACCTTGAGTTGAATGCTACACCCAGATAAGGTAGAGCATTGCAATTGTTCAAAACCTCTCACTGGTTTCATTACTCAGTCTTGCACTCCAAGTCTGCCTCTTATCATTACTGCAGCCAACTGATAACAAGATAAGATTTTACTGCTCTTAATTAGCTTATGGAACGATAAACTGGTGTGAGATCTGAGACCAGTTAAAAAAAAAATCTGAGATTGGAGAAAAGAGAGATGAACAATATTACAGAATCAAAAGTTTACATGCAGCATTTGGCAAATCTGAGCGACCTTAGAACTCCAGGATACAGAGGTACGAGCCTAAAGAACAGATCCTGTTCAAGTAAGGTCGTAATCCTGAGCAACTGACAAGTCCATTTTTAGTCAGATCACTTCAGAGATTCACCTAGCATGTTGGTGTCACCAGTATAGCTTCCATTCACCCCTTTATTCATCATGTGGCTTGCAGTATCAGTACCTACACTGTCATTCAAGTTTGCTCTAATGGCAGTCTTCCCGCGCACCTGCCTAGAAGATCTTGACATTGAATTACTTTCAGATGTAGCTTCCAAATGCTTTCTCTTCTTCTTCTTCTTTGTGTCAAAAAACCCTAATTCAAGAGCTTCCAATGCTCTTGTGGTCAATGGTCGGTTTCTTGTACTCTGCCGCCGACCATTCATGGCAGACTGCTGTTCTATACTAGCCCCAACATTTGCAGGATTAGACGATTCATACTGCTGACTTGTTTCAGACACATAGGATGGCTTCTTGGCAGATGAATTGTCATCGTTATGAACCATGTCCACAACTGATTGTTCATCATTTCCAGAATCCGGAGCAACATGAGGTAAGTTTAAGTCTATCAATGTCTGGGCCTGAGGCTTCTTAGGATATGTTTTTGAACCCTGATAGTTCCCAAACTGTATTCCTTTACTGCTGTCCACTGGGCAGCCTACCAAAGAACTGGTGGGCAATAGGTCTTGAGATGATCCTAACTGCAGAGCCATGTTCTCACAGGTATCGAGTGTGTTTGACCAGCCACAGGATTCCTCTCCATTTAGCTTGGTGTCTCTGGAGATATTTTCAACACCATGGCTTGACTGTTCATGGCTGCAAGCAGTTAAGTGGTGTTGTTTCATGATTGGGCCTAAACCATTTGACTGGTGAGATTTCACCTTGCGCCTGAAGTGAAACTTCACTATCAGCCTCGATTTCCTGTCATTAGAGACGCTAGTGCTCTGATCCTCATGATTTTCTACTGCTATAATCATGGGATCTGAAACACAAGGCAAATGAGTGTTGGTACCAGTTACACATTCTGGTGAGTCAGCAGATGCTCCATTCTCTGCAACATCTTTGACAGGGTGTAAACTCATATTTTCTACTGCTTCATCACGAGATTCTACTGATGTATCTTCTTCAGTTTCACTAGAAAGACCAGATGGAATGGATCCAATTAGGGGGTCAGCAGGTAAACTTCTCAGCTCCCTCACTTTAGCCTGTTTCTCTCTGCAATGCAAACTGGTATCCACAATTGTAAACTGCATTGAATCTTGATTGCAATTTGAATTTCTTGGCCGGAGGTAACGATGGTGGTGATCAGACAAAATTTCTGGGTCCTGTTTTGTCTGCGGGTCTACCATATATTCTTCCCTCTGTGCACTACCATTCGCTGCTTCAATTTCAAGTTCAAGAAGCCCAGGTTCTGATGCAACTTTGTTCAAGACATCACTAACTGAATCAAAGTAATGATTTCCTTTCACAAGTCTCCTCCTTGAGAACTTCTTAACACCAGGTATAAGAAAGACTAAAGAATGCTTTGAACCAGCACAACCATGGTCCTTCGGCTGCTCGGAGTGCCATCCTCTAGCTAAAAGACGGGGCCAAACAGCTTCCCAGAAGAGATCACCACATCGAGCTTTGCTTAGCCGAAAATCTCCTGTTAAAAACTTGATAATTTCACCTGAAGTAAGAGAGGAGCATGCTTTGCCAGTAGGTATTTCCGGATGAACACGACGGGAATGATTGGTCTTTACGAGCTCCATAGTAGTGCCAGTGAGATCTTGCTTCCCTTTACCAATGGCTATTGCTTCTGCCAGCATCCTGACGCCTACCATATCCTTTAAAGTGAACACATACTCATCCAATGTTAGCTTTCCCTCCCCAAATATCCTAGAGACCTGCAGTAGATCACAGTTCAACAATCCATACACAGTCAGCAGGTGGCATTCCATTCTCAAAACGATTAAACATGATTATATCTCTCACAGCCCAAAGGCAGCCATGTTGTCCCATTGACAATGTGAGCCAATGAATGGTGGCAATGCTTCCCCTCTAACATCACCCCCTCCACCCTAAAAAAGAACACCCAAAAAGGAGGCATTTTGACAACCAGATACATAAAAAAGCACGCTGGTGAGATTGAAAAGCAAAGCAAGATGCCAGTGTGGTTAAATGTGATATTGATGCTTAATATGGAGTTCAGAACTCTAAGAAACACCAAAAACCAGTACGCGTCATCAACCCACGAATGTAAAACCACAGATACACATCCACAAAGTTTACGTAACCAAATGACATTTTTCTCCCCATGGCTGATTTAGAGGAAGCTCAAAACTCATATACCAAGGTACAACAAAGGGCACCCCCCCCCCACCCAAAAAAAAAAAGAAAAAATTGAAATCTGGACTGTGTTTGAATCTCACAAAAGTTTTTCAGATCTGCATACCAATTGCTGCTACAGGATATCTGTGCTTGAATAAAACCCAACAACAGCAAACAATCATTTTACTCGTTGAAAATCGCAAGAAGCAACTAAACATATTTTACCGAAGAAAAATCAGAGACCCACGACAGGTTTTGGTTCCAGGGATGCCCTGGTTTTTTTTTTTGGTCAAAAGGGATGCTCTGGTTTAATGTGCACATAAGAACAGCTCTTCCATGAAGCACTTAAGCCTCATAAGATCAGGTGCCACTTCAACTAGGAATCAAAGTTCACTTTATTACAGATAAGCAGCTAATTGTTGCAGTTTTTTCTTGGTATGAATAAACTGAGGTACAAAGTGAAAAGAAATAAGAAAGTACACTAAATTACCAATCATATTGTGTTCATGACAGCATAGGTCATAACTCCGGTCTCCACAGAGTTTGAGAAAAACTCCTACCACTACTCCAACCAGTGTTGGTTAAATACTGTAGGAACACTTCCATTTTGATTGGAGGTAAAAATAGTCTTTTCGTCTATTTTCTCCCTTGTTCCCTGTCAGTAGTCATTTGAAGAAAATATGTACCAAAAACAATTTTGACTATTGTGCCTTTAGTTGATAGATGGGAAGAAATATATGTTTGATTCAGAATCCTCGATCTATCAAGCCACAATCATAAATTTTGGTTACTCTTATTGGAATTGTGGTGATGACTATGTTACACTGTTCAATCCAAAGTCATAAAAACTTCTTTGGACTGCATTTGAGCCCTGATGAGCTACTTTATGAACAGTCAATGACATAAGCTAAAGTTTGAGAACCATAATATCCCCATAAGGTCCAGTCTTTAAATGACATTCCAGTCAACAAAACTCTCCACAAAGTTAGTGACACATAACGAATATAAGAAGGAATGCACTTTTTCATTCCATATTACATCAAGATCTTCCAAACTCCAACATGATTCTCTCTTCCAGATTCAACACATAATTCCATATCGACTCATGAAAACTACCTGCTTCCTATCTAATGTCTCCAACACCTGAAAAACTGGAATAACAGCACAGAGAAGACCTTTGTAATCAGCATGAGGTGATACTGATCATGTAGGTAAAAGGCTATTACAAGAGTTACGACCAAAACACCCTAGCCTGATGATGTGACTAATATCTTTAAAGATCATTAGAGAAAAACACAGATGAGATATTGAATGTCACAATATTGAAAACAAAAGAAAAAGAATAATTGACAATAAATTAAGCTTCTTATAAGAAGAGTTCTTCGCATATGCAAGGCAATTCTCTGGCTAGTGAGACGAAAATTTCGAACTCCCATCATTACTAAAAGTTCCAGAGCTTTTTCCAGAGAAATCAATGTATCGAAGGTTAGACTAATTCCATTAGTAATATTTTATGTTTCTGCATTTATGGAACAGTCTTATCTACTTTTATAAAAAAAAAAAAAAAGGAATCACAGTGCACTTGTGTAAAAATAAATCATGATGCTCAATAAAGCAAACAAAGAAAGTTCAAGCAAAGTCATCCATCTATTTATGTCTAGAAAGCTACATGAAACAGTGGTAGATCAAGGACAAATTCACAAATAATTCAATAATAAATCAATATCATAGAAAATTACATGCAAGGGTGTATGAGTCAGAGTGTACATGTAGTGAGCATAATAGTATAAATACACTAAATTTAAAAGTTACGATCACTAATGGAAAACAGCAATCCAATATGTACCTCCATCAACCTATCTTTGCATTCCTCTGACACATGGGAAAATAATCGAGATAATAGTTCTTGATGCCTCCAACCCATGAAAATTTTTTGACCATGTATACATCGTTTGCTTCTCATCTTCCAGCACTCTGACCATCTGTGGTATTTACTAGATCTATAAAACTTTCCATAGTAGTAAGATAGTACATCTCCTATCTCCTTCTCAACAAATCTCTTCACAAGAAGAAGATTCTTCCCAAAGATATAAAGACCAAGGAGAAAACTATCATATTCAATGTCTCTCCAAGCTTGACCCAATGCACCAGGAACAGGATGGTAACCATTGTTCCCATGATACAACTCAGTTTTCTTCCCTTGTGATAAAGCCAAGTCAACATCCATCCTCTCACCTGCCACCATCGGTTGAAAACTTAATAGTCCTCCCACTGTTTCCTCATACTCAAATGTAGTTCCCCAAAGTCCGGATTTAAGTTCTACATCTTCATCATTTGAAGCAATCTGGCTTTCTTCACTGTTTTCAGCTTCTACTGGCCCATTTCTGCCAATTGCAACATTTTGATCACCAAACCCTGGCAAGACATTGTCTCCGACGATTCCAGCATCATCATGTATCCACATGATTGGAATGGGTAACCCCATATTCAAACAGTTTGAAACATTAATTGTGACTTCTGTATCCTCTGATTCCCTCATAAGCTGAAAGTGATCATATTCCATCATTGGGGGTGGAATTTCGGCCTGGAATTGATCTCCAACTCGAGGGAGCACTTCAGGATCTCCAAATATACCACCCATGTCAGAAGAACACAAGGACAAAAAGGACTCAGCAGATTCATTGACGATGCCTTCTATATTTTTGTCCATTTGATTTAATATATCTGTAAATAGAGATGTTTGGGCTCAGAAATTAATATATGTATGAAGCTAAAACCATGAACACAAATTACAGTAAATCATTGCCTCCGGAACACTTGGCATCTTAGAACCATATCCTTCCAACATCTAACTTCATACAATGAAGTGAAAAAAAAAATGACGGAATATTTTACTTTGAAAATTCCAAGTCTAAACTGATTTAGGAATAGAAAGGAACACAGAGGGAATGCCTCGAGACTTGAGAGTCACATTGGGGCTGCAGACACTAGACCTGAATCCTGGCAGTTGTGATTATGTGGGTTTTTCTTTCTGACAACATCATTGTGAATATGCAGTAACCCTTTAAATGGATAAATTAAGTTTTTTCCTCTGTGATCTGCATTGGTTTGGTTACATGTGGGAAACCGAACAGAGGGGATATACAGTGATCTGTAATTCCCAAGTGAAGATTGGATAAACAAGATTATTAGAATAACTCAGGAATCTAGTGTCAGCAGTTACATAATGTGGTCTCAAAATCACATAATTTCCAATGCTGCAATTCACAAGTCCAGAAACCCTAATAAATGTTAGAGATGAAGTTTCTAATTAAAAATGTCCATCTACTAACTAAAGCTATAAAACAAGCAAACAACAGAAGCAAAGGTAGTATCAAACATGAATAACTCAAGAATCTAGTGTCAGCAGTTACATAATGTGATCTTAAAATCACATAATTTCCAATGCTGCCAATTCACAAGTCCAGAAACCCTAATAAATGTTGGAGATGAAGTTTCTAATTAAAAATGTCCATCTACTAACTAAAGCTATAAAACGGGCAAACAACAGAAGCAAATGTAAAATCAAACATAATTTTTCCCCATCATCTGCTCAAATATTCTTCTATTCCGCCCAAAAGTAGATAAACACTACTCTCCCAAATATATTTATATGAAGGGAAGTGTAGATAAACACTACTTATTCAGAACAAAAGAAGATTCTAATAATCTCACCCAGTAAATAACTCAACAGTGTTCAATCAAAAAAAAAGGGGTGACACTACCAAGCTTACACAGGCACTCGTGCAAGCAAAATCATTAAATTCTAGTGATCTCCATCAACAAAAAATGTACCCAGATCCATGCCTGAACCGAAACAGAGATATACACTACCATCCCGGATTTCCAAATCTCATATGAACATCAAGAAAATAAAAAAGAACATGTCAGTGGGGAAAACCAACTGGAGCACAACTCATACACGCTAAACATCACATAATCTCTACAAAATTAATAGCATTTAAGAACAACAAAACATCCAAGCAATATCTATCCATTTGGTTGCTATAATTCTCATTTAATTCATATGATTCGTCCCTTTTAAGACACCAAATAAAAGTTTAAACAACAAGAGAAGCACAGCAGATATTTACTAACAAAGCAAAAGGTGCACAGAATAATGAGGAAAAATATAATCTGCTCACCTCTTTGTATGAACTTGAACGTCAAAACCTACGTGTAAACATCAAGTTGAACGAATGGGTCTTCATGTTTATGCATCGATTGAACTTTATTATCAGCCTCACTTGTAAAAAAAAAAAGATTATACGAGTGTGAATATGTGAAAGCGGAAACACAGATATAGCAAGGAGAAAATACGAACAAATATAAAGGAACATGTTGGAGAGAGATGATAAAGAAAATTTACCTTATATCATGGGTGCGAAGGAAGAGTTCGGAGGAGGACTAGCGGGGGAGAGAGAGAGAGAGAGAGGGACCAAAGACGTTCTCACGCTGTTTTGAGAGAGCAAGACAATTTACGCTTGTTCGGTTTAATTATGTGTGTGAGACCTCGCGTTCGTAGCTGGGTTCGAAACTTGGATTAAAATTCACTACTTGAAATTACCTTATTACCCTTACAAAAAGACACAAACAAAAAAGGAAAATCTTACATTGAACACCGAAAAATTTATATTTTTTCACTTTATACCCTCAAAGATAAAATTTCTCACATTACACTTAAGATATTTAAAATATTATAATGTGACAGTTCTGTTGCTAAATGCCCACCCCTTTAAAGTTGACATAATGAGCAAAAAAAATAACAAAATAGTCATATTATAATACTTTTAATACTTGGAGAATATAATATGAAAATTTTAATTTTTATTGATACAAAGTGAGAATTTTAAAAAAATTTAGGATATCAAATAAAATTTTCTCAAAAATAAATAAAAGTCAAAGAGACAACCTTTACCACCAGGTTCAGATTTCCATTGCATCTAAGGAACTAGATTTCATTAAGAAATGTCCAAAATATTTCTATTTCTATAAAAATTAAAATAAATCGTTACTTTAATATCAAAATTTTAATGTTTTAAGGTGTTTAAATCAAAAATTTTAGATATAATTTTAAATTTTTTTTTTGTTTTCATCTTATTTTTTAAAATATTATCGAAATGTTTCTATTTCTAAACTCACCAAAATTATGCACTAAAACAAAAATTTAATCCTTAATTGTACTCCCAAACTCATAATTTTATAAAAAAAATCATCTGTTATTTATAAACCATAATAGATAGGAATGAATGTGCATGGTTAGCCCTTTTTTGGGGTGGCTCAAACAAAAGACGATAAAAACATTGTGTCTAAATGAAGAATTTTGCATATCTACATTTGTTCTCTCACTAAATATTTGTCAATTTAAACCATCTTCCATTCAAGTATTTTCCATATTTTAAGTTGTTAACTCGAGTTAAAAATCAAGTTGGATTTCAATTGAAACTGTGTTTAATTTCAACCTAAAAATACATAATTGTGAGGCTACTAATCTTCAACTTTGACAACATATTTCGCCTCCTAAGCTATCTTCGAGGAAGAAAAAGATATATAGTAGAGCATGTCCATGAGATCAAGAATGACTCTATTTTGAGATGTATTCCAATTTTAAGCTATCTTCGAATCAGCTTGGGAAGTTGACCACAACAGCTGAGCTGAATAGGGGGTGCAACTTGTGGGTTGAGAAGTCCACCATAGTTTAGGGTTAAATTATAACCCAACCTGAACCCGAGGTACCAACCTAAGTATTATCCGAGTTTAATCGAGGTGAGTTCAGGTTGAATTCAGGTTACATAATTCTGATTAATTTCGGGTTAAAATTCGGGATTGGTTCATTCAAATTCAAAATTAGCATGTTTCAAACCTGGTACATACTACATAGTATTTATCTAAAATAACAAATTCATAACTTCAATCAAATGTTTAATATAAAGACCATAATATTTAAAGTATAAAAATCAATGTTTAAAATAAATAACATAATAGATAAATATTTAATATAAGAGTGAATCCTATTGTTTTAACTTGTAAGTTATATTGTTATATATTTATTTTTAAATATGTTTGAGCTAAGTTCGATTTAAAATTCTAGGTGAACCTAATTTATATATTCAGGTTGAATCTGGTAATTCGAAATCTCAATTCAGATACTGTCTAAATTTAATTTGGATTAAATTTTTTTGTCTAAATTCAATTTAAGTATTAAAAATCTCAACTTAAATCCTATTTTTTCGAGATAAATTCGTATCGACCGACCGGTGTTGCACTCGGTCAATTTTCTTTCTGGTATCATCATACACGATAACAAAGTGAATAAATAACGGAACCTTAGTTTAGTCTCCCACACTACAATTTTATTTTACTTTTCTATTTCTCAGTAAAACAAGAAATATATTAGTGCTCCACGTGGCCAAAGTTGTGACTCGATGACTCCTTGTGTACTCCATATAAATACGTGAACCCACTCCAAACAATGCTATTGGAAGATCTTAAAGTTTTCTCACTATTGGGCTGGACTTGGTGTCTTTAAAAAAGTTGGAAAAATTACATCTAATTTTTTTATTATTTAGGGTACATTGATAACGTTTTTGTTTTTATATTTTTTTTATAAAAAAGAATAAAATTTTATTTTTTTGTGATAAAATTAAAAATATAAAACATGTTTGGTAATTATTTATATTTAAAAAATTATAAAAATAAAAATAAAAAATATGTTTGATATTATACTAAAAATTCAACACCCAACGTATCCACCAACCACCAATAGCCACCCAACACCACCGAAAACCAGCCACCCACCATCATCGAAAACCAGCCACCCAGCACCCCTGAAATTTATCTCCCCCCACCCCGAAACTCACCACCATCGAAATTCACCCCCAATTAGCACCACCCCTTGAAATCCACCATCACCAATTGGCTGAAACCACCCCAATCGACTAAAACCCACAGTCACCCAACCCACCCCCATCCCTGAAACCCACAACCACCCAACTCACCCCCATTTTCCAACCCCGAAACCCACAGCCATCCCACCCTTACCCCCATCTCCAAAATTCACAGTCATTCAACCCACTCCTATCCCCGAAAATCCACCACCACCAACCAACCCCACCACCACTCCCCAAAATCCATCACCACCAAAATAGAGGAGGTTGAGAAAGAAAGAGTGAGAGCGACAGAGGGAGAGGGGGGAGATGGCACTGCTTTGGTTTCTTTTCGTCTTCGTGTGATTTTGGCTTCGTTCATCTATAGCAATGAGAGAGAAAGATGACAGAGATATCAGAGGTGAAAGAGGGATGACCCTTTATATATTCAAGAAAAAAATTCATATTTTGTTCTTAAGGAGGATTGAAGGTCAGACCTTATTAAATGACTCGCGCTTTTTTTTTCGATGTTTTCAAAAACATTCTTTTGAATGTTTTTATATTTTAACTTTGTTTTTAAAACAGAGCAATTAAGAAAAACAAAAACATTCACCAACAAATATATATATATATTTTTTTTGCCCATAAAATGAAAAAAAAAAAAAAACGAAAACACGCGCTTTCCAAACATTATCTTAATTACTTAGATTTTTTAATATTTAAAATATTATATATAAACCCTTTAAAATTTGAACACTCGTGACATATTAGACCTCTACCCAAACCCTTTAAAATTTATACACGCGTAACATATAGACCTCCGTCGTTAAATGTAATGATATCTGATAATAAATTATATTTAAATTCTTAAAATTTAAAATAGAGTAATATTACATGGACTTAACAAGTAGACTTAATAATTTCAACCATTGATTTCACTGTGAATCATAATATTTATTGGGACACTACCTATTCAATGTTTGAGATTATTAAGTTTAGTTTTTAAGTTCATATAACATTACTCTTTAAAATATTTAATATCTATACCTCTTAAATTTTAAAAATTATATTTATATTAAAATTATTTTAATTTAGGAGATTTAAGTATAATTTATTAATAAATATATTAACAAACATTTACGACAAGATCTATATATGTTAGGAGTGTACAAATTTTAAAGGATTTTTATGTAATATTTTAAATATTAAAAGGTGTTAACAAACTTACGAGCATTGAGCGTAATTTTTCCCCTCACAAAAAAAAAAACAAAGTGCAATTTTTCCTAAAAAGTATTAGGGACTGTGTGGTATGGGGGGGGGGGGGGGTTTGCGTGGGTTTTGAAATATGAATTGAGAATTAAATCCATTTAAACTTTGGTAACTATGAATTTAACTTAAGGTTTAAAATCTGGCTCGGTCATAAAACCTTTGTTTATAAGTTTCATGAAACCCATGGGATTTTTATATGTGGATTTAGGAATTTTACATTCAAATGACATTTATATTCCCATATATCTATATTTATGTTTGAATTAAATTAGTTAAGGGGTACAATAATTATTTAAATATAAATATATTATTATAATAATCATATATTTATGTGCGGGCCATGGATATAAATAATATTAAATATTGAATCTCTTCTATAAATCTCGGTGGAACCTGAGTTTTGACCAATCCAGACACACACACAAGCCCCCCACCCCCAAAAATTACCAAACAGGCTCTAATAGTCTTCCCTACAGCCCCGCGCTAAAACCCCAACTGATTCCCAGAACGCATTGATCACCTGAAGAAATCAAACCCAATGTGGCGGAAAAACACATTCACGGTAATGTTTTATTTGATTGTCGTATCACGGAGTCTAATACCTAGCATTACGATGTCTTACACTGAATTTGAATTATACTTATTTCCAGGAGAATCAAGATTCTGATCAAAGCATCTCCGGTAATGTTATCAGAATAATCACACAATCACGTTCTCCCCCCCCCTCTCTCTCTCTCTCTCACAGCTTGACTTCAAATAACGATTGAATTGTGGGTGATTTATGTTTTTGTGTTTTCAAATCCAACAGAAGAGGAATATTTGGACGGAGACTGGGCAAAAAATTGTGTGTCATTAGGTGGCCCCGAGGAAAAGAAGGTTGGTATTCTAGTTAAATAATTTTAGAATCTTTTCATTTAACTCCTAATCTTACATGAGCTGCACGTTTACTAATAAAATCAGGTGTTTTGATGTATGTATGGCACAATATACAACAAAGTTGAAATTGAAATTCATTTATTTGATTCATTGAATGATTGTCTGTTGCATTGGAGCCAGAACTCAAGGCAAAAAGAGAAGTTAAGGAACAGCCGGGTTAGTCGACCATATTTAACTGGGGTATAATCGAATTAATTTCAGCAGCAAAGTTAATCACGAATGCTCAAATTACTTGAAAATCAAATCTTGAGTTATTTCTTTGATATTCTAAAAATGTCAGTTCAATCTTTAGTTCAAGTAGAATAAGCAATGCCGTTCCTTATGGGAAAACCCCCTCCATAAACTAATGTATATGCATCAGTCTTTATTTGTGTAATTTTAAATCCAAATGGTTGAAATGAGCATCACATTACACACTGAGTGCCTTTACCACATCAAATTCATCATTTTAAGAGGGGGGACATTCGTATTGTAAATACTTTCCTCATGGGCTGAGGTATGGTGTGTTTGTAACTCTTATTTGTTTTTCTTTGCCCTTTTTCGTTTCTTTTAAAATTTATACATTGACACTTGACAGGGGGGAATCCAAGTTCTTTCTCAGCTTGATTTACTGAAAGGTATTCTGTTAATACAGTTGCCAACTTTCTGCTTATGCTTTTTTTTTTTAATCTAATTTCTCGAAACCATAATGTCCCAATGAAGCATATGCCACGAAAACAGATGGTAAAATTTAATCAAAGCTCTTGTGCAGATGCCTGTGAACTTGGAAATGCAGCCAAGACAACCATCTCAGCTCAGAAGGCATGTTATCGAATTGGACTCGAATTCTCTTTTTCATTTGCAAAAGTCATGGTTGGTCTTATTGAGGGAATTCAATGATTCAATGTAAATCTGCAAATCCATTATGGAGAATGAAGCTACTTAAGAAAATAGGAGCCCTTTTCATTGCTTGAGAAAGATGTTCACAAATATTCCCTCTCCTATATATATATTTTTTTGGCATGAATTGTCTGTTCTGATGACTACTGCCTATTTTATGGTGGAATTTCTGTAGAGGTCCATCTGGCTTTGTCTAAAAAGAGGTTTTGTTACTGATCAGGTGAAAACAGATTTGGGTATTGAAGATGAGGTTGAGTTTCCTGTCTTTAATAACGAGGATGATTTTATCCGCTTTCCAAGAATATATGTGTGCAACTCAGAGGAAGAAATTCTACCTGATGGTGGGGTAAGACATATTGTTACCTTTTTGTCCTAGCTGTTACAATTTTATGTCCTTATTAGAAGACAAGGGCTACCACCTGTAATTATATGACAAAGGGAAACAACATGCTCACAACTAGATCCATCACTTTGGGAACTCCAAATTTGCAGGAAGTTAGTCGTCCAAGCTTTGGAAGGGCAAAGAAGGATATTGCCAGCACATGGTTTGCAGCAAGTAGAGAAGCCGAGGCACTAGCTCACTTAAATGAAAATGCTGGGTGTTCTTCATCCTTTAACCTTTCTTCTACAGTGAACAGATCCTCTAAAGGTATTTCTTCATTCTGTAGATACTTAAAACTTCTGGACATAATGCCACTTACATATGTTTCTCGCCACATGGAGCTTTTAGAATTGCTTCAAATGTAAAAAGAAGCAAATATGTAATTGAGGGTATTGCATTGTCTGAGTAAAATTAAGTTTGCAATAAATCATTGCCTCCCAGGCTGTTTCTCAAAGTGACAGTCCGTATATGAAAAAGAAATGTATAAAAAACGAGGAAATTAGGAGATTCTGTTGGTTGCTTGACTATTACGGGGACAATTATTCTGTGCCAACAAACTATTTATACCAAAAATTTGTTGCATCTTTATACCAGATCCAATCGTTGTTATTCATGTTGAATCACTACTGTGTATCTCTTTGTGCTCTAAAGCTGTGATGTTCAGCGGAATGTGATATTAACTGGTGCAGGTGGCCGAGGCAAAGCTAAGCCTAAGTTTTCATTCCAATTTCAGTCACATAGGGAAGATCTTTCTCGGGCTGTTAATAACAATGATGAGACAGACTCTTCATTGAATCCATTGATTAACAAGAGCAAAAACAAAAACAATTCAGTGCCAGAGCACTTGGAGGTTTTTCAGGAAGAAAAACTAGTAGAGCCAGAGATTCATGAGATGCCAGCTGTTGTGGCAATTGGGCATGATCATGGCGAGCATTCGATGGCTGAGCTTCTAGACTGCTTTCAGGAAAAGAATGGTCAGCTAGAGGAAAGATTTAAAGTGGTGAGCTTTTATTTTTGATAACTTTCTTTGGCTTCAGTTCTACATTTTGAGTTTGATTTGTTATGTGCTCCAGCATAGTAGGCCAAAAGGAAGAAGAGTGCAGTTTGTTGATGGGAGAAGTTTATCTCCCTTGACAGAGATGGATATGGATGAGGATGAGGATGACCCAGTTGAGGCTTTGGATGGTGGATTATCAAGTGGGGACGAGGTATCTCTTTGTTGAAATGGTTCTTGGACAATTTTTTTTTTTTTTGAGTACCAATTAATTAGTCTGTGTGGTAACAGTTCGAGGAGAATCCTGAAAATCTAAAGCTTTTTGTCCTGGGTTCTGAACGAAAAACTATGGCTGATCGATTTGAGGATGCTTTGGGTGCTGCTCCTATGGATGATGAGGGGCCACTCTTTGCGTTTCCTAGAAAATCTGGGTCAGTGATTGGACTAGAGTTTGCCAGTCATATCAATATCTTAGATCATTGATTTCTATTTTCAGGTGAGGGACTACTATCTTAGATCATTGTTATACTGCCAAAATTTGCAGCTCTGGATTATTTGGAAAGTTGCAGCAGGTAATGCAGAGTGAGAAGGAAAGAGACATGTGCTTCTTAAAGAGGCAACAGAGAGAAGCTTGCTCGAATGGTATGAGCCATACCTTGAATTATTTTCTCTGATGTTGGTTGGTGTTTAGTTCAAGTAATGTGCCAACATGGAACAAGTTTTGTGTGAAGAAAGGCACATAAGCTGGCAAATGCCCAGTTTATGCATATGTCATTGCAAGTTTGTGCCCATTGCTTGTGTTTGACTCTTGTTTAGTCCTCTATCATTTTAGATGAAGCAAGCAGCATTGACGTGAGAATCTTGTCAAGGTGTCTAGAGGCAAAGCTGACTGTATGTTGTTGCTCTTTCAGCAGGGATAAAGAGGTATATATGTTGATCTCATGCATAATTTCAATGAAAATTAAGCACAAAATCTTGCTCTTGAAGCCTGCTTTATGTGTGTAAGATTAGAAAAAGTAGGTGGTTTTTCTTCACCATTCAGAATGGCTTTCAAATTACACACAAACTTCCGTTTTTTGCAGTAAACCTAAAACTGTAATTTCTAGTCTTAGTCAGATTTTTCCTGTAAGTTATGCATCTTTCACTGGCATGGGAAGTTGGGAACACATTGGTAGCTGCAAAAGTGAGGTTTGATTATTTACATGAACTTTATGGATGTATAAAGCCCAAGTTATCAACTTATCATGTATACTAGTTTTAGATAATTACGTGGCTGCATCTATGTTATCTTCAATAAGGAAGCTCTCAGCTGAAAAGTAAAACTGTAAACGGCGGGGCAATTTTTACAAAACCTCCCCCCCCACCCCACCCCGTCAACCCCCAAAAAACAACAAACCAAAAGAAACACACACAAATATGTGGAATGTGAAACATTGCATCTCATCGTGGATGAAACGGATACAGATTATTTTCATTTACCTGAACAGATTGCAATATGCTTGTTTATTTATGATGGTGGCAGAACGATGTTAGCATGTTTTTTGCAGTGCCATCAACAGAAGGATAATCTACCAACAGTAGACAACAATGGCGGAAAGACTCTGACTATCATCTTTAGCTCCAAAACATGTTGTGATGTTGAACTTGAGGTTGGGAACTTGATTCGCATCCATTCACCATGGTATGAGCGGAATTAAATTGTATGTTTTGTATCAACTGATTTTTCGAAGGTATAGGTGTCCAAAGTAGTTTACCTACCTTTGTCGAGCAGCTCAATTTTACTTTTGCTTGGTTTTATGAATCGAATTAATTTTTGGTTGCGTGAATCTGTATGCAGGAAAGAAGTGCACGTCATGGGAAATAATGAGATCATCATTTTGTCAACGTATTTTTCCCATATTTCGATTTGATTAAATATTTTTGCATCAAAGGTAATTTTGATGTTCCTCATTTTCTCTCTATTTCCAGCATGATTCGTGCCTATAACGCCGTGCCACACCTCTCATACCCACAGTTTTTGCTGATTCACAGCTCTTGGTTTGTCTTTGGCCTCTGTGCTGGTCTCCAATCGAACGAAGTGGAGAGAGCTTTTGTGCAAATCTGGCCACAATGAAATTAACTTGGGTTACAGAGCACACGATGAAGGCATCCAAAAGAACATATATGTAAATAGGTGCTGAATGTAACAGCTCTTAGTAGACCTACTTCCTTATATTTCTATTTGAGACTACCTCGGATCACGGCCAATACTCTCATGGTGAAGGAGAGTGGTGCAATCATGAAGTGTATAGTCACATAGACGTGGCTTAGTTGCAATTGCAATCCTGATTTCTGTTGCTAAATTCCTATTTTCTTTCGCATCCAATGCTGCAAATCACTTTGAGAACTTAGATATTTCTGGGGTTCATGGTTTTGGATTTCCTGGGGACCAAGTCCAATTTGCAAATAACTCACACCTTTGAAGGGTTATTCACTCTTGTTTTTCATGAAACATGTCTTTAAAATTAGTTTAAGTTATGACGGCCAATTTCAAGCTCGAGAGAGTAATTGGTATAAACTTAAGCACCTTATAACAAAAAAACAAAAAAACAAAAATTGTATGAGATATTGTAGGAGAAAATGTCATACTTATATCTTCGAACTTCGTAGTTAATGTCGAAAAGTTTTGACATTCTATTCAATGTGTTTTATAAGTGATCGTGATTAAATCATATCACTAAAAACAATTAAGTTCATGCATAGGTAGTTGTTATTTCTCAAATTATGACTCTTAAAGAGTGCTTACACTATCTAAAATTATGACTCTTTAAGATTAAGTTACCATTTTTTTGAGGTGCAAGATATAATTTTTAAAAAAATGATCGATCATGAGAGATTGTGTTCGATACTGAAATTATAACTTTCAAATATTAAGTTATAATTTTCAAATGTCAATTTATAATATACCTATTATTATATTTATTCATCGTTCAAACAAACTTAAATATCGATAAATCTCTTTAAATCACGTGGTGTGCATGGATGAATATTTACTGAAATGAAGAGTCAGAAAGTTGGGGGCTGGCAACAAAAATGCGTAGGCGGCCCAAAATACTTGCACACCAATTCTAACGCCGATATAATTGCGTGGGAGCGAAGCCAAGTCATCCACTTTTGTCCAAACTCTTCTTAAACACGAATACGTGTCCCGTAATTAACGTCCAACCGATAACCATTAAGAATCTGATTACAGAAGAACTCCAACCTGTTAGTTACAAACAAAGTCGTCATCTTCGTCACTTAATTGTCATAGATACCCTCACTATCACTTATTCGTGAGGGCAAAACAGTAATTCAAATATATCATCGTATCATTCTCTCAAGTCTCATCACTAATTCTTCTGACTCACCCCAGAACACCCAAAATCGCAGGTTCCATGGCCACTCTCTCTTCTTTCTCTTCCCCACCATGGCCCAACCCAAACCCTAACCCTAACCCTAACCAGAATTTTCTATCTCAGACCCCAGACGCTCTCTCTCCAATGTTTCAATTTCCTGAAGAACAGCAACACGACACACCCGAAGACGAAGAGGATGAAACTCCTCACGATCGCATTCCTCACCTCACAATTCCAAACCCTAACCCCAATTTCAGCGATCGTGAGTTTCCTGCAATTCCGACTCTTCTTCACGTCTCATACAATCAAGATTATGAATGTTTTGCCACCGGCACGGATCGTGGCTTTCGAATATATAACTGTGACCCTTTCCGTGAAATCTTTCGCCGAGACTTCGATCACGGAGGTGGTATTGGCATAGTTGAAATGCTATTCCGATGCAACATGCTCGCTTTAGTTGGCGGCGGTGACAATCCTCAGTATCCTCTGAATAAGGTGATGATTTGGGACGATCATCAGAGCCGCTGCATCGGCGAATTATCTTTTCGATCAGAGGTTCGCGGCGTTAGGCTTCGGCGGGATCGAATTGTGGTGATTCTCGAGCAGAAGATATTTGTTTATAATTTCTCGGACCTGAAGTTGTTACACCAAATTGAGACGATTGCAAATCCGAAGGGCCTTTGTGCGGTCTCACAAGCGGCTGGATCGTTTGTGTTGGTATGTCCAGGGTTGCAGAAAGGCCAGGTTAGGGTTGAACATTATGCGACAAGGAGGACTAAGTTTATTCTGGCCCACGATTCGAGGATTGCGTGCTTTACGATCACGCAGGATGGAAATTTGCTTGCCACGGCCAGCTCGAAGGGCACTCTGGTGAGGATTTTCAATACATGCGATGGGACTCCGTTGCAAGAGGTAAACGATTCTTCAGTGTTGTATTTTTGCCTTTTGGTAAATTTCTGAATTGTTTAGCTGGATAACATTTGAAGTTAGCATGAATTTTTCTACAATCCGTTTTGACTTGTCTGAAACATCTGTATTATGTTTTGTTATTTAGACTGCTCTTAATTGCGCAATTGTTATTATGTTTCTTTTCAGTGTATATCTGCAATTACAAAGTTATGACTTGCTTTAGAACTCATATTTCTACTAAACTTAAACAGGTGAGATGAAACATGTTAGCAACTAGGATAAATGGCATAATGAGAATGGACACGGTTAGAAATTAATGCATTTTGAGGGTGAAGGGATAACTTTATTCCTGTTAGTGAAAAAGTTAGAGAGATAAGAATCAGGCAATTTTTTTTGTCTTGAAAGGGTGAAGTGGGAATAATGAGGTCGTTTCGTTTCTGTCTCTTGATTTCTCCTCACTTGTTTTCATTTTCCATTTTGCTTGCGAGTTCTTACACTACAATTACCCTCCATACCCTTCTTGTTAATGAATTTTGAACATAAAGGAGCCAACCTTTTTATCTGAAATTGTTAAGCTAATAGTTTGTTTTGTTCTTGATAATATGGGCCGTAAACGTGATTTTTCATGGCATATCAGTTGTTATCTAGTAAGGTAGGAATTTTTGTTCCTTAACTTTGATGGTAGACTTAGCTTCTTTGATGAAATTCATCTCACAATTTGATTCTAGCTTAATTTTGGGATGGTAGACCACTAGACATATGATTGTGGGAATCAGGAAATCATGTGTTTCTAATCAGGAAATCATATGTTTCGTTTCAGGCTTTACTTTGTTTCTCTTTGTTCTATACGACTCATTTTAGGTATCAATTCAATATGTGAAAACAGGCTGCCACCTCTTTATTGAATGTATATAAATAACTATTGGATTTTTAATACAGGTAAGGAGGGGTGCAGACAGAGCGGAGATATATAGCCTGGCATTCTCTTCAGCTGCCCAGTGGCTGGCAGTCTCAAGCGACAAAGGCACTGTCCATGTTTTTAGCCTTAAGCTTAATTTGGGAAACCTAGGGAGTGATACGTTGAGTAGTTCATCTGATCCAAATATTGCTTCTACACCATCTAGCTCATCTTTCTCGTTTATTAAAGGTATGGGACCTTCTTGAATCAATAACAGACGTTGCATGCTTTTTCTTTTTTCTGATCAATTACTGCACTTTAAAAAAAAGGAAAACAAAAGAAAAAATCAACCTCGACTATCAAATGGACTAAGGAGTTGTTGGAAATCTATTGATTGGGAATTATTCTCTTGTACTTTGGGTAGCATGGATATCTTTGAAGGCACAAATCTGGACTGTTTAAACGTGGATATCTTAGTGTGGTGGCTGTACTAACAAAAACTATGACAAATTAGATTACTGCCCTTCTAATCCTTATAACACTCTTAACAACACTGATCTGTTTTACTTAAGAAACTATTAGAGTGCCTTGTAAAGCACATTGCCATTGTTGATTCTACCAGGCCTCGGTGATGTTCTCACTATGCCAAAGGACAGAATGCTCAGTTTCTATTTGTGTACTGTCATTCCTAATCCTTTCACATGGAGGATGAAGTTTCCATTACCAGTTTACTAGTTTAGTAAAAAGGCATATGCCAACCCATTAGTCTTCCATCATGATTGGTAATTTCTTCTTGTAGAGGTGGCATCATGATTTCCTTTATGTCTCTTGTGCTTTTTTCGTATTTGGATTCGCACGGGAGATGCAGTGGCAGTACAGTACTCTTTTGACTGTGTGATGGACTAGGCTGAGGCAATGGGTACCGTATACCTTGTGGAAAGCAAGGGTAGTTTCCTTGACTGTTGGATCTGATCTAGGTTTCCATTTGGCAGGAGTGCTGCCCAAGTATTTCAGCTCAGAGTGGTCTGTGGCTCAGTTCCGTTTGCTTGAGGGTTCTCAATATATTGTTGCATTCGGTCACCAAAAGAATACAGTGGTCATTCTTGGCTTGGATGGAAGGTGAGTGTGTGCCGCTTACCTGAACTCTCAGATAACAATCTGGTATTGGTCAAATTTCCTCTTTGTTCTTTGCTTCTATAACTTTGTTAACCCCCAGGTGGCAGTTTCCTCCTTATTCCCTGTAGTTATATGCCTTTGTCTATTATACCTATTATATGTTTTATCTTGCTAGCTTTTGAGCAAGAGTGCCGAAATTATTCTATGGATTGCTTATTATTTTCCTTTTTGGTACTTCAATGCCCCCCACCTCTCTTTTTTTTATGTTTGTCTCTCTCTAAATAGCAAAACCACTTATATGCAATTGAAAACTCTGCTCTCTTCAAAATTTTTCATTTTTTGAAAACTCTGCAGCTTCTATCGATGCCAGTTTGACCCAGTGGTGGGTGGAGATATGACTCAACTGGAATATCACAACTTTCTTAAGCCTGAAGAAGCACTCTAATGGGGAGCTTAGATATTTGTATTTCTCTTTCACGGTGTATATATACTATATTCTTCTTTACCCCTTTAGTTTGCAATTTGAGTTCATATAACTAACATTTCGACACTGTTTCACTTCAAAGAATGAAAAAATGGCAATAGTTACGGTTTTTACATCTATTTAAAGTTAGTATTTTGATAATTATCCATGGGCAAGAACCTGTAGAGACTTGTGGAGCTTCGCTTTTTCTCTGTTTAATCTCTTTATGGGGTATTCATTGGTGTCCTCTAGGTCGCAGTTTGAACCTCACCATCCCCCTCCCCATGTACATACTGTTCAAAAACAATCTCTCTATGTACTCTACTTTTTTCTTTTGTTTGCAAGGATTTTTTATTGCACAATTCGATGGACTTACTCATAATACCGGGAATGGAGATGCCCTTACCGTCCCACGAACTGGAGTCGTGCAATCCGAATGGGGCGAGTTCGTGATCCACGTTGCTTAAATTTTTTACCCTAAATTGTATAGCTCAAACCCTAAAATAAATATTAGTTACTTATATAATCTCATATAATAAAAAAAAACTGAACCATATACCGAATCAGTGTATCAACCAAGTCTATCATTATTACACCATGTATTGGAAGATGTGTATTGTATAAAATATTTATATCGTGTATCAAATTGACCTACTTGGACACACTAACAACCGGGTGCCGAAAAGTGTAACCAATATGACAACCTTTCGGTGCCAGGCAACTAATCTGACTAAAAAAATGACTAGCTTATAGATAGATGTGCTGATATTGGCCGAAGTTGCAATGCACTTTTATCGTGCTGATATTGCTTTCAAGCACTGGGTGGATTGTTGATTTCACGGTTTCTTGTGTTAAGGTTGGGTACTTAAAAAACATGACAATTTGTATCAAAAGTTTTAAGGCCACTAACTGGGCCCCTTAACCTGTCCAAAAAGCCCGGCCAGTAATCAATTTTTAGTTAATAGTTTTAAGTTGTAATTATCAATAAGTAACAAGTAATAATTCATAAGTCAAAAATGACAGATTCATAAGTCATACAAGTGTAAGTAACCAATTCAACAAGACTTCTTTATGCTTAAACCTCATTCTAAGCAAAGTATTTGTTCTATTTATCTGACTAAAAGCTTGTAAATTTGACTATTTGCTTAGTCTTGTTGATTAAGACTCCCTAAAAAAAGAGACACAAGAGTATAATTAATAAGGTGATGCATCTTACATACATTCAAAAAAGTTGTACGTACTTTTTCTTACTAATATAATGAAGATTTTTTTTTGTTAATGAGAAATTAATAAAATGAAAAGACACAACAAACGACAAAAAACCTAAGGTTCTGAAACTAAACCCAAACATCACTTCAAAATGGTTTAGATATTGTTCTTGAAACAATTATTTAACATCCTATTCTATGTCGATATGACTAAAATTAAAAAAAGTTGGTTCTTTATTCTGCTTTCTCAATCAAATCTCAAGAGAAAGATTAAAAAGAACTAAAAGTCTTATTATGTAACAATCAATAACTTATAACTCATAAGTCATACAAGTATTATTGTGTTATTAAGTTATAAAATTTTAATTATAACTTTCTAACTAAAAGTATTGGGCCGACAGCAACAGTGATGGGCTATGAAATGTTTTATCGGATTTTTCGGTTTACCGTTACCATGACATTGACATAACACACCTTTTTTTTTTTCTCAATTATTTCTGATGGTATATTATCAGCCGTGAATTTGTCGAGGAAGGCATTTGTATATAAATTTTTTTATTTAAATTCATCACAGAAGTAAAAATTAAGAAAAAAAGTGTTTTAAATTGGATCCAAATCTTTTAGTTGGTGGTCCCATCCTTGAAATTGGTGCGTTTGATGCATGATTAATATTTTGAGGGTAGGGATTAAGGCTCACAATCGAATTGAGTTCAGCTCGGTTTGAATAAACCTCGACTTGAGTTCAAGAATATAAATCGAATTTGAATAAATTTTTATATTCATTGAAAATATGAGTGTAAAAAATTCGATTTATTTATATATAAAATAATCGAATTATTCAAATTTGACTAGCACTTGACTCATTTTATAAATGAATTGAATTTAAATAATTTTTTAAATTTATTTATGAAAATAAAATCGATAAATTCAACTCAATTACCAAGCTAATATAGACGCTAGTAGCGATGTGTGGCATTTAGTAGGTTGGCGGGGTTGGTCTTGGTGGATAAGGATAAAGTGGTTCACAATCATTTAAAAAAAATTGTGTTTGGTTTTGGCTAGATGGCTCGGTCTCATTGCATGCGTTTTAGGAAAAATTACACTTATTTTTTTTTTAATTTTATCACTTAATTACTCAGACTCTCTATAATATTTAAAATATTACATACAAACCTCTTGAAGTTTGTATGCGTGCAAACACTTAGACTCCTGCCGTTAATGTCTGTTAGTATATCTTTAATAAATTATACTCAAATACCCTAAAATTTATTGACGTGTAATATTTATATTTTTTAAGTTTAAAATATTATACTTAGACCCGTCAAATTTAACATATTATATTGAAACTAAAAATACTTTGATCAAAAATTGAATATCAAATATTTTAAATTTTATAATCAAAATTCATATTTTATTACGTCATTTATTGAAATAAATTAAAATTAAAAATATATTTGTTTCTAAAAAATCATAATTAATATACAATTATAATATCTATTAGTATTTAATTTGGTCATTTAAACGACTAAATTATACTATCAAATTATCCTAATTAAAGTTAAAAGATATTGTGTCAATTATAATTTAACTCATTGTTTGATTTTTTACTGGTCATTTAAATGACCAAATTAAACTATCAAATTATCCCAATTATTTGATTTTTAATTTTATTCCAATAGATAGTATAATTATATACTGATATAATTTTTTTTTAAAAAAATTAGATTTTTATTTTAATAAATGTCATAATACAACATAATTTTTGGTTATAAAATTCATGTTTTATTATGAATGATTTATACTCCTTGTTTGATTTTTTTTTTGTTTTATTCCAATAGATGGTATAATTATGTACTAATTACAATTTTTTAAGAAAAAATTAGATTTTTTATTTTTGATTTTATTTCAGTAAATGATACAATAGAACATGATTTTTTGTTATAAAATTTAAAATATTTGATTGAAGTATTTTTAATTTAAATATAATATTTTAAATTTGAAGAATTTAAATATTATACGCCTATGAATTTTAAGAGGTCTGAATGTAATTTATTAACATATATACTAGTAGACATTGATTGCATGAGTCTAAGTATTATATGTGTATAAACTTTAAAGAGTGTATATATAATATTTCAAATATCAAGATATTTAAATGATTAAGTGATAAAACTCAAAGAATTTAAATGATTAAGTGATAAAATTCAAGAAATTTAGGTATAATTCTTTTTTTTTTTGTATTCTTGAAATTTCTTTATTTTGAATCCCGAGGGAGGCCACCCAAATAATGCAATGATTTGTCGTTTTTCAAACCTGATTTTACGCGTGATGTCTGGCACCCACCTCGCGTCTTTCCCCATCAAACTCTCTTGTGGAGGACAATAAAAGAGACGATAACGCTAATAATCCATAAATAAATAGACTGTGGATAATAACGACAACGCATATGTAATATTCCTATGTAATATTCAGGGGCGGGTCTACAGTGGGGCAGTGGGGGCAACTGCCCCACTGCAATTTTAAAAACCTTTGAGATGTATTTAAAATTTTCAAACTTTTAGGATATTGCCCCTACTGAAATTTTTAGAAAATTTAGGGGTATTTGTGTATATAAATTGTGGGTAGTTCTTTGCTATTTTGTATTTTGGTAGACATACAGGTTTAGTAGGGCCTATGTGTTGGCCACCAGTGATTTTGATAACTCTGTCCAACTATTGAATCCAACGCATTAATTGAAACAAAGTCATCCTAATCGTATTTGACTTTTCTCTTGAATCCAACATATCAAATGAAACCACAATTTTATTAACTCTCACCAAAATTGCATGGATGACTTGATTAAGGAATACGCCAAAAAAAGGGTTTGATTTGCGTCAAGCTCGATCACCAAAAAGGGTTTGGCTTAGAAACTCGATCACTTTTGTCAATGACTTCTATTTTTATATTTGAATAAATCTCTCTAACTATTCGTAGTGCTCACAAATCATAATTTTATATGGCCAATATGTCATAAAATTAATGTTGAATTAGGGGAGTATTTAGTCTTAGTAAATTTAGATGATAAATGAGTTTCTTAGATCACCCAGACAAATAATTGAGTAGATAGTAAAAAAAATGAAAATTTCTGAGATTTTATCAGAGTTTTTGTGAGAGATAATACATAAATGATTTTTTTGATTCTGTTAGTTTTTGCATTTTTTTTTTGCGTTGTAAATAGGGTTTGTATTATCCATACATTTTTTTTTGCTAACAATAGACATTAGAACTTTGATAATTTGGATTTTAATTGAAATATGATGACTAGATCCGATTATGTATCAATTTCTTTAGAATATTATGCACAATGATCAATCTCTTATAAAAATGGATAATGAGGAGTACATAAAAAAATTTAATTCTGAGAGATGAGTGTATTTGGGTGGTCTTGATTGACAATTTTTTTTTTGATATTTTTATATATATTTTTTTACGTAGTTATTTTTTGTGAAAAAATGAAATATTATTATTACATTTTACGTTGCCCCCACTAAGAAAGAAGCCTGGCTCCGCCACCGCTAATATTCCTTTTTTGGGTATAAGGAAACAAAAAATATTGTAAAATAGAATCGCTTGGTAACGTTTTTATTTTTGTCTCTTTAAAATTATAAGAATAAAAACAGAAAATATGTTTGATAACTACATTAAATTTTATCTTAAATATGTTTTATAATATCTCATTTTTTGTTTTTAAACAAATCAATATTTTATTTCTTGAAAAATGATTTACAATCATGAATTAAAGACCTTCAACAAAGTATGAATCTTACACAACCAGATTTCCGAAAAAATTAGCCATGAAATTTGTCTCCTTATACACATGCCCAATCTGATATTGCAAAAACACCTAAATGAGGAACCCAACTCACGCAAAAGACTTTAACTTACACCTTACCGCAATCAATCTCCAAATCAGACAACTTAAATAAAATACAAATAGACGGTATATTACATCAAAATACAAATCCAAAAATTCCTTAAGCCAAA